ACAGGCGGCGCAGGTAGTACCGTGCAGAGGCCGGAGCGCTGTTTCAGCTCATATTGTCCGCGATAGTACATACAACACAATTACTTTTAAGTTGCGGGTTTCGATTGTTCTTGGATCAGGCTCTTCCCTGATTTTTGAGATCAGTGAAACACGCTGATAAGGTTAGTATGCCTTTGGTTTATGTTTACAGAAATATTATTTAATTCACTACATTCTACACCATGTGACATGAAAACCTGCGATGATGAGAATGGAGGGTCAATTGGGGAATGGTTTTGATTTTACATTAAACAATAGACACAAAACAAGGTCCAAGACACACTGAGAATGAACTGTGTAAAGTTGGACGATCGCATGGTTACCAAATCTAGGGCAGGGGTGCAAAAAGCAGGTGCTTTAGCTCCTGCTGGAACATGCACAGATTGCCAATGATACATGTGTAGAAATTTAAAAAGAAATACTGCATCACAATACGTGCTTCATTATACAGGACGTTTAATTTTAATTTCTACGAGTCAATACTTTAAAAAAAAAGCGCGGATTACATTGGTGCCGTCTTCACAGCGTACTGCTCACCCTCGATGGGCATTAGATGCAGAAATAACCGTTGGGTACGTTATAATTATCTAAATTCTGTCCTTCTTTAACTACAGTTTTATGGGTCATGTTGCCATTGCAGTATCAACTGAAGTCACAGTTAGAGGCTAAACGCATTTTAACAGCTTGCGAAATTCCAATGGGCTTAGAGATATTCGTCGATCAATTTTCACATGTTTGCAGCCCGATTCTGAACAGGGAAGGAGAAAAAGCGCCGGAACTTCCGTCTACAAAGATGTAGAAAATGCGACGCAGACGTTTCGCGCAGTTCGACATTAGTGAGTTTTAGTACTGCGTATAGCAGCAAACGCAATCACTGCGAGTTTGCGTTGCGCGCTTCATACTGCAAGTGCGCGGAGCCCCAAACTGCACCTGAAGTTCCGGCACCCTTTCCGACCAAAGTTTCAAATTATTTAACAAAAATGCGAACACTGGTTGAAACCTCGAAACCTATTGCATTTTCATAACTGATTCGATTGGTTTTACCGCTAATCTTAGCTGCCATTAAAACTGAAATTGCAACATGACCCATAAAACCAATAATTAAGACAAGGCACGTGGTTGGGCTAGTTGGTGGTATATACTATTTGGTGGGAACAGCGCAAAAAAGACGTAGGACCAGGATGAAGATACACACAGACAGGGCGCTGTCTGTGTGCTTCTTCGTCCTGGTCCTACGTCTTTTTTGTACTGTTCCCACCAAACAATGATTAAGAAGCTGATTGATAATTTTAACTGGTTATCCCACTTGCCGTGATGGTTATTTCCTCATGTAATGTCCGCCAAGCCCGATAATTACATGGTGAATACTCAGTGGCATCTCTAGGGGTCACTATAGTCCGTTGCAATTTAAGAAGGTAGAACGAGGAAAAGGAATGCCGGGGAGGAGAATGCAGGCGGAACGCTAAAGAGAGGAGGAGGTTCCGCCTCTCCTCTCCAGCGTTCCGTCTGCTTCCTCCCTCCCCGGCCTTCCTCTCTCTCGCCCTACCTTCTCCGCACTTGGGGCGGTGGCCCACCCAACAAGGTGTTGGCCCACCGCGAACACCCCCCCCCCCCCCTTCCCTGCCCAGCTGCACCCTCCCGAGCGCTGCACTCAGGGCTGCCCCCCCCCCCCTCCCTCTCTTTTTGACCCCACTGTGAATACTACTACAGTTATACTGCACCTGCATAACCCTCACGATTTTTTTTTGTTTGAATTAAAATTTAGAACGTATACTGTCCTGTTACCAAAAAAATATAGAATGAAAATGACAAGATCCTTTCATATATCGGCAATTGAAAAGAAGAAAGCGACAGGTATGAAAGAAACAATTTACGTTCGTCCACACATTGAACGATACCATTGCAGCCTATTTGTGGAGACTAACTCGGAAAACTTGAAGCCACTGACAAAACCGGTACTTTCACGTCACCTATTTGTGCAATAATGACAAAGCCAATACAAGATCCTCAGTCTCGCATGCAAAAAACCTGTGTAAAGGTGAAAAATCTGAGAGGACTTTGTTCCCTCATCATGCATGTCAGTCAAAAGAGAAAAGGACATTCTTTCCCCCTATTTTCTAACCTATTTGTTTTTAACACTGGCAAATGTTGCATTAAACTTTGACACTGAGTACAGACAGCCTTTCTGTTTGCAAAAGACAATCATGATTTAAAAAAAAAAAAAGATTTGTAGATAAAATTAACCTCAGAAGGTACTCGACAGGAAATACCTTAGGCCAAGTTCGCCACCGTAGCCAAGTGACAGAACAGGTTATTCATACCAACTGACGTCAAAAGCAACATAAGGCTCCTAACCTGAACTTTTCTAAATACCACAAAGACCAGTTACGTCAAGGCACTGTAGCATCTGTACTACTTAACGTGCCCATATGCTATTAGTACGGACTAGGGTGCCTTCATGTGCGCTTCGCACCATAGAGTGATGCCAGCTGCCTGTTTCCCTTTCCCACACCCTCTCCCACCGCCATTTTGTTCCTCTCATTGTTTCTCCGTGCGCCGGAAAGGGGCCTTTGTGTCCATCGGTCCTCCCATCCGAGGGGGAAAATCGTAATCCTCCCTCCGTGGGTTCCTCAACGCTGCTCCGAACTTGTGAGATAAGGTGCTTGTTTCCGGGAGGGCTATAAGCTCCACGTATTATCGCCGAGAACCAAAATGGCTGCTGGCTTGTCGGCGAATGGTATTACAAAGGGCGAAATCACACTAGCAAAGCGCACACGTAAGGCTCCCTAGTACGGACTGGATCTATCAACATGGCTAGATCGAAATTGTCAGAAGGCAAAGCACAGTGAACAAAGTCAGTCCATTGGATACTCGAGGCACTCTGTATGAATCATATGAACAATATTGTTGTCTTTGACAACCAAATGCATAGCAAGTGTAGAATCATTACGATTATACACAGGTCTCCCGATGTAAGCCCGAAGCCTATTCTTCACCTGCAGCCTTGGTGTCTCCATACCCATCATGTCATTTGGATCGAATGATTCACCATGACACATGGCCTGGTGTAAAAGCAAAATATCCCACAGCCTCAACTGTAATTCCGATATCCATACCTTTATTATCATAATCCACTCTTTAACTAGGTCTTTATTTTATTTCACCAGCCAGTGTCTGTGGGAAGCGAATTGAAAGGTTTTAGAGTAATAACTTGTGCTCGCTGGTTATTTGGCTGTGACTATTTGTTTTTATACTCATCTTCTGTACTTCTTCTGCATACTCCCATCATATTTCACGTCTGCGCCGGCTCGCAGGTCCTTACATATGTCGTCTTTACGTATAGTATTCATATTTTCAGTATAGATTCATGTACTTTCCCTTACACATTTCAAGACATTGTCTTTAGTTGTTTTGCCAGACTTTGCAGCCCACCCAATTGGGGCAGATGTCTCATTAAGCTGTCCCACAGTGGCTTTCTTTCTATACCCTGATCAATTATGAAAATTAACTAACTGAATTATTAGCCTACCACACAAAAGTCATAGCCACTCTCTTATCCCACTTTCATCTGTTTTGTCCACTTTCAGGCAATACTTATGGCTTTTCTATTATTTCATAAGTGCTAGTGGCTTGTGCAAACATTCACTGAGGCACAACTTCTTTTATATGTTGCTTCCTTCCCTTGTCGAATTTCTTCAATGCGACAAAGGCAGTCTACAAATAAAAAGCATTCCTCCTTTCTCTTTGCAAGTTTTCTTCCGCTTGAAACCAGTTTAAGGTGGAATACTGAATTCTGAGCTACTGAATAGACCATTTGCTAAATCCCCCAAGCGCCCGGGCCCACACTCGGGGAATCATGGGAACAGTGTTCCTTCAGTTCCCTAATGATCGGTAACTCCAACCAATTACATGGTTGCAGTTTTGAACGTAATTCGGAGTCACCCTGAAAAGTGTCGTTTAGAGCCCAAGGACTTGTCATATTTAAAATTCGTCAATGTCAACGTTTTTGATACTGTGCATACGATCCACCTTTCAACCTGGCTGAGCTGCAAAAATCTTTTACAATATTATCATTCTCGTGATTGTTGTTTTAGCAGGAATTGCTTAAAAAGCCAAAAATTCACAAACAAAACCACGATTTAGCTTGGAGTCAGCGGGGCTGTTTATAGCATTTCTACCTTAACATCAGTGTCTTTGAAGCTGTACGAGAATGATAATGTAAGAAATTTCTGCAGCTCAGCCAGGTTGAAAGGTGGTCAGCATGCGCAGTACCGAAAACGCCGACAATGACGAGAAATTTTAAAAGTGATACGACAGGTCCTTGGGCTCTATACAATGCTTGTTAAGGGTGACTCCGAATTACACTCAAAACTGTGTAACCATGCAATTAGTCAAAGTTGCCGGTAACTAGGAAGCTGAAAGAACACTGTTCCCAGGATTCCTTGAGCGCGGGCCAGGGAGCTTGGGGGATTTAGCAAATGGTCTACTGCAGCATATCAAATAAGCTTTTTACGAGTGAATTGTCCTTGAGTTCCAATTGTTGAACATCCTTTTATTGGGGACAAACTAAGAGCATAGCATGAATTTTTTCCTTGAAAACCCAAACCCCAGGTAAAAAGGAAAGGAGATTGTATCGTTTTCCTGTACTTTCCGAAATTGTACTTGAACCAGACCGCGACTTTGGAAGCAAAAAACTTCACTGCAAAGCGTCTTTTTTTTTTTTTTTCCCCCAATATTGGAATTAACCGACAAGGTGTCTTCTTAACTTCGCATCTCGGCTTTTAAAAGCCTCCGAGATGCGAAAGTCCCCTGCACATGGCTTTTCAAGGGAACAAGCTCCGACTAAGTGAATGAGATCAAGAAAATGTAGTTACACGTTGCATTCAACAGTTCACTTGGCACCAAAGTGTCTACAAAAAAAAAAAAAAAAAAGCCTAAAAATAATTGAGGAGGGAGGCAAATTTGTAGAACACAGGGGTGATTATCTAAGAATCCAATAGCATTTATCGTTGCACAAATGGGCAGGTGTTCGGTTCCCCACTAAATTTAGCGGGGAACCTGAATGGGTGCATAGGACCCATGATGTAAATTTTCCGCTAAATTTAGGGGGAACTTGAATTCGTCTGTAAGTCTTGCGAAGTCAATTTTCCCACATTTAGCAGGGAACCTGAATTGGTGCATAGGTCATGACGTCAATTTTCAAGTCAAATTTAGTGGGGAAACTGAACTGCTGCATAGGTCATGTGACATGAATTTGCCGCTAAATTTTGTGGGAAAACTGAATTGGTGCACAGGCCACCCGACATAAATTTTCGGCTAAATTTAGCCAGGAAACTGAATTGGCGCATAGGTCATGTGACTAAATTTTCCGCTAAATATAGGGGGAAAGCTGAATTTGTGGATAGGTCACCCGACGTAAATTTTTCACTAAATTTAGTGGGGAAAGCATTTGAGGCCAGAATATATATGGATGAAAATTTATTAACTGAAGAAGGCTATCGTCATGGGCGTCCACAGAGGGGTGCAAGGGGGGCAGTTGCCCGCCCCCCCCCCCCCCCCCCCTCCCTTGGAATTTCGAGGGGGGTGCAAGAGGGGGGAGCTGCACCCACACCAGTTAAAGGGTACTCCGGCATTTTTTAGCTACCCAAACTAACTACATTTTCTGAATACTATGGATCTACTGTTCCCAACATGCTATTTAGTATCGGAAATTGAAAATGGCTATTGAGAAAACGACAAGTATAAAAGCCCCCCCCCCCACCCCCGCCCAGAAAAAAAAAAAAGAAAAAGAAAAAAAAAAAAAAAGGAAGGGGGGGGGGGGGGGGGCAAGGAAGTTTTGATTTTGCCGCGAGACCGGCGAAACTTACTTCCGACGCGTTGTGCCTTTTTTCTGCGACACTGCGCTTCTGTAAAAATTTCCATGCGTTCTCAATGGCAAGCTTCATGGCTTACAGATGGTTTTAAAGAACTTCTTCGGCGAATGATGACGAACGAGTAGAAAATGTCTTCAGCACGCTGCCGCCAGCCTCCGCAACGCTCAAAAAACGCGATTTTTCGACATGCAAGATAACCGTACGGTGGCTTCACTCGCGGGAGCGGAAAGTGTGATTTCGCAATTGTCAGAGAGATCAGTGGTTTGTAGCCCCAAACCCAGGGTGCAGCTGTGAGAGCAGGTAGAGAGTAAAGTGGAAATGTGCTGAAAATAGCCAACATCGCCAACATTCCCCCCCCCCCCCCCCTCCCCCCCCGGGAGGGGGCGGGGGTGCTATAAGTGTGCACGCCCCAGGAAAAAGTTCTGCTAACGCCCATAACTATCGCATTAAAAAAAAAAAAAAAAAAAAAATCTGGTGTTGTTTCTTTTGTACCTTACTCTGAACTTGTTGATGTAGGAACATTTCTCCCAGGAACCTACAGGGTTGTCTTTGGGTCGTACTGTATGTATGTATAATACAGTAATCCTACCTTTTTAAATGCAGCGACATATCTCTGAACAGATTCACAGCACCTTCAACCAACCAAACAATTCAGTAGCCACAATGCAAGAATCACAGGATAAGCCTATGATTACTACAAGCTGAACACATGGCTTCCCAAAATATTAAAATAATAATCAAAGCAAATTGCTATAATCTTCTGATGGAGACCGAAGGAGCAGCCAAACTGCACTAATGAAAAACATACTGCAGATGTGTGCCCGTAGACTTTCAATTTGTTCAATTAAATAACACCATCAACCATCCAAGAACCTTCTAATGCCATCTTTTGAAGCCAGCAGCAATGTTCCATGTAAAAACAATACAAAAAACTAAAAAAAAAGGGAGAAAAAAACGAGAAGGTACAGCAAGAACATGAAGTCCGAAACATCTGACCACAGAATGTGGCAATGTTGACCACAATACTAGCTCCTCTCTTTGAATGTGTATTCTGCAGTATCTGCACGAGAAACACTGTAGAAGGCTTGAAACTGTATGACAAGCGAAATTCATTATAAAATACGTTGGTATTTTTTAGACTGGCAACCACCAGTATCAAATCTCAAGGTAGCTAACACCCCAAAATTCACCAGAGACCAAACGAAGCATGTGAATTGTTGTAGCATCACAAGGCACAGATAATACGACCGGGAGAGTGTTGAACCGAACAGCGTTGGAATGCATCAAGCACCACCGACAGACTGTAGAATGAGTCCAATGACAAAGGTGTGGATAACTTCAGGGTGCAGAGACCCCGATCAGGCATGGATGTGTCAAGGCAGCCTTTGCTGTGACGCGCCGGTCCGGCCCAAAGCGAAGCATTTGTCGTAAGAGGTCCAGGGTGAGGGCATCTAGTTGTGGCACCGCGTCCTTCAGGGCTTCATCAGAAATCCTCCCCCTTCCAAAGGAGCTCCGGGAAACAGCTGCCTCAGGAGGCCACTCATCTTCAGATGGCAGACCCAAGAGCTCTAAGATCCGAGCCAACTGCTCCCCTTCCGAGCGACCTCCAAACAGTGGCTTGCGTCGTGCCATCTCGGCCAGGATGCATCCGCAGCTCCAGAGGTCCACCGGAGGACCGTAGCTGGCCTGTAGAAGTACTTCCGGGGGCCGGTACCACAGCGTGACCACAACAGGGGTCAACGACATGTGACGCTCATACAACCGGGCCAGCCCGAAGTCGGCCAGCTTCAGCTGCCACTGCGCCGTCACCAGAACGTTCTGAGGCTTGAGGTCGCGATGCACAATGCGATGCGAATGCAGGAACTCCACTCCTGTAAGCAGCTGCTTGAGAAGCCACAGGAGCAAAGAGGGCTCCAGGCCAGGTTCAGGACATCTATCCAGGAAGCCGGCGAGGTCTTGGTCAATGTGCTCGAAGACCAGGAAGACGACGAGCTCGCGCTCCATCCTACAACCGTGGCAGATATCGAGGAGGCGCACAACGTTTGGGTGCTGAGCGGCATCCAGCTGGCGTAAGAAGCTGATCTCACGAAGCATGGCTGTTGGGATGCCTTCCTCACTGAGGGGTACGCGCACTTTCTTCAAGGCCACCATGCGTCCATCATTGTGACGGTCGCGTGCCTTGTACACTGTGCCGAATGCGCCCGTGCCAATGTGAGCCACTTCTTCGTATGGATTTTCGCTGGACACGTCGCCGAGCAGGAAGGACATGGCTTGGTCTGTTGTCGCCATTGTAATTCGGCAAAGACCAAATTTACTCTGCGTTGTCCCAAGCGAACCCAGTGAGGCAATGCAGCAGCTGCTGGCTGCTTCTGTCCACAAGTGGAGCAGACCTGAAAGTGCCAAGCATGAGCTAATGCTGTCATGCTAAATCAAGCTGCTACCACATCTGCACATACATTATTAAACTAAAAAACCCAACTGCAAATTTAAAAAAAAAAAAAAAAAGAGAGCCAGCACAAAATTGAAGAACATGCAACAAAACGCTTTCTGTGTGCCTGTACCTATATTAGTTTTTCACTGTTGTTCACAATATATTTTCTTATCAAAGTGACTATATTTAATAGCCCAGCAGTTAACAGTGGAAATGTCAGCTGTACAAGTGGGACGGCAACAAATAGTCTACAACTAAAAGGTGCTTAGATAATTAAAATGGGTAAAGCACATCTAAAAGTACTTAAAGCACAAAGTAAATGAGAGGTAATGTACTTAAAGTAAAGTAGTAAGTACACCAGGTGAAATGTACTTGAAGTACTATGTAATTACAAAGTAAAAATATTTTTCAACACACTCTTTCATGATGAAGAGCCTGCCATCAGCCCCGTAGCTTCTGCAAGCAATCTCCTCATGAAGGAGACTCCTCTATATTTTTAATCTGCTCACTTTTGCTGACCAAAGGAAAAGTAGCGAGAGTTTGAAACACTACGGGACAGCTGCCCCCAGTGCAAACGGAGCAGTGCGTCGCCTGCTCGCATCTTGAGTGAAAGTAGAATATCTCTCCCAGTATTTCTTCAGAGTTGACAAAGCACCATTTTGTGATACAAATTTAACAAGACTAAATTTAGGGAATATATACTTTGAAGTCGGGAGTTCTCGGAAAGTACCAGAAAAAGTACTTCAAGTAAAGTTCAATTTCATGCCCAGAGAATGTACTTCAAGTAAAGTACAAGTTTTCTAAACTTACTTGGAGTAGTACTTTAAGTACAATGCACTTAAAGTACTTCCCAACACTGGATAATTGATGGATCTCAGACACTACTGAATTACTTCAGTGGCATCCAATACAGCCAGAAAATTTCCTAAGCAGTTGATACATGTGCCACAGATTCCCCTTCGGTGTTTTCCCTCTATTTCATTTTACAATGGACTGCAGCAGACCACTACAAGCCATCTCTGCCTATCCAGCACTGTTAATGCATCAGGAGGCTATGCACCCTTATGAACAATAAATAGCACGAAAAACAGAGAAGGATATGAACACATCGACGGGACTAGCACTCGTCTGTGATGGCTTGGGAACTTTTAAATAAGCATATAAAAGCGGTAACAGGGAAATGGCCATGGTTGGGCCTCAGAGGCAGGTTGGAAGTGATCTCGCTAGCGATGTGGCTTCTGTTACATCCCCCTTCTTTTGTTTGTTTTGAAGATAAATTCAAACTGGTGCTTTCACTAGCCTTCCCGTTCTTGTGATGGTTCTTGCACCATCCCATTTGTTGATCAAGAGTCCGTCTCACTGCGGCTTGTCCCACTGGCTGGTGGACGGTCGATTTCTTTTTAGCATGTAGGGTGTGGCTGTGTGACAGGGGGTACTCCAGCCTGTCTTCCAAGTTTGCTTTGGTAGGTCTAATGAAAGATGTATTTCTTCTGGGGTTGCTCCCTGGTGCCTTGGCAATAAAAGACTTTGGGTAAGGCATATTTCCCACGGTAGTTCCTGGGATCCATTTTCGGTGACTGTTGAAGACTCCAACTTTGGATCCTTCCTTCGTCTCTGGAGTGGGTGCTGCGCGAGCGTCTGCATACACCTTTTGCTTCCCACGCAGTGCTTCCAGCTTTTCTTTTGCAATGTTAATAATTTCAAACTTCAGGAGCTTTGCACTGACAGGCAGTGTTGTCATGGTTCGATAACTAAAGAGCCTTTGTGTGGGTGAACCGAGCTCTTCGTTTTTGGCACATTGTGCATGTTTAGTAATGCCTTGTGTACATCTGCTCCGTCTCTCTCACATCTCTTTATGATATTCTTGGCCACTTGCACCACCCTTTCGGCTAGCCCATTCGGTTGTGGTATCTTGGACTCAATGTTTGGTGTTCAAATCCCCATTCCTTCTTGAACTCTCGGAATTCCTTTGCTCACAAGCAAAGTTCACCGTCCAACTCGAGTAGCCTTGGAACACCATGTATTGCGGACTAGCACCTCAGTGTTTTGACGACATCTGCTGATGTTCCACTTGTTGCATTTTGAAGTCGATGTAGCCCGAGTAGCTCTCCACTATCACCAGACTAGTCTCTCTCGCATGGTCGAAGAAATCCACTGCGACTATTACAGACGGGAGACTGGGTACTTCATTTTGTAGCACTGGCTCCTTCGGTGCCCTTCTGGCTTGCCTGGCATGTTGTGCAGCATTCAACAAACTCCTTGATCTGCTGTGACATTCCAGGCCTGTAAACTGTTTCTTCAGCTCTCTTGATGCAACTTCGAATTCCAATATTTTCCGCGTGTATCTGTTGGAACAGCCGTTTCTTCCAGGATTTAGGAATGATTATGTAGTTGCCCTTGAAGAGATATACTCGTAGATGGCAAGTTTGTCCCAGAATGGCCAAAAGAACTTCATTGCTTCTGACAGTCCACTTGTTTTTTCTGGTCAGCCCATGAGGGATGCTTCTAAAAATTGTAGTAGTTGTGGATTTTGTTATAGGTGTCTCATTAACTCCTCCAGGGTTGTTGTGGCCATAGGGATAATGGCCAACGCTTCTATGTCTTGCGTTGCTGACTCTGCTGTTTCTTCTGGCTTGCAGTCTTTGCTCAAGAGGTCTCCAATGATCAGATCCTTGCCTTTTCTAAAGACAATCTTTGGTACGTAGTGCTGCACATCAAGCAGCAGCCCTTGGAGGCATGCTGGAGCTTTTCCCAGTGGCTTTTGGCTTATTGTTTCCAGAGGTTTGTGGCCCATTCCTACTATCAGAGGTCGTCCACATATGCACTGATGAAACATTTTAGTCATACCCGATTGCCAATATCTTTTTCTCTATCTGCAGATAGTTTTGTTGCGTAGAAGTCAGTGCTGCCGAGGCATACGCCACTGGTTTTCCATTCTGTATGAGCACCGTATCTAGCGCCGTTGAGCTTGCGTCAACCGAGACTGTCATGTCTCCATCCAAGTCATAGCAAGCCAGTGTTGGAGGCCTTTTTAAAGCTTCTTTGATTTCCTTCAGAGCGGAGCTCTGCCCATAGCCAGTCAACATCTTGTTTAGAAAGTTTTCTTAGTGTTGTAGTTTTTTCGGCCAAGTTTACAACATATTTTTGCAGGTATTGTGGCATTTCTTGGCAATCTCTACAGTTCTGCCTTGTTCTTTGGCTCACCAATTCTTTTAATGGCATTCACCTTTTCGTCGTCAATTCTGTCCTTGAGTGAGCATGTGACCAAGGAACTTCACCGTGGTTTTGCCGAACACACACTTTTCTCTGTTCAGCTTTGCTCCTGCTTCATGGAGTACCTTTAGAGCTGCGTCCCACTAGAGCGACAGACAGCAACAAACGACAGCGAGCGACAGACGACACCGACAGACCCTGTTTGTCGGAGTCCGCCGTCCCACCTGGCGGACACGACGCAGAACACGGGGGCAAGGATACTTGTTTTCTAGTGGGACTGAAGTTGTCAACAAAGCACTTCAAAATACACAGACAAACAGAGTCTGGCGACACAATCTTCGTGTTTTGCTCTTTGTTCATAAAACGCGCCGACAAACACGGTGAAAGTGGAGACGATCACTTTATTTCTTGATTAAAGCTTCCACTTCTCTTCATTTGCCGTTGGCAATTTTCTGTAAACAGTCGTGACAATCAACACCAAACTTTTTCCGGACTAGAAATACCCGAATCGTTCCTTTTTTGGGCCGTTCGAGGCATTCTAGGTGAGCGCCACAGAGTTTCACGCTGATTTTGAGGATGCTTATAACTTCATATTCGAATGATCGAGGGCAAGCGCTCTTTGGTGGACAATACAGCATCCCGATTGTCACAGAACGTGATGAAAAGTCTCTCGTCTGCCGGAATGGCTTGTTGCGGAACGTCGTGTCCTACTTCACGGTGAGCGGTCTTACTTTGGTCAGTCCTCGCACATGGGCGTAGACTTCGGCGTCTTGAAGCACCACCTCACGCACCAAGTTTTCGCGAGCAAAACCAGCCACAGCAAATTCCCTTTCGCAACATGACCGCCTGGCGCCAGCCAGCAAGCCGCTCCCGCGACCCTATACGTGCAATCGAGGGACCAGAACAACGGGGCCCGGAACGAGGAGTGTCCGCCAAGTGCTTCTCGTTCCGGGAGGAAGGGTAGAAGGGTGGGAAGGGAGGAAACAGAAAGCATAAACGGGCAAGGAGGATAAGTTTGTCTCCGAGAGATGTTTCTCAGTGGGACTGTTTGCTGCGCTTCAAGTCTAACGACAGACAAGAACTCGTCCGTTGTCGATCATTTGTCGGCGATTCTCAGTCGTTGCAGTGGGACAGCATCGGCGACACGGAACTTTGTGAAGTCGTCGGACAAAAACCGGTGTTTGTCGCTCTAGTGGGACGAGGCTATTAGAACAGCTTCTCTGTTTTTCTAGCTCTTCGCTGGTCTTGCCGTAAACCAAGATGTCGTCCATGGAGTTCACCACGTTTGGAAGGCCTTCAAGAAGCTGGCTTAAGACCTATTGAAACATTTCTAGTGCTGTAGCCATTCCAAATGGCACACTTGTGAAGCAGCATCTTCCCCAGGAGTGTTAAACGGGAAGTGGCTTTGTCTCTCGTCCGAGACTTTCAGTTGCCATAACCCCTTTTCAAGTCCAGTGGCTTCAAATGAGTTTATCCTTGGATCTAGGTGACTACTTCGACGGTTCTGAGAGGATACTGTCTTCTTAGCAACACCTTGTTGAGTTTGACAGGGTCCAGACAAATTTGGAGTTTTCCATGTTGTTTCACTACCACCATTATTTGACTGCTGAACGGTGTTGCTTCCATGTCTTTCTTTACGATTCCTCTTCTTTTGATGCTATCGAGCTCTTCCTTTACTTCATCCATCAAGCAAATGGTGGCTTGTTTTCCAGCTTTTGTGCTCCACCTTCCTCGATGTCAGCTTCGCAAACAGAGTCTTTGACGCAGCCTATCCCCTGAAATGTGCCGTCGTCAGCTCTCGGTGTTTCAATCAAGCGTACATGCTTCACCAAATTGACTTTCACAAGCCTAGCCTGTGGAGTTTCACTCCACGGGCTAGGTTCTTAGTAGTGCGTGACCACCCGATCTAAAGGGAAGAGCCACATATGATGTATAGTGTCTGATTTGTTACTGGCTGCTGTTTCCGATTCCTGGGGTGTGGGCCGACAGACGCACTAGTGTACGGGCTTCCGCCTTTCTGTTTCACCTCGCACGCCCCCTAGGATAGTACTCAAACTTTGGAGATAAAGATTATGATTATGATTATCAATCCTCACCAACGGTGCCAATGCCTGCCTCAGGGTGTTTGTAAAAGAGGAGCCACATCAGATCAAGTGAGTTCTCTTAATTTCAGCGTGAGCACATGCGAAGGCCACGCGAAGCTAGGAGACTTTCCTAAAAGAGGGAATACAAGGTCAGCTGTGTCGAAGCAAAGCGTGAATGCTTTCCAATCACTGAGCTAACGACGTCACTTCTTCAGATGCTGTAGCAAAAAGCTGCAGGTTTTTTTTTTATGTCAATAGTTATAAGTAGATATAATTTTTGTTTAAATAGGAAGGTACAGCTTGCTTGAGAGTCAGAGGCTAGGAAAATTAAAACTGGGCGGATGAATTCTCTCTGTATCTCTCCAACGTAACTTTGGAGTTACAGTCAATGAACTGTGCTTCACTCCTGCGTGGTGTGAACAAAAAAAGATCGCTATTTCCCTTTGTGGCCCTAAAATTACACCCTATTTGCGGGAGCCAACCGCTACCCGATAGGAACGACCGTCAATATATAGGTTCGTCTTCGTTCTGAAAAAATGATGGGTGCTCGGCGTCCGCGCACCTTGAGCGCCGATCAAAGCTATGCCCGCGCGCTGTATGCTTCCACTGAAATGCCACCGAAAGTTGTTTCCGAGCGAAGGGGCGTCAATCGCGTTCCCCAACTCCAGAAAGAAGACGACGACGAAGAAGAAAATCGTGCCAGCGATTTGTTGCGCGTCGGCACCTCAACGGAAATCTGTTATCATGCGGTGCAAGCATCATCGGCAAGCTCGTCGTGTCGGGGACTACCCGGAAAATTCAACCTAAGATGACGAGAAAAAACCAGTGTGAGTTACCCCTTCTTAATTACAGGGCGCAACCTTGTTTTTTAAGAAGCAACATTGTTCAGAAATAACGGCTCGATGAGCACGCACCGGCAAATGGCCGTGGTACGACGCGTAACCGACAGGGGATGAGCACGGAGATCGCTTGACAAAGAAAAAAAAAATGTGGTGCGGCTAAATCCCAAGTTGATTCGCGACGCTTTTGAACCCTCTAGCAGCCTGGTAAAATGGTAATGACTGTAACAACCTACTCACCCCCGACCTCACGTTTTCATTGTTCGGGATTCGCTCAACCGGACGAAAAGCACGCGACAAGGTTAAAAAACAAACAAAAGTTCAACGCGATGTTGATTGGTGTTCCCGCCTTGTGCGAGTCCTGGGCGCCTTACAGGGGTCCATAGGTCCATATCACATGAGCGAATGACGTTTTAGCGAACAGCGACATTTGAGCGAATCAATGTTTCAGCGAATAACGATTTGCTTGAAATTTTTCTAAACTAACCAACAAACATTGCTAAAATAGTATCCCAAATATTAGGTCAAAATATTGTTTTTTCGCGAAGTTATTGAATTTACAGTTTTCATCTTCACCATGTTTTTCAAACTGAAAGTCTCTACTGGCAACAACAACAAAGTGACGTCAGTGGAAGGCAGGGGTTAACTTTTTGGACTACAGAAGTTGTTCCCAGCGGATTTGAAGCACTTTCTTGGTGTCAAATGAGTGCTTTGGAAGCTCGCTCCCGTATCCGCGCTTCAGCACGGAACAAATGATTGGCATATACTATTTTTAGACTACTTGCTCGACTGGCAAGCCTGCCTGCCAGACGTCACGGCACTGAAAAGTGCGCGAATATTTGAATATTGGTTTTTGCACCATTTTCATTTGCCGATTTCACAATACCTATTATGAATTTCGCGATGATAAATAGCATACCGGAAAGGCTAAAGGCCGGGGAGTCAGAAAATATAGTTAGTTGAGGTAGCTCAAAAAATCGGTGGAGTACCCCTTTAAGCGCGAAACACATGTACGACGAAACCTTCCGATCCGATTCGGAATGACCTTGGGGGGAGAGGGTTTTTGTAGCATCGGAGAGCGTTGAAAACCCTCGCCTCCGACCTCGTCGTACGTGTGTTTCGCGCTTACGCCGCTGCGCGGCGAGTCTGTGGCCGGCGGTGGCTGCTCATTACAAAAATGTGAACCCATTTGGCACACCCGAAAACGTCGCTTCGCGGCGTCCGACTATTCGCTAAAGTGTCATTCGGTGAAACGTGGGCGTTCGCTAAAACGTCATTCGATCAAGTGAGTGACTCCCCTCGCGGGTCGCGGTACACACAAATATCGTGAGGATGTACTACGTCCCCGTTTTACCAGTTTCACTTTCCTGGGAAATTACGACACGGCGAAGGCTTATGCAGTTTGCAGACGTTACTGAGCAAATCACTTTGATTCACTCTCCCTTCAGCTTGTACAAAGCCTTTCTCCTCTGCGCCACTCCTGTCGACTTTCCAAGATAAAAAAATAAATAAATAAATAAATAAAACCAAATACATTCACACTGGCAATTCAAAGGAAAGTGAACTGGAAAAGCACGAGCAAAATAGTGGCAGAGGTGAACGATAACACCATCTCCCTCCAGGACTACGCTGCTTCATGCCTTTGGACCACGACACAATCGCAGTGAGCGCCTTCATTCTCGCAACAGTGTGCATAGTGCTGCACAGATCCCTGCGCAAGATGGTGATCCTGTGCATCATATTTCCTCTCCTGCCCATGCTAACCCTGGTTGCCATCAACAGCATGAGGCCCAGCGTCGAACTACTCACCACTTTATCCGTAATTGCCTTCGTGAGCTTCTTGCGTCGCAAAGTGTTCTACAACTGAAACACCGGCCCAATGGCAAAGGAAAAAAAAATGTTGCCGTTTTATTATGTATTTACACAATGGCGGCAGGCTTTGCTTTGTTGGGAAACCAAGCACGACCAAAAACAATAACTCGCTTGGTACGGGCGAAAATAAAAGTCAATGCCACACAGGAGGCTCTGCCACTTCTCTCGCTGTACAGACGACGAATAACGTAAACAAGGGCTAGTGTCACACGGGTGTCTTCAAATCTGTACAACCAGGGCATTCCCACGCGGGGACAGAATGGGAAGTCGACAAAGGATGAAACGCGACTCTTCCGAGACGTGCCGAGAGAAACAACATATCCGTACAAACACGCCCACCCGGGCCCACTGAAATCAAGGGCAGTGAAGGTAAGTTAAAACTATTGCAACAATGTTGCACCAAAAACTTGACTGTAAACATTCAAAACACATATCTGCCGGCGACAAAGGGAATCGTATCCACAAGGTAACGTGTACAAATGCCCCCATAAAAGCAGCTAGTTTATCTGCATTTGGTCGATGAACATGCACAATAGAGTTGTGGATGTACCGGTCAGTTCGTAACAGTCGATATGTGTGTACTGTACAAAATATACATTAGACACCCCGGGGAGAGAAAATTCAAACGTGACAAGCCCGTACGTCGACAAACTGGCTGTGATCCCGCGTCCCACAACTGGTGCCTCAACAAAATAAATGCCACGTCGGAGAAACATAAATACAATTTAGAGTAACGCTGTTGTCTAACAATTTACATTAAAACAATTCTTGCCCTGTCCCTTGTGTCACCTCTGGGGCCGGTAATGTCCGCACTGACGACCGCCTTCGGCTTCGGCTAGACGATGTTGCTTCATCTCGAGCTGCTGCACTCTGTGCTGGCCTTAAAACTTAAAATGCCCGCCGCCGGTCGATGCTACTAACAGAGATATTGATGGTGAAGGAAACCAAACATGCAGGAAGCTCCCAGCTTCCCAAATGCTCCGAGCAGTTTAGAAACTGCAGCTGACGTTCGTGAACACATCGTAGTCGGGTCAAGCACCGTCCTCGGAAGAACGAACGCGATGGCACCCGTCCTTTCTCGCAGCGCCAACTGCAGTACACAAAGTCCGACTCAGAGATGGTTCCCCTGACGGGAAGATCTGACATGCTGCTTCTGGTTGGCCTTGGTAGTCACTTTAGACCGGTGGCGTGTCGGTATGACGTCGGCGCTACGGCGGCACGTCGGCGCAACGTCGGCAGTGGTATGGTGGTGCGTCGGCGTGGAACCGGCGGTGCATCCAGCGGCGTTTTCAGCAACTGTAGTGAGGGCATCTGGACTGTGGACGCTGGCCGCTCCATCCACAGAGCCAGCCCGCCATCACCTCTTGCCCTGGCTGGGACCGCAACCAGATCGCTCGGGGGGGGACAATGAAGACGGTGCCGCCGTGGCTGCTAACCCGCCGCCGCCACCTCTGTGGTGGCTACCGTCTCTCAGGGGCTTTCCCAGGAACGGACGCTGTAAACAGAAATGCTTCCTTCAGATGGTTCCCCAATGAACATGACAGAAAGTGCATCTGCAGAAACAGGAGAAGTGCCTCGCAAAAGCTTCCCCTCGAGGCATTTCAAACATAGACAACAGACAAAAAAAGTTTCAATGATTGCCACCCAGCCTTAAAATGAGCGGTACATTTGCTGTATGGCATAACTAGGCTCAAACAACTATGTTGTGAACACTTTCAGAGAATGATCCTGTGGCCAAATTAATTGGATTGTGCTTGCCTGCGAAGGGGCTGTACAACACACAAACATGATGTGCCGTGCTATTGGAAAAAAAAAGATCCAACAGCAGCTAAGCTGATAACTAAGTCCACGGGGACAACATAAATCATTTGTCCACATTTCTGATGCAGCGCTTGGCTGACGCAGCTGAACGCTGTGCCAGCATTCGACTGGAGCTCACGTTCGATTTGTGAAGCACCAATAGACCATTCCGGAAATATGCAGTGCCTCCCATCATCTTTTTCATGCGCTACGGCAATCCAAAGTAAGATGCGTGAAGGAGCACCTAGAAACAGGAGAGCTATGTGCTTCCTTAGCATTTTGGGATTTCAGAACACAAAGAAAGCATAACGAAATAGGGCTGCATAAACTTCATGATCTGTTTGCTCTTTTTTTGTGTGTGTGTGTGTTCTGACTTTGTAATGGTAAAAGAGAATTCTCCGTGCAGCGCAGTGCAACGAGGAGTTGACAAGAGGCCCTGTAAGATTTTCCAGAAAGGTCTGTGAACCCAAGTCCCAGTTACACATCGTTACAGCACTTGAGCCCAATCTGTGCCTTGAACCCAATCGAGGAAGATGATGTAAAGAATCCAGTATACAGGTCTTGTGTCGGCTAAATGCCAAACTCTGTGGAAACTAAGCTGGACAAAGTGTCTCCAAATACCGTATGAGCCAATACTGGCAACTCCAGTGGACCGCGGGCGAAGAGTGATCGCAGTGCCCCTGGCAAGCTCGGAGTCTCCGCTAGCAGACAAATTCTCCACAACGTATTGGTTTTGCCTATCTCCGTGCGAGGTGACCAATGAAAAAAAAATGGCACGGGTACTCGCCGCTTTGAATGCTAAAAAATAAGTGCCACTTCATGAGTGAAGGACATTTGCTTCGCGTGGGGAAGATGTTACAGCCTTTAGGGTGCAATTTTGGGGCTCTCCTGAAGAAAACACTCTCTTATGTAAGCCAGGCAAAATACAAATGTACCTTTGCACTGTTCTTTTGAAAAAGGGCAATGTACGAAAATTTCAGAACATAGCTAATTTTCAATTTTACTGTTCTTATCAATCAGTTTGTTTTGTTGTTGCAATTCCCACTTCTCATGAATGTTTTGCTTATAACAGTTTCGTTGAATAGGCGAGCTGGCTAATCCCATTAAGATTGTCTCTGGATGAAGAAGCAGAAGGCAATTTCGAACCATGTATATTACTGTGATGTCAGTATACACTCCGTGCGAAGCAACTGGCGCGCCGCCGCGCGGCCGGTACCGGAGGTAGGCAGTGAGAACCCCAGAGAAAACGAAACCAAAACCACGCCGCGTACATTCGTACGCATTAAAGTCGGAGCGGTGCGGTTGCGCTGGGTTTACAGCATGAAGTGCTGTCTGTGCAGTTGCGCTGGGTTCACAGCATGAAGTGCTTCAATAGTTATGCGTCATATCTCGTGGAGACAAAGTTTCACAGTTTTTCACCACGCCGATGTTTTGTGTGACAGCGACAACGATGGAGCCGTGCCCTACGACGTGAGAAATTTGGTCTCCCGATCATGTCTGCCACTGTGTCGGCACGGCTGACATATTCTACACTGCCGCTTTGCGCTCTGCGTTTGTTTTTGTACCAGTAACGCCTACATGTGTCAGCGCCGATGGGACGAACCCACACTCGCAGGTATGCAGTGCCAATTTCGTTGGAGGAATGTCCTCCAAAGAAGTTTCGTCCCCATCGTAAGTGTCGATGACATTTCCGGACAAGTATGGCACGCAATCTGTACTTCATAAAGAAAGATTCGAAAGGTAAAAAAAGTGGCAAATATAAATCTAAAGAAAACAACAATGAAACTCGGAACCACTGGAGAATCGACGTCTGAGTATTGAAGTTTATGTGGCGTGCTTTCTTTCTTGACCAGCCTCCTTTTGGATGTGGAAACGCTGAGACCACGAGTTCTGTAGACAACATTTTTTTTCTTGGCTTTAGAGCCACCTATCGCAAAGTGGTTCGAACTGGAAGTACTGTCCACTGGTTCCTTCCTACCTGTAAAGTGTGCACCTCCCACGATGAGTGGTATTATCTGACAGCCTTTGACGGTCAAAGCCAGTTCCCATTTAGTTACACCGCCCAAACTAAATTTTTACCTGGTTTCGCTATGCCAACTCTTTTTGTAATAATAAGTGTTGTGCCAAGTGACGGTCATGTCAAAGTACCTGTGCGCCGAAAATCAGCACCTCGCACAACAGGTTATTACACAACAGCTGATCGCAAAAAGCCCTTGGCGGCCAAACCGTGTGTTGGCTGACAACTTTGTTTTCTCGGGTTAGGAACCACCTTTCGTAAAGTTGTTTCAATTGGAAGTACAGTCCACTAGTCCCTTCCTACCTCTAAAGTCTCCACCTCCCCCGGCCAGTGGTACTCTCTTGACAGCCTTTTCATGATCAAAACCGGTTCCCATTGAGTTATGCCGCCCAAACCAAATTTTCACCTGGTTTCCCTATGCCACCTTTTTTTGTATAATAAGTGCTGTGTCATGTTACTGTCAAGTCCACGCACCAGTGTGCCCAAATCTGCACTTTGCACAGCCCGCAATAACACAACATTTTGGGTCCAATATTGGATATCCCGTACAGCTTTATTTCTTTATTCGTTAGAAACATAACTTTCACACCTGGTGTCTTAAAGAAACTTGGCTCTCTTCGTGCACAAACTTAGTGAACCTCTCACTCGCCTCCAAATATCATCGTTCCAGCAGTCCTAGGTTTACAGCGACGAGCGAAATAAATTTCCCACTTAGAGCAATTAAGGTGGCGGCCGTCTTGTTTTTCGGAAAATTACTCCAACTCCTTTTTCGGCCGCAACTAGAGAAATTACCCCTAATCACGACTCAAGTTCAATATATAAGAAGTGGAGAACAGCTATATGCCCTTCTGCCCCAGCACTCATGCAACGTCACCCTCAACTTATCGGCTCAAAAAGCAAAAGTTTCTTCCGTGCGCGCTTCCGCCGCCACAGCTTGGCATGCAAAAAGGCGCCGCAGGCTGCTGAACGCGCCTCACAGTCGAACGCCAGCTCCTCCGCTAGCAGCGCTGCGCGCATTTTTCAAAGCGCCCCCTATAGTTCCCGCACAGAGTGTATACTCTGGAAGAAGTCAAGTGTGTACATGCAAATTTGACGCTATTACTGAAATGAATGAAAACAGAGTTACAAAAAGCAGACTTCTCACGCGTGAAAAAAGAAAAAGAGGCACATCGTAGCGCAAATAAATGGGATTTCAGTCCATTATATACGGTGCGCAAATGGAGCTTTTGTAGAAACATTGGTTCGAGAGTAAATAGTTCCAGTACCCTCTCTCTCTCTTCCTTCTGGCCGAGTAGAGAGGAAAGATGGTTTCTTTGTGTCAACTTCGGGGCAGAAGATAACCCACGATGGGGACAAAGGTGAGTTTGGGAGAGCCGTACCTGGACCACAACGGCTCAATAGGTGAACAGTATGTGGCCGATTTCTTCGGTGTCCAACGGGTGGGAAAGGCCTTGTGCACGCATTGTTTTCTAGCCACTTAGTCTTGAACCCAGTCGCGTGTCTAGGTGGCAGCAAATGTATTCATTAAAAGGTGGATTCCGATTGTTAGCGCCTAACATCTTCTGCGTCTTCTACAATGAAGGCCGGCACCCGTTGGACTGTCTTGCAACCTCTTACATTTTCAGTCTACTTTCTTTTTTTTGTTTGAGGTGACGCTACATTGCTACATTCTTTCTTTTTCTTGCTTTTTTATTTTTATTTTTTGTTTGACACTTGAATAACAGCATATTTTGCTTTGCCTTGTTTGGTTTAGTTTTTGCTCCCTCAGTGATGTGATTGGCCTAAGCCATTTTGGAGCACCTTTTGGAGCAGCCAAAACAGTGTTTTGGAACAGCAAATGTGACCTTTGGAGCAGCCAAGACAGTGTTTTGGAGCAGCAGAAGTGGCTTTTGGAGCAGCCAAAACAGTGTTTCGGAGGAGAAAAAGTGACTTTTGGAGGAGATATTGTTAGAAAAATAAATAGTTGTTTTAAGTGCTGGACAAACGAAGGACACTTTGTGTTGTGTTGTGATGCATGTGATGTGTTGGGGCGGAATTCGCTGCTTGTGTTTTTGCTGCTGTAGACGTTGCCAAGCAACTAAAAAAAAAAAAAAAAAAAAACTTTTTATTTTTTACTGGTTTCCGACGTGGCAGATTTTTATAAAAAGTAGGCAAACGTAAAACAATGAATTGCAAGTGTCCCGGCTGGTGCCTCTCGTGCAATCATGTTCACATGCTTGTGAGGGCAACTTCGGCAGGTTTGCAGTTACACGTGCTTCGTCGCGTGAGCGGAGACAACGGCAGTTCGACCGAAACCGAAACCATGCCACTCCGCTCCGTCGCCAACTGGTTCCCAAAATAGTATACAAAATGTAACTGTCCAGCATACGACAATAAACAGTCCAGCGGCACGTGCTTGCCAGGCCGGCAGGCGAGGTACAGGCTAAACACACAGAAAAAAAGAACCTGAGCGTATCGATGCAAGACACTGCGAATCAGGGTCAAAAAGTTCCTGGAGCGCTTTGTGCAACGACTGAACTCGAGACAAACAAGCGCGGTGTGCGGGTTCAGCGTGCAGACCATTGCCTTCTTTGCTTTTGCTCACTTCTCGTCATCGACTTTCTTTCGCGGCAGATTTTCCACGTACCGGGGTCCCTCTCGAAAGAAAGTCCACCGAGAGAAACCTAGGCAATCAAAACTTCGCCAAGCAGTCATTGAGTTAAAGAGGGTTTTTTATAGCAGCGTATGATTTAAACAAGAGGAGGAATGTCGATGCGTTTCAGTTTAGAAAGCGCCACATCTGCAGCGACGTGGAGACGGCAACACACAACATCGCGCGACCACGGCGACTGCGGTCGCGCGAGCGGTTCAGCTCACGAAGTAACTCTCGCCGCGCAAAAACGTGGTATTGTTTCGCAGCATGACGGCATGTCTGGAACCCGGCACACTAACTAACGTCGGAGCGTTCGCACATGCCCGCGTCTATCGCTAAAAAATAAAAAAAAAAAAAAAAAAAAAGACACGAGACGACGAGAGCGCGAAACGCGAACGGCGGAAAAAATTATGCAAGACCGAATAGACGATTGATGCAGGGTACTTTGTGTCGGGCGGTGTCTTGTGCCACCTAGCTCACGTATGCACGTATGTAAACGGGGCTCGCAAAGCTTGAGGACATCGGGGAGCCTATACTTTTCCATTGCATTGTCAGCTTCTGTAGGCTCCGAGCCCGCTAGAGGCGCCACTGTTGCGTTTGCCGCCCCTCCCATGGGTTTCCAGAGGAGTTTCCAGTATTGGCAAAGCTATATCGTATTTGGCATCTCTATAGACCTTTTTCAGAAGGGCGCCACCATCTTGAATTGTCGTCACTTCCAGTATGGGCGAAAACATTGTTTTCCGCCGCAGCGCCAATAGAAGACCTTTAGAATACAAGTGTAACCGTCACGCGTTCTCGTTTTGCCTCCCATCATCTTTTTTTTACCATTTACAGGTTGAAACATTTTGTTATATTTTCGTCGCCCATACCGGATATGCCTATTAGGTGGCTGGGGACGAGAGTACACAAAAAAGGTCTGTACTCCGACCTTCTTGCCTACAGGCTGTCATAAAATCAGGGTTAGGTTGCATACATCCAAACATAAGGTGCAACAGTGTCAGTTCTCCGACGACTGGGCGACCGGAGCACAATCCGACAAGTGTCGCCATCAACTGTGAATGTCCAGCACAATCTACGATGCTTGCCTGCGAAGGGGTGGCTGGCGACGGACCGGTCCTGTTGTGACTGAGATCCCCGAAAGTCAGTCCAATGGTTCGGCCAGTGCCTTCCATCTGGTCTGTACTGCTCTGTGTCATTGCTCCGAGCGGCAGTGACGTGGGAACCTGCAATGACTGTCGGACAGAGAACCAATTTGGAAGTTTATTAGCCGGGTCCCCCAAACACTAAAATAACCACCTCCAAGTTTCTTTTAATATGAAAGAACCTTACAATTCACTCGGTTTCGAAACGAACACCTCCGATTTACCCCAGAATTGCCGAGAGCAGAGCGTGATTCGTCCCCTACGACAAGTCACGCCTGACCGCAACACATCTTTGCACAAAGATGCATTGTTGGACTGTATTTTATTTCATACTCAGCATACAACGCTGTCAAAAAGTTGCTGGCTGTCTTCATTTAGCGTTCAATCTGCACGCGCTCTTTGTGTAAATGAATGACCCATGCACTCGCTCCCATAGCTTTGACAGCGTTGTACACCAAGTATGAAACCAACTTTAGGTTGGCTCACCCTCCAACACACAGGTCAACACACCGATCTCACGAAGCGTTCGGTGCATGAGTGACGCCGCCATAACTTTAGTTCACAGGAGGCAGACGGGCGTGCTTCCGAGGGCTTGTGCCATCTCGTACTCCACACACGCAGAGCTCCAGCGAGGTTGTTGCACGTGCAGAAAGATTAAAGTTCCCTCGATGCATTGCGGCTGCGCTAGCGTAGACAAACTGGCTGGTGAGATCGGTCTATTTTCAGAAGTTTGGAAGGAAGTAGTCTCGTTCAGTGGCTAGTTTAAAACAGTCAACATCACACACACAACTCGCTTCTCACTTTTGCTTTTTGTTTTGTTTTGTATTATGTCTGGCAACAGATGAACACTTAAAACGGCAAACACGACTTCATAAGTGGCGTCGGGCTGCAGAGCAGCACTTTGCTCCTTGAAGTATCTAAAGCTCAAGCTCCGACCTAAGACAGCGGAAATGAAACACATTGGAAGAACCGATTGGGATCGACTGGCAAACAACATGGCAAAGGGTCACCCACCTGTGAAGCATGCCCCTCTGGAGTCTGGCAGGACCCCAGGGCAAATTGGGACAGCCCCTGTGAAGTGGGCAGCGCCCCGGGGAAGCACACTGTGCCCATGGGACCTCCAGGAAGCTGTGGCCGTGCAAAGAAAGAAACTCACCGATTTGCTCTTTGTGGCCATTTAGATGACTGAGAAGCTAGCCAGTATTTGTGCAGGTGCTAAAGCTGTGTTAAAAGTTTAACTTCTTTGCAAAGTGAGCTACAGTAGAGCCCCATCCCGCAACTTGTTCGGCCTGCATCAATTATTGAAAAAAAAAAAAAAAATATTTGGAGATTGAATAACTCAAAAAAGTTTAATAAAATTTAGCGTGCCTGTGAAACTAGGCTGGCTGCAATGACAACTAAAATTCATAATCAGTCCCCCTAACCCAAAAAAGAAATTTGAGCAGCACAAAAATTGCAAAAAGTTGTGGGGTCGAAAAGAGCATTGGACTTCCAAGGTCGAAATGAGCGTCGGACTCGCTTAAATGATCTCAGGCGCCAAAATGGGTTCAATGGTAGCTACCGACAGAAATCCAAGGCTAAGCACACGCATCTAGAAAGCCTGATCAAACTAAGTTGCTTCCGCCATGAGCTACAACATAATATCCCCATACAAGTCAACCTACTTCCATCCAAAGAGTACGTTCACCACATCAGTGTCACTAACATAGTGAAACCTGATGTCCCAGAGTCACCACCCCAGTGTACTGCCAATAAATCTCCATTCTCATTAGCGGGGCAATTCTATTGCCTCTCTGTCAGTATATCCGACCACAGTGCAAAAACACACTCCGTAGAAGGCAGTATTTTCAACAAGCCACAACAAGCACCGCGCTTGACAAATGGTTACCCAATGGAAGGGTGTCGAACAAAACTGGCACATAAATACACTCGTTCAGGCTAGCTTAAACATTCAAGTTTCAGTGTCTTTGAGTGCATTCCGTTTTCTCATAACCGCTTACAGGAGAGCACGCTAACACCACATATCGGGTAGCCCTGGAGCACTTCTGGCCTGCGTATATAACTTTTTGTGCATTATTCTTTCTTCGTGGGCTTGAAGTGATTCTGGCAATGTTATAAGCGACTTTTTCTCCTAGACCGTTTGTGGGTTTCATCGGGCAAATGCTGCAAAACCTCCAGTCTTGTTATACGCAGATTGGAAGCTTTCTATGGCACTAGCCAATGGATGGTGCAAGTGTGTTCTCTCCTCAAAAGCAGGTAAAAGGGAAACACCAGAGCCATTAAATAAGATACCATACTTGCATGAATATAACGTGACCATGATTATAATGCAAGGTCAAACTTCTAAGCCCTTTAAAAAAACTTTTAGCCTTTCCACTCTGGTGAAGAAGGAAGACCAGCGAAGCTGTGCTATGGTGGGACAACCTCAAGGACGATGCCTAGAGGACGACGCCTAGGACGACTTCTGAGACGACCTCGAGGACGACACTTAGGATGACCTCGGGGATGACGTCTAGGACGACCTCAAGGACAAAGTTTAGGACGACCTCAAGGACAAAGTTTAGGACGACCTTGAGGACGACGTCTAGGACGACCTCGAGGACAACCTCTCAGACGGCCTCAAAGACGACGTCTAGGACAACCTCAAGGACTTCTAGAACGACCTCGAGGACGCCGCCTAGAGGACGTCCTCCTTGAGGACAACTTTTAGGACAACGCCTAAAGAAATTCAGCCTTTCTACTCTGGTTTTCACCAGAGTGGAAAGGTTGCCGCCATCTTTGAGCGACAGAAGCCACCAGAGAACTGCCAAGCCGGTTGTCTGGTTGCCGCTGTCACTCATAGATGGCGGTAGCTGTCCAGAGTTTTGTGTTGACATTTATTTGGCGACGGACATAGAACTGGGGAAACTAGCCCTTAACAGCTCCACCATAAAAAAATATTATTAATATCATAACGTGGACGTAAAGTTACTGCACTCGAAGACACAGCAGAAGTCGAGAGGAGACGAAAATCGGGAGGACAATGTGCACATTTTGACTGCGCTCGTAGCCACCGCTCGGCTCCTTCTCGCAATCGCATTACCTGCGAGCCATTTCTCTCAAATCGCAGCCCGCTGCGTCAAGTTTGTCGCTATACGAAGCGAAGTGCACGAAGCACAAGTGCTAAAACACTTTTGAACAGGAAAAAAAAAAAAAAAAAAATGCATGGGCAGAACAAAGATTGCTGAAAGAGACAGACCGTCGCCCTTGCCACGAACACCTCGCGTTTTATGATTACAAAAACATGGCCAGTGGTTTTGGCTCGTGTCTTGGCTTGGCTTGAACTGGCTGGTGTCCCACAGAGCGCGCCACCACGTTTTTGCGGCTGTGTGCGTTTTGCATGCATGAAAACGACAGAGAAACATTCTCTACTCCTCCCTTTACATGGCGCAATAACGAATTACTTTCCTCCCCATGCCCCGCCCCTTTTCTTTTCACACCTAATCTGCTGCGTTCAGTCAGAGGGAACGATATCTCCCGAATCGCATGCCTCATTGCCGAGCTAGATTCCGAATATAACGCAAAGTGTGTTTTCGAGCAGGTAACTTAAAAAGTCGTATTTTTTTACCACAGTGTGAGAAGAAACGAAAGTGATAGTCGTAGCACGGTTGTACAATGCGGGTGGAATGGTACCGTCCCGTACCCGAGGACGGAGGTGCGACGTGGTTAATTTTAATACCTGTTGTGGTTGGCGTAGCCACTGGATACTGCCAAAGTGGGATTTCGCAGAACATGTGGAATGTTTGAAAAGAACTCATTTGAAGCAGACGACATGAACATTCTCCCTGTGACGCGCAATTATTGGTGGGACGCCCGAGCTGGCTTCTTTGCTTTCCACGGGAGGCACGGCTGACGGGGACGTCCCAAATTCCTTCTCTTCGTGGCAAGAAGGGAGAGAAGGGGTTTTCCCTTCTTTGACCGCGCTGCAACGACGAGAGACGCAGCCAAAATCTCAGCAAAGCGTCGCCTAAACAGCTATTGCTTTAAAAAAAAAAAATATCTTGCATTATATTTGCGCAAATCTGGCACACTCAGCACATTGGCACTCCGTTTTTCATTTTTCTTGTCGGTGCCGCCATCTTGGTGCATAGTGGAGAGGGGGTGCGATCAGCGATCATTACAATTAGAAGATGAGGCTCGCTGAGCTTTAAATGCAGCGTCGGGAAGCTCAGCCGATCTCATTTTTGCTCCGTCACGGACCGCATCGACGCTCCTGGAGGGTGGAAAAAAGCGTCCTCCAGCGAATCGAGATACAAAGCTTCGGATGACCGGCAACAATGCTTTTAAGCGCCAAGATGGCATGAACACTCAACCAATCCCAGTGACAAAAGGCTTGCGACAAGGATGCCCCCTTTCCCCTCTCCTGTTCATGTTATATATGTCTAGATGGGAGACAGAACTGGAGGAGTGTGGGAGAGGCCTCAACCTGTCTTACATGGAAAATGGGCAAATGGTGAGACAACATCTTCCAGGACTATTTTATGCGGATGATCTGGTGCTGACAGCGGGCACCTGTGAAGAGATGCAACAGCTGCTGGACATATGCACAAAACAAGGGGACAGACTGGGCCTAAAGTTCAGCTCCCGTAAGTGCAAAGTGCTGAAGTGGGGGCCTACAGAGAATGTAGAGGGGGCTTTGGACACACCGCTTGTACTGCAGGGGGAGACTGTGCAGTGTGTCACGGACTACAAGTACTTGGGTGTACACCTGTCCATGGGTAGGAACTACATCTAAGCACATGAATCGGCTATCCGAGCAAAGGCCATGAGGGGAAAGGGAGTGCTGGCAGCAACGTCCATGTGGGCTTTCGACCGCTACGAAGTTGCTCGTAGCCTGTGGAAGATGGTGATGGTGCCCGGACTGACTTTTGCGAATCGGGTGCTGTGCACGTCGTCTCAGACTCGGGAGTTCCTAGAGGTTAGACAGCGGGAGGCGGGACGGATGGCACTCGGGGCACACAGGGGGACTCCAAACGAAGGGGTGCAGGGGGACCTCGGATGGTCTGCTTTTGAGTCGAGGGAAGCGGTGGCTAAGCTGTCTTACGAGAGGAGTCTTTGCGGCCTCGGAGAGGAGCGATGGGCCAGGAGGGTGTTTAAGTACCTCGTGTACAGGAGTGTAAACACGCGCCTGACCAAACGAGTGGCCAGGCTCGCGGGGAAGTATGAGGTACCACCGACCCTGCTGGACGGCCGGCCGCTCCGAGAGGGGGTTGCGGACCTCAAGAAGCACGTGCGGCGGGTCGAGACGCGAAGGTGGACGGAGTCGGCCACGCGAAAACCATCAATGACTGTGTATGCGGCCTCGAAGCGGGCGATCGAGCGGGAGCAGCTGTATGATGACTCCAGGGGCAGCGGCTTGCTTTTCGAGGCACGAACGGGGACCCTCAAGACCAGGCTGTGGAGATCGCGATATGACGCTGGGGCCCCAATCGCCTGCGTCGCCTGCGGAGCAGCAGAGGAGACAACCGAACATCTGGTGCTGCAGTGCAAGGCCCTCAGCCCGTGCCCCCAGGTGGACCATCTGCCGGACGCGCTGGGCTTCCGGACGGCGGAGCGGGGGGATGACGGCGAGGAACACGTCGAGACCACCAAGCGCCGACTAGAGCAGTGGTGGGAGATTTCCTGGCGGCTGTGGAAGAGGGAGAGGCGAGCTGGGCCGGACGTGCAAGCGCAAGCCGGACAACCGATGTTTTCCGCCCAGGTCGATTTGCCCCACACCGTGGACCCGACCGAAGCTCCACCACAACAAGAACTCGGCTAGGCTTGGCTAGAAACCAGACTAAGCAAGCCTTTTTTTCTTTTTTGGCAGGCCATCGCCGGAACTTCCGGCGAGCGGCCACCCGTTACAAAGGGGACGCCACTAAATCCAAATCCAAATCCAAATCCAAATCCAGATGGCCGATGTGTCATCACTCTGAAGCGTGGCTTGTTCAGTAACTCTAGAGAATGCGGTGATTGACCAAGTTCAAACTCAAATGTGTGAGCCAGCCTTTATCGCACCAGACTTCCACGAGGTTCTAAAGTGCTCTGCTCGATAGAGATAATGGAGCTCGGCTTTTCGGCAGGCGTGGAAAAACCATGCGTCGCAGAAAGCTGAAACTTTGCAAGAATGTGACGCTAGCGGTGGCGATAAAATGCGGGTGTTTGAGCACAAGACGTTACCTGAATCAAAAGGCGCAAAAGAAAAACAAAATTTGTCTATGAGCCAACGTCCACCTAAATTCATAAAACCAAAACACGAGGTTATGAGACCCTTGAGCTATTATATCAGTGAAAAAGCTTGCCCATTAGAAAGACGGTATTAAATTCTTTCTTGCTGACAAGCTTTTTTTTTTTTTTTTTTATTGACATAATTGTTACTAGCACACAGTCTAAAATGCAGGTTTGATGAATATTAGGCTCGGGTGAACCTCGGCTCACGAGAAATTTTGTTTTTCTTTTGTATATTTTATACAGGTAACGTCACATGCTCAAACTTCCGCATTTTATCGTCACTGCTAGCGTCACATTCTCATAAACATACAGCTTTCTATGAAGAATAGTCTTCTTGTGCTGGCTGCAAACACCAGGACTAATTTCCTCGATCGATCCCCGTAGTGAAGAAAACCGTCCCTTGGGGTTTGACCCTCACCGCAGAAGGGTTGAGTCCGGCCCTCAGGTCGACAGCTGCCGTGGCAGCCGCCTCGGCCGACGAAGACCCCTGCGTGGACAGCGGCCCCGCCGTGCCCGCAGCTGCTGCCAGCGTCCCCAACGGACCCAGCAGGCGCGCGCTCACAGCCAGCAGCTGGTCACGGCGCGCCTGAAGACCGCTGATGCGAGTCTCCAACTCCAGATTCTCCGAGCGCAGCTGGTGCAGGCATGAGAGCAGCGAGGCAACTGCACACACCACGTTCGAGGGTCACATGTTGCGCTTGGGTCGCCTTCACATACAATGGATGATTGCGGACCAAACGTTTAAATGCATCCTAATCCCACGGACGAAGTCAGAAGACAAAGCATGTGCAACATGTTTTTAGCTGCGCTCTGTATTTATTTACAAGTTCCTCTGAGCTCGAGAGCCAGACTAATCTAGCGGAAAGCGTTTGCCGTCTAAATTTACCAGAGAAATTAATTTGGTATATACCGTAAAGTTCCGAAAAAAACGCCCACCCAAAATGAAGAAGTAAACAGTGAAAAACATGGGGATGCCAAAGCAAATCTTTATCAAAAATTAATGATAAAACACCCTGGCACCGGCTACAAACCATGCGACGCAGGAACTGATACTGTAAATCGCGTACACTGCGAATTCGCGTTTCATGATGCGATAAACACGCGGTAATTTGCTACAAACTCCTGTGTTATGGGAAAGGATACCACAAGTTGTGGACGCAGCATATTCGCCTTTCACGGAGCAAAGGACCCGCGGAAATCCGCCGAGAACTCGCATTTCACGTCAACGAATACCGCAAATTGCGGATGCAGCAGATCAAAATTTTATGGTGTGATAAACATGCCGGAACCCGTGAATGTGAATACATGAAATTGTGAATGATGTAATTATCCCCGCAAGACAAATTATTTATCAAGACTGCTTTCTAAAAATTACATGATAAAGAATGACTGAAAACGACACTGCACATCACAGTACCAACACCGTTGACGTAGTAAGCGCATGTAATAACTGCATTCATGCCTGAAACTAATGCAGCAGTGTATTTAAAAGCAAAAACTAGTGGTCTGATGTTCCTTTTGCCCTGGAGCTGCTGTTGTTCGTGCAAGAAATTTATTCAAGAATTTTAATTCATTCTGAAAGGGAGTTCACCTCTTTTTGCAGCTAGAATTACCTGAAATCTTGTCATATATCTTCCAATTCAAGGTTCGGAGATTTATCGTCCAATAAAAGTTTTTGCTTACACCGCAACACTAACAGGATAAAACTGTTGTGTCCTTCGTTCCATGCCTGCAACAAAGTATGAAGATTCCTGATTAGGCAGTAATGTAGTAACGAAAACTGGGTTGTAGATACATAGATATGGCAAATTTATTCCTTTTGTTTGCTTATATACAAGCCACATCACATTAACCTCTTAAGTGCCACCTTTTTAGGGGCGAAGCTCCTTAGGGTCTAGGCTTGTCCGTCCAGACGGCGTCCGTGCTCACATAAAAAAAAAAAATGTTTGCGCAGTCGACAGGATTCGAACCTGTGCGGGGAGACCCAATGGATTTCTAGTCAATCGCCTTAACCACTCGGCCACGACTGCAGGACGAGTAGGGGGCTCTAAGATGTGGTTGTAACTCAAGAGGTGGGGTTTCTGTCATGGACGAAACGTTGCATGTAGCCGCTCAACGTCTATACACAAACTCATCTCTGTTACGTCATGGCGCGGTAGTGGCGCGTCGGTCGCACTTCCGGTCTGAGACTGTGGGCAAAAGTCCCCACGCCAGACATGTATTCCTACGTTGTTTTGAAAGGAACCAGACAAAAATCTGCCTTCTCGTCAAAACGCTGCGACTGGGGCCGTACCAAAAAGTTGGAGGTCAGTTTTCACGTGCTCGGTTTGTCCGAGAATCTGGATATGTGCCGTGAAAAGGGAAAAGCAGACGCCGTCGGACAACGATTGCTTGGGAGAGAAGCACTTTGGGTTGAATTCACAGATACTCATGGTCATCAGATTTATTTGTTTTGTTCCAATATGAACGCCAGAAAACCGTCAAGTTGCGCGGACCACCTGAGGACTACGTTTAGTGCGCCTTCAAGTTCAAACGGCCGCCTGATCGTTCGAACTGTCGTCTGCTCTTTCAAACGTTTCTGCTTGTCGTCTGCTCTCTTAGACGACGCCGGCTCGTAGACCAAATGTTGACCCGGTGCTTGCGATAAGAAGTAAGTGCAGGCCTCAAAAGACTTAAATTTGAAGGTTGGTAAGCAGACTCGATGTAAACAGTAGATACAAGCAGGTGTTGATCATTGTTACCAGTAACCATCACCGACTTCTTAGGCCTAATTCACTTGGTCCGATTCTGCTTGCGATTTTCAGTATCGGCGTCGACTATCTCAGCTACGGTTCACGGTTTTGCAGCCCGAGCGGCGTCGCGACTGAAAATTGCGAGCGAAATCGCATCATGCGAATCAGGCTTTAGCGTACATACTGCGGCGTCCAAGCGGAATGAATCGCCCCATGTCACATTATTCACAGAAAGTTTTGCGGTATAACGAACCTCGGTAATTTCGCTGACGCCGTTCAAGTAGTCAGACATCGCCAGGAAGACGTTGAATCAACAATTCGAACGCGAAAAAAGGCAGGGGGACTCACACCGACGCCGACAACATCGCGTTCCAATGGTTTGTTTATGGGCGATGGCTAACTTCTTGCCCACACCCCCATCGCGCAAGCGCGGCGCCGGTGGCGTCCGTTAGGGGCGCTCCGGTTTGTTTGTAAACATGAGTTGGTGTATACAGGAGAGGACGCTGCGGTCGAATGTGTATATAATCGCATTAAACTTTGCATGCATTGGCTCAACGTTTATAGACGAGAGGGCGCTGCGGTCAAATGCTCAAATGCGTATATAACCACATCCATACCACACATTCTCTTTCTGGCATGGACCGTTGACTTAAAGGGGCACTGACACCCCAAAGGTCGTATTTATTTTTATTGTCTAAAACGATGCAAGTTGCAGTCATAAACACGCAAAAAAAACCGCATCGCAAAAAAAATTTTCTTGCGCGCGCGCGCGCCTTTTTATTTTTGGCGTTTGATTTTCCCGCCTCTCGCCTCCTCACTTCTTTTGATCGGTGACGTCAAAAATCAGGAAATTTAGAAGCTTTGTAGGTGACATCTCTATAACATTTAATTACGGCAATCGTAAAACATGTTTTTTAACGCAATTGCGAACGCACTACGGCCCTTCTTTTTGAAATACCAAAAATCGGGAGTTCGTTGTGGTGCCGTCTCCTGGATTTGTATGCTCCAACGGAAAACAGGCGACACCGCTCAAAACCGGTCCGCCGTAACGGCGCCGCTCACTCCTTTCCTCCTCGCTTTGGGTCGCCATGACAACAGCAGGGAGTGGTGAAAGAAAGTCGACTCTCAGGTCTCCGCGATTTTTGACGTCAAGGCACCGGCGCCGATCGCGCGGGAACTTCGAATTCGGCATTTGAAAATTGTTTTTTTACTTCACAAATACTGAACTCCCAAATTTCAAATTTTGAGGGTAATGTCCCAGCATCGTTTTCAATCGTTTCGGATAATAAAAAAAAATATGATTTTGATGTGTCAGTGCCCCTTTAAGCGGTGGAGATGCATTCCCACGGCTTCTAGTGGATCCAAGCTGGTCCAAGCTGATCTCCTAGAAGAACCACTGGCTCTGCATTTCAACGACCATAAAGCAGTAATAATGAAGTCGAAACGCAATCCGGAACTCAGCACTACCTATGAGGAATAGAAAAATCAGCACCATCAGCACTACCTATGGACAATAAAATCAGTATCATCAGCACCAGCAGAGCTTCGCCCCAATCAACATCATTCACCACGTGGAGATGCGGTCATTTTTTTTTTTTTTTTTTTCAAAAGTAACTTAAAAGTGCCATCTTTTTTTTTTTTTTATTTAGAAGTTTTATTCCTCTAGTAATACAAATAAAATTTGAAATGTTTACTGCGCAAAAATCGGCGCCGGAGCAAAAACAAATGCCCCAACTAAAACGAGTGCTGCCATTTATGATCAGCGTTGCAAACTACTCGGATGAGTCTAGTTCGTCCGTGGAATTGAGGGCTACCAAAAAAACCACTGGACGAGCTGAGCTCGTCCATGGAAGTTTTAGCCAAAAGTGGCCGACGAGCTCAGCTCGTCCGAGGCACTTAAAGGGTTAACTTATCTGTGTCTGGCAGCAATCAGTTTAACGAATACTTTAAACATCTCTCCTGGTACAAAACATACCATCACCAATGACATCTGCTCTTCACCTGCTTTCAAGTAAGTCTGAAAAAGAATGCAACTTCAGAAATAAATTTTCTATGTGAAAGCAAGCAGTTCAGAGAGCTTCTTGTCAAGAGCTACTTGCATTTACACTGAAATGTGCAACATATCCTGGCACGTGCACACTCGCGTGCCCATCCTCACAAATGCCGAGAAGTCATTGTTAATTAATAGGTCCACCCTAAACACTGCAATGAAACATGTTCTTGAACAAAATGTACGTAATAAAACAACACAAGTCAACTTGTAGTGGTGCCAGCCGCCGCCAATGGCTGTAAAGGCCATGGTCTTCCCTATCTGCCATCTTTGCATCCCGACTTGCAAGTGCTGAGGCATCTAGGAGATGTTGACCTCCCTCCTCCCTCCCCTCCCCTCCCCCTCTCTCTCCCAATCCCTCCTCGAGGATTGGGAATGAAAACAAAGTATGGAAGTTACTTTCGCTCCTTGCTGTTTGTGGCAACTTGCAGCGTTGCCCGAGTCTTCATATTTGGTCTTTCGTCACTTTACTCATTTCCACTTTCCTTCGTTTCTTGTTGATGACGCAATTTTGCAATAATGTCAGGGAGGTATTGTTGCGAGCTTGTGAGGATGCTGAAGAAGGCTGATGAAGCTTCCAACGACGATGACATGTCCGGAAGTTCTGACGATTAAGTTTTTGGCATCGCGCTGTGATTTAGCTGAGAGCGCTGTAAATAAAGGTTTGTTTTGTGTCTTTTGCCCCAACTTTCCCCTTTTATTTAAAAAAAAGGTAAACTATTCTAAATATTTTTTTAATCCTAGGCAAGTTTAGTATAATGCTATCAACCTATATTTGTGGTCGACTTAAATTTTAGTAATTACGGTAGTCAAAGGGGGTCCGAGAGACTCACTGTCGAAGTGTTGCGCCTGCTTCATCAGGAAGCTCGATCCCTGATCCCACTGACGCTCCAACAACTGCTCCAGCGTCTGGGGGAATAGCCTGCAACACGCAACGCCACTTTTGTCACACCACTGTCGCCAACGTTTGTGATCACAACACATGTAAAAAGGGCACACTGGGACTTCAAGGGATACTACGACGAAATTTCGGCACTTATTGTTTTATCTACATGTGTTCAAGGAGCAGTATCACATCAGACACACCAATATCTTGTTAAAAAAGACACAAAAAGGAATTTTAAAACAAATTAAACGATTAGCAAAGAGCACCTGGTCGATGTCGCTAGCGCTTTATTTGCAATGCCAGTCTAGGAATCTTGACGGGTAGTGACGGTAACTGTCTCGCCTCCGGCAACCACGAGAGAAGGGAGGAAGGGGGAACTCCCCTCTTTCCGAGAATCTTTTTTGCGAGATCCAGAAGTCGCTACTGCCCCTCTACAAGATTATAGAAGATTAACCCGCCACTCAATATTTGTACAAAAGCAGCTGCTTCGGTGGCTGGGCGACTTGGACATCCGCTTGACGTCAGCCTCGCAGCAGCTTTGCATGGCCCCAGACGAAATACAGTCGAACCCGTTTATAACGAACCCGGTTAGAACGAATTATGGCCTATATCAAACACACAAAATTTTAAGATCAATATTCATGAGAAATATACTTTCTATAACGAACCACACATCGGATATATCGAACTGCGAGCGCATGCTACCGCCCCCGTGGAGACGCGCGGGCGTCCCTGCAATGCACAGAGTGACAGAGAACAAGAGAAAACCAAGAAAAACACGATGGCCCTTGAGAAGATGAGTCACAAAACCGACTGTGAACGCCCGCAACCGACCCCCCAGAAGCGCACTGGCTTCCCTGCCATGCACGGAGCGACAGAGGACAAGAGAAAACCAAGAAAAACATGATGACCCTTGAGAAGATGAGTCACAACACCGACTGCGAACGCCCGCAACCGGCCCCCGCGGAAGCGCGCTGGCCAATGATAGAGCAAGCGTGCAATGACGTTCTGATGACATCATCCTGCAGCCGTGCCAGGCCGGACATGGCTCTCTTGTTCCTAGCCTTTTGCCGAGGAGGCTCGTTGTTCTTTGTGTCCTTCCTGTTCCCGCGAGAGATGGCGACCAAGGTGCGTTCATCGTTACCGTTCTCTACCAAGGTGGAAATAATCCGGCGCGTTGAACGCGGCGAGAAGAAGTCAGAAGTCGCCGCATCCTTCAAGATCGCCAGAAGCACGCTGAGTACGATACTGAAAAACAAGCCAGCGATCCTGCAAAAGGCCCAAGATCGACCGAACGCCGACGGAAAGCGCATTCGGGCGCCTGCCTTTGACAAAAACAGGTAATAAAGACTTCTCTCTGTCGTAAGTGCCACGACTTTTTTTTCCTTCTCAATTTTATGGAATTATTATGTTCATTTATTGTCTGTTACCTAGACATTTCCGGGCTTTCTTAGATGATATGTTTCAATATTGAAATTTATTGATAGAAATATGAATACATATGTTCCATCATAAAAGCTGCCTCGCGATAACACGGCTCTGAGCACCGGCGTGAGGCTCGCTACGCTCGGCAGCCTTCGCCGCTATTCCGCACGGTTTCCTTTCATCTCTCTCGCTTTTGCTGTCCTCACGAAATAGCGATATTTGCTATAAAAAACTACTTGATATATCGAACTAAAATGCGTGTCCGATGGAGTTCGCTATAAACGGGTTCGACTGTACGTCACAATTGCAACAGATGTCACTTGCTCTCTGCGGGCTGCTTTCCGGGCGCTTGCCAGAGTGGGCCGTTTATAACGAAAGATAGAGCCATCAGGCTCAAAATACAAACGTGCGATTGTCATTTAGAGATATTGTGGATCATATTCAGCCTTTTTTTTTTAACACTACGGGTATATTAAAAATTTCGTTGAAGTATCTCCTTAAAGGGGTGGTGCAACGATATACAGTTGGAATGTTTTTCATTTTAGACGGGCTTGCTGGCACTAGCGGGACCCAAGTATACTCGCACACAATGCGACTGACCAAGAAACATTTTTGTTGCGGTGCAATTTCATGAATAAAAGCGAGCATTTTTTTTTTTCGATCTCCCTCGCAAAACTTGATGATGTAGTTAGGAGGTCGCAATGTTGGCATAATCCCCCAGTGATGATATTTGAATGCGGCTTGTATATTAGGCCCGAGCATTGCGCGAACACTCGATTTGGGCTCGCAATAATTAATAGCTCGACAAGCATTCAGGTAGTGGCTCGTGCCCAATCGCTGCAAATGATGACAATAGCCGAACCCTAATAATGTCTGGTACTCAGCGCGTGTCCAGTGCAGGGTGTAAGCTAGGCAGGTGGGGAAACGGCCCATAGAAGCCTACTGCAGCGCCGTGACCGGATTGTGTTCTCGTCTGCTTGCGGGTACCCCCGATTTGCGACAGATGGCGCTGCGGCGAGAGAAAAAAAGTCGGAATCGGATTTGCATGGAACTTTATGGGAAAGTGCGTAAAATAAACCGAGAGCACAACAGTCCATCATGAAAAAATGCGCGAGAGACCATCCCCGTCTGTTTAGCCAGCCGCCACCGGTCGGCCACCCTGAGTGAGGGTTCGCGGTGCTCCACATAGATGGCGCCACAGAAAAAAAGAAAACCGAGGGGTACACAATCCGGTCGCTCATTTGGCTCTCGTTTCCCCACCTGTCTATCTTACACCCTGGTCCAGTGCTTTGCCAACCCCAACGTGTGGCTATGACAAACATTGGCAACATATAATTGGCTCCAAATCATGTAGCAGATTGTTCTGGCTGTAAATATATATAAAAAAAAATATGCTGCTCTTTTTTTTTATTTTTATTGCACAATGAAACATGTGTTTCATAGGTTATAAACATTTAGGATTCATTCTAAGTGATATTTATGCAAAGTACAAAAATCATTGCACTGCCCCTTTAATGCCACAAAACAGTAGCTAAGGCCATGACTGACAACCTCAAAAAATTCATTGGGGAAGAGACCACCCAGGTTTCGAACCGTGCATTTTAGGCTACAACGCTGAAACAAAACCTAAGCACTATGGAGGCGGTCATAACTAGGCCATAGACTTCCCTGTTTTAACCAAAAAATGTCTGTCTCTTTGTGTCTGACGTCTCCTGTTCTCCCCAGATGCTGCCAAGCTGTGCGACGGCATCGTCACGGAAGCGGTGCTCGGCTGCATTCTAGAAAAGGTTTTCTCAGTGGCTGAGAGAATCCTCGAAAGTGCGACGGGACGAAAGTCTACGGTGAACGAAGGCTGCATTCATGGCTGGAGAAGACCAAAACAATCCCTTTTCGCGTGCAAGGGCACAAGAAAACGATTTTGGGGGCCGAAGAAAGAAAAGTTAGCCGAGGCCAATCTGGACCTGGCCCTGTTTGTGAAGCAACAATGCGCTCTACACTTTGCCGTGAACACCGAGCTGCTGCAGGCAAAGGCTATGAACCTGCATCAAACCCTTTTTTTCTTTTGCAGGTCTCAGACTGCACCTAGGTAAACACCAGAAAATCTACGGCCTAGACTCTGTAGTATGCGAGATAAACAGACTAATAAATCAACACCACTGCAATACTGGACTTGGGAGGTTTACCGCTGCTGGAAATGGCTGCACTTACGAGGATTGTTATGAGAAATATCTAGGAACTACCGTAGAGCCCTCGTCTGGTGTTTTGAAACGACATTCCCAAAGAAATGACACCGCGTTTTCAATACCGCTGGCACCTGGGCCCACCCTAATTACAACTATGAACAGAAAACTTGTATCAAAACCTCCACTGTTACACCAGATAGATCACTCAACATCTGTGTAACATGACGACAGTTCTACCTTGACGCCACGTCACAAATGAGGCAACTGCACATTGTTTTCAGAAGTCACGAAGCGCTTCATCGCAGTCAAATGCAAATGTGTGACGCAGCGCTTGTGTGGAGTACTAGCGTAACAGGAGTGAGAGATGGAATATTTCCAGGAGCCATCGATAGGATTGTGCAAATACCGTGCAATCCACTTATACCATGTCCTGCTTATACTGACGAGTTCCTAGACTAGACACGCTCATAGTCCAGATACCACGATAATCGGTTATAACGATTGCATTTTTTGGTTTTCTCATTATCGTTATAAGTGGATTGCACTGTATTCAAATTTTTTAATAGTAGTTTAGAACAATATGTTATTCTATACAGTTGAACCTCGATTTAACGAAGTCACCGGGACCTGCTAATTATTTCGTTAAATCGGGAACTTCGTAAAATTGAGAAAGTCATTCTTCGGGCATAGGCTGCGCCGGGAATGCGATATTTGTTCGTGAAGTTGGGAGATTCGTAAAATCGGGTTTCGTAAAATCGAGGTTCAACTGTACGTCCTAGGAGATGAATATTACGTAGTATTTTCCTAAGTGTCAATTGCGGCGGATCAGCCCCATTAAGCGCGCTTCTTACCGAGCATAGGTGCACTAAGAAACCCCCACAAGATCAATTTCCGCGCGTATTGGATTTCCTTAGTGTGCTGGGGCTCCGAAAGAACCACACTCAAAGGTGCTAAGTTGCCACAATCAACAACTTGAAAAGTTTGAATATCGCAGTCATGCACTTAGGAGAAAAGTGTACTTTTAAAGGGGGATAGTGGAGGAACACGCTTGGTACAGAGAACTTTGTGAATGTTGAAAACTACATTGCAGTAAACAATTTTAAAATTAGACCGTGGCCATTATGCAAGAGTATATGGAAGGCAGAGACGTCCTAACAACCTGCAAAAACATTTGTGATTGTTTTTATCTTTTTCAATTGAAGAAAGGATACTTGCGTATACACGTTTGCAAGTCCGGCCTCAGGGTGCCGCCATCTTGCTCATTGGGGTGCACTTGGACACATCATAATCTGATTACGAAAACTTGCTGAGGCCTCAGAATCGGACTCTGCCCGCGCCCAAGCACACCCCAACTGAGCAAGATGGCGGAGTCCTGAGACCGGGCTTGCAAACGTGTATAGCAAAAAGATTTATAAATCCCCTCCATTAGGTACAACTGGAAAACTCTATAGGTTTAACTTTATGTCAAACTTTTGTTTACTTTCCACCACAATGTAGGCATGGACTTTCCGAGGCCACAGTCTATAAATACAGTTAAATTAAGATTACCTTAGAAGTGGACTAGTGGAAGCTTGGAAACAACATTCACCAGTTCGGCTGGGTTTTCATTTCAGTGTGGTGCAACAGTAGTGAAGGGCTTAGAAAAACTATCCAATATTTGATCCAACAATATTCGGGTGAAACTAATACTCGCTCCGAACTCAAAATCCACCACTATTTGCACACGCCTAGCCTGCGATATAACACATTCCGCGCTAAATGTGTCCGCCACGCTCACCCGGCCATTGACGGCGGCGGGCAGTCGGGAGGGGGCCACGCCGGACTGTCCCTCTGTGGAGGAAGAGACGGGGTCCTCGGGGGACCCACGTGGGCCGACGGGGCCGAGGCCCAGGTCTCAGGGCCCGCGCCCAGGGTCAGCATGGCCGCCGCCCCTGCCAACGAAGCCACGAGCGCTTGAACAGGATGTTGATGCAAGTCGAGAGCCAGCTTCTACCCACCCTTGTCGTCCGCTTCGTCGGGCCTGGGATGCGGACTCGTCTCCAGGGTCGCATCGTCCGCTGCGGGCGAAAAGAACGATCTCGAGGTTGGGAAACGAGAACCGGTACGGAGAAAGCCCATCCGACCGTCTGTTCAAAAGCGCGGAACTATACTTTAGAGGTTCCGCATAGAGCCGCCAGATATACTACGCTAAGAACACCAGCACTCCGTTCTCAGATTTTCTCGCAAGCACCGCCATTTTGGTGCGCAGTGTAGAAGCGTCGAGATGGCTGAAAGTGTTCTTGCTGCGTGGGTTATTCGGTGCCACTACTGCAGGGTGCTCCAAGAAAGGGCATCTGGAATGCCTCGGAGAAGAACCGGGGATTGTTTTTAAGCCGCCCGAGACCTCAAGGGTGCGAGAGAAGACTCGGGGTAAACGGCGCCCTCACCACGACAAGCTCTCGTTTGAATCCCGTGCACTTCAGCCCAGGTTTCGACACGCGTGTTGGAGACGTTGTGGGTCGTCGCTGCAAGGTCGTCACTTTTTGCCAGTCCGTCTAACAATCGTCTGGTGCTGTGGATCACTCGCGCTAGTCCCAAATGGCGGCACCGAGTGATGCAGGCCACTGCCGTCACAGTCACGCTGGCAGGCCAAAACTAGTGACTGCAGGTTAGGAAACCTCGTAACCAAGTGTCAGGAATGGGGCATTCTATTCTATTGGATAGACATTTTCAGCATAACACTTCCGTGTAAATGAGCTGCTTACTGCGAGTAATTATCCTATTTACTCGAATTATAGCCACGCCGTTTATGGACGTAGCCCACACGTACACTTTCCCTCGGATCAAGCGGATAGCGCATCGTTGCGGCATAAAAAATTAACTGAATAACTGAGGCGATTTAGGAAAGGCTTGACCAGGGAAAAAAAGTAATCTGTATTAGGTTCTGTCCTGCGAAATACTATCCCGCACAGTGTCAATGGAGACTGCACTTTTGTGCGAAAATATTATTGCAGACTTTTCATTGGCTAGACTTCCTCCGTAGATTGCCGAATGGCTACCCTCGTGCTACGTAGACATGCCAGTATTATTTGTAAACAATGCACTTATTCAAGTAACTACAGAAAACATGAGCCTTATTCCTGGGCCTACCCCCATAGGAATGGAACTCTCACAGGAATGATGAAAACAATAAATAATATGACTGGAAAGCCCTTTAATAACAAGTCCAGTGACTGGCATAAGAGCGAGCCAAAGCCCTGCCAATTGAATGTTTTCCTTTAATATTTAAAGGGGCCCTGCAAGGACTTTTTAAGTGGTTTTAATTTGTGCGGAACCTGAGCGCACTGAACGTTGTACCTTAGTGAAATTTTTCTTTTCTCGAAATTCGCTTTATTTTAAAAGTTATAGGCAAATTAAAATAACAAAAACAAGCAAAAAATAACCTTTCTCATAACGTCCTTGGTTGCTTGAGAGTGGCCGTGAACTAGAGAAGGCGTAGTGAGCTCATCGAGCGCTCACGGCTGCCGCACTCCATGTCGACGGCGTGAGAGGGCGCCACTAAGCACGTTCTGGATAGGCTGTATGCAGCGGGTGGCCAGAGCGGCTCTCATTGCATTTGCTGCGCGATTAAATACTAATTCGGCATGACACTTCATTGACCACAAACGACAGCAAACCGGGGTAAAGATCAGTTCAGAATGGGAGCTACTTTGCGCTGCCATACCGCGAAACGGCCAAACCGCAAGACAAAGCTTCTCGCCGAAGGCCTTCGGAACGCTCGGAGCCGGTCGGATCCTTTTGTCCATACGACCGCAGCGCCGCCGCGTACATCCGGGACCTTTCCGTGTCGGCGCCTGATCCCACTACTCCTTTCTAGTATGCGCCGCCTTTTCCACCACTTGGTGGGGGGTTTGTCGACGAGCCATTTCTTGTTTCCATACTTTATAAACTGCATTTGTTTCTTTTCTGATCTAAAATACTGAAGAAAAACAACTTTCATAAATAATTGAAAGGGTTCGCGACAGTTATATTTTGCATTTTGACTAAAAAGAAGTTTTTAGCGGCTCTGACCAGTAGTAAGCCCAGGACCAAAGACGTCACATATTGTGCGCTTTCGATACCGTGGGTTGCCCTCGTCGGTGCAGGAGGTTTCCGCGTCGTCCGGTTAAAATATGACGCACCGATATTTAGTTACTCTCTCCGTGCCTGCTGGCTTGCCCGAACCCCAAGAGACGTGGAAACCGCAAAAAAGGTAGACGCTTAAATATGATTGCAGGGCCCCTTTAAGTATAAAACGTACACCCGCCTTACTATTGTGCAGAAGTGATACAACTGACCAAAAAGGGTACACTCTGCAAATTGTAAAGTTGATAAAAAAAAAAAATGACCGTATCTCCACGTGGTGAATGATGTTGATTGGGGCGAAGCTCCGGTGGTGCTGATGATACTGATATTGTTTATAGGTAGTGCGCTGAGGGTGCAGATTTTTTTTTATTTCTCATAAATAGTGCTGAATTCCAAGTTGCGTTTAGACTTGGAACATGGTTATATAAGCGTTTGAGCATTTGACCGCAGCGCCCTCTCGTCTATAAACATTGAGCCAATGCATGCATGCAAAATTTAAGGGGGAACACTGGCTAGAGGTCAAACTTCTTAACTACTCAAGTGATCGGAATGAAATTTCCAGGGGAGATTTGGCTTCTGATGTAGGTGTACTGTGCAAACTTTCAGCTCCCTAGGACAACTTTACATACCTGCATAAGAAGATGTGTCACTTTTCGTTAAGAAATCTATGATATGCAAAGGAAGCTATTAGGCACCATTTTAAGTGCTTGAGTATAAAGTGGGGGATGTGGGACATTGGGCTATCTAGTTTTTATAACTTAAATGTAAATATTTCAGGAAGAGTGATTGCCTCAAAATATGAAATGCATATCTGTCCTATGTCAATTTTTGAAAAGTTAGTTTTTTATCACTGAGGACTTCAACTTAAAACAAAATAAAGTAGATAGCCCGATTCCCCAGTAAATTTCAGTTCAGAAACATGTTGATTGTGGTATCAGAATACTTTCACCTTTAAACAAAAGATTCCTTTGTATAAAATTTGCAACGAAAAGTGGAACTGAGAAAAATGCATCTAAACATTGAACTCCTTTACTTTGTTACTGCTTTACAATGTGTTGAAAATATTTTATATCAACAAAAAATATTTGGCGTATGGTTATCAAATTTGGTGTAAGGGTGTATAATTAGTTTCTTAAACTGAAAACATCAAAATCAAAAAATGAATTTTTTAAAAAAAATTAAAAAATTTAGGCCCATGTCCCCCCTTAACGCGATTGTATGCGCATTTGACCGCAGTGCCCTCTCCCGTATTCGCAACTCCAACACCCTATAGGTGGTGGGGCGGTAGTTCCAAGATGGCGGAAGAGACAAGGATAGATTCTCCAGGATATCCCGCGTGCCTGCTCGCGCTGACGCTGTTCAGCGCGCTAAAAATTATTTATTGGTCTACAAATGTGAAGCAGTTATGAAGGGATCATATTACAGGTGACGTAGATGCTGATGCACGTTAGGAAAACGAGCATGCTGTTATTTAAAAAATGCAGAAATTTCAAATTGCGAAGCTTTGGGGTGAGCGAGCGCGTTTTAGGCACCGGCCAGGTTACTGTTTGTGGCAGAATATTTTTGAGGGCGATGAAGATATGTTTGCGGCTTTGCCTGGCCATTAGTTCTCTAAAAAAAGAGCCGAGAACGCTGACCGTCAAGCTTCGGAAGAGCAGCGTTCACAGTATTGGTGTCTTTGCGTCACAGGGTCACAACTCGCGGCTCGCCGTCTCGGTGTTAGTGTATTGCAACACGTAATCAAACTGCTCTATAGTTATTGATTGAAAGTTTTTTATCGCAGGCTACCGTGCGGTGTAGCATTATAACCGCAGGCTCGCGCTATGCCTTTGAAGTACAATTTTCAGTGCGCGCCAGGAGCGTTGCCATGCTCATCATTGTAAAAAAAAAAAAATGTTGTAGTCCTTACATTTCTTGGCACACATACGACACTCCAAAACTTCAGTTCGGCGTGCAGCCCATCGACGTCAAACTGACGGTCCCAACTTTTATGAGAGGCTTGATGACGGTGCATTATAAGATATTAAACAGCTAAAGTATGCATCAAAGAGTACGGAAAAAAAAACACGAGGTTTTGCAGTAGGGCCAAGAAAACCCCGATTATTATTATTTTTTTACAGTCATTCACATTTACTTGGGCTATTTTAAAAAGTTGCACAACTCGGCTAACAAGTCGCTCGTGAAAGTTGGTAGCACTGGTTGAACGTCAGTGCGCTGTACGTCCAAACGAAGTTTAGGGGTGTCGTACGCTCTGCAAAAACTGCCTATTAAGGGGAGACACTGCCCAGAAAAAAAAAATTCTGCAAAAAAAGCTGATTTTGAAAAATAACATATTTACATCCACCAACAACTAGAGAGTATTCCCAAAAAGTTTAATTAATTTTCACTGCATAGTTAATTTTTTATAAATTATTTTCTGTCCACCAAAGCGAAAGAAAAGGTAGGGTTTGGAGCACTTTGAACACATTTTTCTCCGTTCCACTTTTTGGTATAAATTCCATTTTAGTCAATCTATCGTTTGATAATGGCAAAACAGGGAAGGCTCATTCTTCCTTTTTCCTGACTGAAATTTAATAAGGAGTGCGGCTATGGATCTTTTTTGTCACTTTACGGGTGTCTTTTATAAAAAATGTTGACATTTTGTCGAAGACACAGAAGACCAAAAAGTTGACCAATTTTGCAGAAGAGAAAATTTATAGAAATAAATTACTTTTTAGAAAAAATGTTCCATAGCCACACCCTCTAGACATTCTGCTACATATCTAGCAAATAATAATCTTGAATATTGTGATAGTTTTCTGACGATAGATTTACTAAACAATGTAGGCGTGTTGCTGATAGAAGTTACTCTAATTTCCTTCTCATTTAACCGGCAGACCTGAAATTTTGTTATACACCCTCTAACATGACCACCAGCCTACCCTGTAAATTTCATTAATTTTAATACAAGAGTTCAAAAGTTGACCCCCCTAGGGGGTGTGTCCCCTTAACATAACCGGCGTGTTTAGGGGTCTTATTTATCGATTTATCAAAAATAAATATTTTAATATACCGTACATTTTTTGCACCGCGTTATTTGCAACATTGCGGTCCCTCCGGCCAAAACTGCGCGTTCAAAGCTCTCGTCACAAACGGCTGCCTAACACAGAACCGCTTAAAATGCTTCTAACCTTTCTTTATTTGCTTTGTAATCACCTGAAAGCAAGTACGGGTATTCTGTCTTTTTTAAGTGCTTGGAATAAATGGTCATGTTCCTTGTAACGGCCTTAAAACGCGAACCCATTCCCGCTTTGTATTGCTCGACATACTGTTGCGCGACAAGTTTTCTCCTACTTATGGCAAAGAATAGACATTCCGTAGACCGTACTATAGAGTTCTTCATTATTAGCGGGAGCGTTTTTCGTCACGTTGAGTAGAGATTGAGCTGGCGGCCATGCAGAAGACCAGAAATCCGAAGCGTATGCGATACACGAAAAGTCCCTAATAAAGTTAGACCCTTAGGTCCTTCGTGCAAGGCTGTTGCAAGGCGGAGCACAAGAATTCCTTTTTTAACGCGTTCACTTTTTTCGTTAAAACGGCTTCAGACATGAAGGCCGACAGTCCCTGCCACCGTTTCTGCGCCGCCGCCACCGCCACCGCCACCGCCACCGCCGCTGCCGTCCCCGCTCCTCTGGTTCTCCGTTCGTCCGCGGGAGGGCGAGCGGCGCGCTGGAGTTGCGAATAGACGTTGAGTGGCTAGATGCAACGTTTCATCTATGACATCCCCAGCTCTTGAGTTACTACCACATCTCAGAGCACCCTACTCGTCCCGCAGTCGTGGCTGAGTGGTTAAGGCGATGGACTAGAAATCCATTGGGGTCTCCCCGCACAGGTTCGAATCCTGTCGAATGCGCAAACATTTTTTTCTTTTTTTAAGAAGACAGATGGGATGGCAATTGATGTGAGCACGGACGCCGGACAAGGCCAGACCCTAAGGAGCTTCGCCCCTAAACAAAAAATGGCATTCACAGTTGCAGCGACGTCTGCGTCACACGTCCCCCACATTCTACGCTTAAATCCCCCATGTCCATTGACATACTATCGCAAGTGCAAGCACAAAAACGTAGCGCGAGAGAATGCCTTGTTTCCAAGAAAAATTGTAGAGCCCATCCACTTCACGTGAACCTCGAGTATAATTCCCAAACTACGACGTCTAGGGCGACCTCAAGGACAACTTCTAGGACAATGTATGGGACACCGTACAGGACGACCTCAAGGAAGATACCTAGAGATGATAACAAGGGATCAGGACCTCACCATCTAATAATGCCAAGGAAAGCTGACTAACCCTGGTTTGCCCTTTTCATTTTTATTTATTCATACCTGCCACGACCAATGGGGAGTTTTCTGTTGACATGTGAAGACGCATTTTTCCCAAACTCTAGCCCATTACTGCTTTGCTGTAAAGCGCTCGCAGCTATAACGGCACTTTGTGATACCAGACTCTCGCACCTATGAGACAAGCCCTGCACCTCTCCCTCCCAAAAGTCGTCGCTAGTGAATCCTTGCAGCGCCGCCTAGCTCGCGTCGGCGGCGCCACCCGAGCAACCTGCAGCATCTTGCAACGAGCGCGACGCCAGCACGCAGGGACGGCAAGCCCACACACACGCAGGAATTATCCCGTACACAACTGGTACAACAGAGTAGAAACACCAAACCAAGCCGCGGTGGCAGCGTACCAGATTCAAGGGAGAGGCGAGCCGGCTGCGTCAGCGCGGAGTCGGCCGAACCAGGTCGCGGGCTTCCCTCCTCGCCGCCCAGGCTCAGCTCACTGCGGATATCCCGGGAATGTGAAACGGCATCCTTTGGGTCTCACAATGCGGGTCGTGACAAATAGTGACCATGATAGAGCGCCACGTCGTCCAAGTAAAAAGATGGTGTCGCATGTGCAAACCCCAATATATTCTGTGAAAGGAATGTGTCAAGGGTGACGCAAGGGTACCTCGTGAAGCCAAAGTGCGCCAATGCTCATACTGCATTAGGGGACGAGAAATAAATGAGCAATAGGCCTTTCTTAACAGAACAAGGGGGCACCATTTCCTTAGACGAGTGCAAATAATAGTAACGTTTAAATGTCGAACATTTAAATCAAATTGTAGTTTTGAAATAACTGAGATATCTAAATAATTGCGAAAATTTGTTTCAAAGTTTAATTAGTTGCGAGTGCTTTTCACGTAGTGCAATGTAAAGCTGTAAGGTAACACACATAAGGATGTCACAACTGCCGTTATTTTTTTTTTTTTTTTTTTTCAGAAAGAGAAATTCTGCACAAGTAAAATTCAGATGCAGGTTGTAGTGATTTTTTACTTTTATGATCATCTGCACAATTAAAATAGAGACAGCTGTAGTTATAGCGCTTTTCTACTTTTCTACCAGATTTTTAAGCTTTATAACCCCATCATCAATAATGTGGTTATAAAGCTTAAATTAGTACTTTGAATAGACATGTGCGAGGTTGTGTGTTTCTTTATAACACAACTTTCTTGCCTAGGAACAGCTTTCATAGTATTTTGACTGGCCTTTTTCAAGAAACCAATCACTTTAACTCTATAGCAACATTGCTTATAGACAAAGTAATATTGCAAGAGCCATATTAAGAAATAAAAATGTACACATATCACAACTATAGTTGGAAAAGGAATGGGATATTTTTCTAATATGCACCTGATATTTTGAAAAAAAATGTATTCAATATTTAAAACTTCGCGATTCAATCTCGGAAAACACTTAGTGGTAGTATTTGCACATGTTAAACTGAGGCAAAAAGTGGATCAAATGTCTCATCATAGAATCAAAAACATGGGCTCAGATAAATGTAACTAAAGGCAACAGCTGACTAATCAGGAACTCCCAACTTTGTCACACCGCACTGGTCCTTCAATCTAGAATAAGGACTGAGAGCACTCACCGGTAGTAGGTGTGGTCAACATCGCCACCACCCAACCTAGGAAGGGCAAAAATAAAACAAAAAGAAAACAAGCAAATGGGAAAAAGGAACCAAACAAAGGCAAAACCAACCATTAAAAACAATAAACTGAAGTAGATAACATGCACTAGAACCAAATAATAATAAAAAGCACTCAGCAAACTTTATTCCCTCAGCAATGGGAGCATACACACAAGCCGGGGGCTATGTCTATCACTAAACTCTATTCCGTTACAGAAATGGTTACCGAGTTTCTAATATATTCTTATAGAACACACTAGAAACTCAACAGAAACTCGTGGATCATTTTTGTAAGGGTTGATCAAATTCAGACACTGGGCCAAAGGTCCCGTCATCAAACTCTCATCAGTCTTTTCACACTGCATCGAGATATCTTGAAACCCAGATGTACAAACCGTACTGCAGATAAAACGTCATAATTGCTCAGCGATCCGTCGGTTTTTACTCTGAAGAAGTGCTCCAAGGCAAGGTCATAACAACTTAAAACCAAGGAACCCAAAAGCTCTTTCAGGCAGTTCTAACACCCACAGAATGAATCCAGTGCCGAGCTGTCATTAATTAAAAAAAAAAACAAGTCTTGCACCAAAACACAGAAAAGAAAACGAAAGACTACCAGACATGCCAGAAAGCAGGCAGAATGCAAAGGACAAACAAAGAGGGAACCTTCTGCGCTCGAGGCTAAAAACTGCAAGGACGGGAAAAGGGCAACGCTGGAAGGCGCAAAGCCCAGAAACAGTAGAATGAAACCAGAGGCAGGCAGAAGACAGAACGACTCAAATGAAAACGAGGGAGGTTCGAAGGAAGGGACACTAAGGCCAAGACCAAGAGGGCAGCCAGACACTCACGGAGGCAGTCCATTGGCTGCCCCGGGGGTTGCCGCCGACGGCCGGTCGGAAGGGGAGAGCGTCGGAGGTGCCGCCCTCTTGCGCAGCCTCACGCCGGGCGTGGGAGACGCGCCACTAGAACCTCGCTTGCCACTGCCGTTCTTGGTTGCTTCGCCGGCGGACGAGCCCGCCCTATGCCCCGCCCGGCACCAACAACGCTGTCAGGGACGACGTGCTTGCAACGCCGGAGGTCCGATTTTCGTCAAGGTGAGAGCGAGAGCGTTCTCTTCTGCTAACTGAACATGGCACCACAGCTTGCGCGTAATCAAACGTCGAGATATTTTTGATGCATTTGCGCGTGTCTCAGAAATATATTGAGCAGGAGAGGCCTCGCTGTCTCTGATGTGCTTGCCCTTCATACTCCTTCATTCGCCGGTCAATGTAAGCTTGCGTACGGCAGCACAACTTGAGATTTGCAAAAATAGCGCGAGTTGTCAGTGGCTTCCAACGTGAAGTAGCAGAGGATCGCGATTTCCATGTGCGTCCAATGTTACCTCACCACAGTGCTCAATTCATAGCACATGAGTAACTTTTGTTATGGTCTCTTAGCAGGCGACGTACAGTGTTTTCTTTTAGTTTTATTTCCATCTGCAAACGACGCTTCGTAGCAGACAAACCATTCGCTTGCATTAGCGGACAAACCGTCTACAAACACCACCTTCACTCGCACTATGAGGCAAATTAGATCTCGCTCTCACTTTCGCAGGGACCAAAATCGGACCTCAGGAATGGAAACGCGCTTTGCGTTTTGCACTTGGAGATGTTAAAAGTATGCAGAATGAGAGAGGGTGCTCCATTACCACGGTCCGTGTACCAACACGGTAGAAATGCTGCGGCCAAATCGTGCTGCGCCACATGGTGGTGCAAGCTAAAGCACAATTAGAGCAATTCCAAACTAACCAGAAGTGTACAGTCCAGCTCTACTTGGAAACATATTTAAGTAGCCCATGCCCTTTTTCTGAATCGGAACTTTCCTAAACTTATTAATATAGACACAGGAATGTTTCAAAACTGGAAAAGGTTGGGCCAGGTATCATGGGGACGGTTAATCATGGACGTTACAACTCCTTGCATTCCACTACAATACGTTTCGTGGAGCTCGGTTGCCGTTGCAACCATCTCGTAGTCGGCAGTCATAAGCAATAGCAATGCAGTCAGTTACACTCAAACACAAATGTTTGAACCAGCTTTAACTTTACCATGTCATCACCACATGTTATAAGTAGCAACATTGTAAGGCTGAGCAACTCTTTGAAGAAGCTAAAGAAAATATCTACTCTACGATAATGACTCTACTGGCTACATTATGTTGGCTCCAAGATGTGAGCAAATATTCAAATAGTAGTTTAAAACAATATGCGATTCGATATTCACTTCGAGATGGACCGCAAGATTCATACTTTTCAAAGTGTCCATTGCAACAGGTTAGGCCTGTTGAGGGCGTTTCTCACCGAGCACCTGTGCCCTGCGCAAAAGCAAAACCCGCAGAGCCCGCGAGTTCTGCAGTGACGTAGAAGGGCCTCTTGGCCAGAACACCCACCTCGACGGCGCACCGCTGGCACTGGTGGCAGCTCTCTTGGCTTTTGGCTTCTTGTCCGGCCGCCCAGAACCCACCAGGTTCTCGTAGATGCTGCTGAAGCTCGGCGTAGGGTTGCTGCTGTTGCTGTTGCTGCCGATGCCACCCGAGGTGGGCGGCGGCGACGCCGGCTCCAGCTTGGCTTGGAGCGGCGCCGCGCTGGATTTGGCTTCTCGGTTCTGCTGCTGCGAGGGGCGGCCGCGCTTACGTTGGCGCTCGCACGACCCAAACACGGGACTGCCCGTCTGCACGACCGCCGCCTCTGTGAAGTTTGCCGTTGTAAACTTCCCTGGCAGCTGCAAGCGAAAGTGACGACGACTCAGGACTGGCACTCCAAAATGTCTCCCTTCACCGACGCACGTGCACAGTTCTATTGTTCAGCCAGGGTCTCCGAATCCCGATAAGATCCCATAATTATTGCATCAACCACGCGACTTAACAGCTTTGCATTGCCATGTACCTATGAAGCTTCGCTGTTTTGCGCCAGTGCTGCTATGGTCACCAACGGAATGAAAACACTGGGCCATCCCTTTGGAATGCCTGGCCTCCAGCACGCACTCGTACTCTGCCGTACCTTGTCCGCGAGGGTGCGCTTGAGACTCGCAAGACGTTAAAGCATTACCGAAGTTGGGAAGCACCTGCTGAAGGCGGGACGGCCGAAAGAACCCTCCGTCATCCTCGTTCTGCGCGCCGCTACAGAAGCAACAGTTGATGCAGGCATGCATCTATGTTAGCTCGCTCGGAAATTCTGTCTGCTCTACAAACAATTGCAAGCACAGCATCCCGATTGCAGCCCCGCTTGCAATTGTGCTTAGACTGTTCCAACAAAGAGGTCCTGGCAGGTGAATACTCAATGTATGTGCATGTGGTGCTTGTTTTTCTCGCTTTCTGAAATGACTGAGGGAGTATAGGTTCGACATTCCTTGGTTACGAACGTAGGACAGCCTCTAACCAACGCAAAAACAAACAAAACATTTTTTATATAAAGCGAATAAACTTGAGAGTGTCTACAGCCGGAGGTACATGAAAGATGAATCTAGCTCATCCGGTGGTGCACGCCTTGTCGGCGATTCCAAGAAAGCTGAGAGCGAGAGTGTTTTTGTGTAAGCTTTTTCTCGCATCATGGTGTCACGAGGGCCAAACCATAACGTAAGAGCCTCGTTTTGAGCACAGTCTCAGCAGCACAAACGGAAGGAGTCGCAATCGTTCAGCTTGCAGCAAAATCGCCGTCTCATCCTTCCATTTTCACGCCGTCCTCAGGACCGCGGCGGTGACTCACCGGAAGCGGAGCGGTGGTAGAGGTGGTGGAGGCCGGCGTGTTGTTGCCGGCCCCGGACGAGGGCGAGGAGCCGTCAGAGGCCCCGTTGCGGGGTTCGGTGGCGTCGCTGCTTGCGCCGCCGTCCGAGGAGGCCGCACCGCCGTTGGTGGCCTGGCGCGACAGGGCCCGCTTCTCCTGCGGCGTGGCCCCCTTCATGCGGGCCCGCCCCGTCGTGGCCGCGGGCTTGCGCTCGGGGCTCGCTTCCTGGGAGTCCTCGCAGTCCGCCGGGATCGGCTTGAACGCCGGGATGATCTTGATGTTGCTGTCCCGCTTCTGGAAGAACGGGGCAGCCATTATTGGTTCGCTCCACCGTTGGAGACGTAATCGTACGTGGCGTGGGTTCTAGGCTCCTAGCGACATGGGCGTTCCCCAGACTTCCCCAACCTCCCAAATTTCCTCGACCATCCTTGCCCCTAAGCAAAGTGGGAGTTTGAATTATACTTGATCACTACTTGAGCAGATCTGAGCCACTCACTGATGTATGACTATGTGCCAAACACTCCCCTGTGTGTGCAGCAGTGTTTGCAATGTATTTAGGGTTCTGCGTTGCTTTATTGCATCGATGCGGAGACCGAGAGGGGTTCCTCGACCATCAATCTTAATAAATGGGGCTTTTTCGAGATTGAGAGGTTTGAAATCTGTGGTACGAAGGAAAAGTTATACAAAGACCTGCATGTCTGCTCGAGTAAGGGCCCGTTTCTCCCAGCCAGAAGCCGCAAGCGCATCTACGAGTCTTGACAATGTAAAGGTCACGGCCGTGTCCAAGCATCCATCAGTGTCTGTTCACGAATGCTAATGAAGCGCGAAAAAACCACTTGTAAGAGGAAAACCGTTGTTAACTTTCAAACGGCTTTTATTATTATGACTGCTCGAGTCGCAGGTCAGATTCAAATGAATCCGGACTGCGTCTCAAGCCACTCGTTGACAATGATCATCATGATGAAGAGGATGAATGATGTCCTGATGATGACGCTTGTGTCTACGAACGAAGTAGTTTTCTGTAACATTATACATTTAAGCAAAAAAAAAAAAAAAAAGTTTCAGCTGGTTTGTTTTTGCTGTATTTATTCACAAATTTACGTCGACCAACATGACTGTGCCAGCTTAGCGCCCGTGGGCAATGTGAGCGAGTGTGACGACGCAAAACCAGAATGGTACCAAAAGATATTCAGCTTTGACCACCAGGGGCACTGCTCAAAACCTGTGAGCTGCAGGCTGTACTTCCTCCAAATATTGTGACAAAGTACCCGTTCCGAAAGTCGGCGGTGGTTTACTGGAGAGTTTACAGATTTCGAGAGCCACAATAAAATGTTACAACTGTTTACGAAAATCAGGGAGATGCAATTTGGACTTGGTACATGGGAACGTTAAACAAACATACTTCATTCCAAGTAAAGTAAATTTCTTCCCTCAATTTTTGAAGAGCAAATGTTGGTCGAGCCTCGTCACGAAAATATAATATGATTAAAATATATGCAGCACCTGTGGTGTTAACTTTTTTGTTTTGTTGTTTCAGGTCCTAATAGTGAACTTGTTAGTAATCATTTTAGGTCGAAGCAAGAGAGGCCAAATAAATTCCTCACCAACTTCTGGTAGTGGTATGGGCAGTAACCACAGTATTTCACATTGTCCATGTAGTTTCCAGCCTCCTCACACAGCAGCCCAGCTGCCTGAGCACTGAAAGACATGAAAACAAGGGCCAAGCCATGTATCTTTTATAAATGCCAAAGGTATCCCTCCAAAGGAGTCAAGCAATGATTCCTAGTCTTAAGATCAAACACACCAACTCCTGAACATTTGTGTCCAGTTCACACATACATCTCAGTGCTAAAACAATGCAGCCAGCGCTGTGTCTATGGCGCCGAGTTAGCAGCCGAGCTGTATCTGTGAACAGGCCTGCGAGATGCTTTACTGCAACATCGAGTGGTCACAGTGCCGGCGAAATCCAGGGAATGGTGCATTTTTTAATCTCGACATCAATCAAATGCTAGATGCATTGCCTTGGCTGTTTGTACAGTTCTTTTTTAAAGATTAAGACGGAAAAAAGCTTTGGCCGAACCATGTGGCATCTCACCATGTGACGTGGAAGTACTGCTTGCACCCAGACTTGTTGCATTGCATGCATGCCCCGATGGAAGCCTTGCTCTCGTGACGCTGTTGCTCACAGATGAAGCAGGTCTGCACATGCAATGGGGGCATGTTCGTAAGGTTTGTAAATTAACAATGGTGCCATCTCCTACTGCGCTGAAGTCCACATTTCTATATAATATTAACAGAAAATTTACTATTCAACTTAAGGGGGGACACTACTTTGGAATGCCAACTTTTGAACTACTCACTCAATTGGTGTGATATTTGCAGGTGGTCTTTGTACCCATATAGAAGGAGGGCATGCAGAGTTTCATCCCTATGAACCTATTTTATGAGGTGCTCTACCCCCAGAACGAAGTAAAGCATAGCTTTGCATGGAATCTGCTCAATGAATCTATCACTGAGAAATGGTGTTGATGACCACATATTTTTCTGGTGGAATGCATACAGGAATAACTGTTATGGGTTACTATACATTTTATTTTTTTAAATATGCATTTTCCAAATAAAAATATATTTATGAAAAACCAATTTTTTTTTTTTCACTTGTACCAAGTTTTGCAATTTACAATTTGTTTTATAAAGGAATATGAAAACACGCCGAAGACACAGGGGCACTGACACCCCAAAGGTCGTACTCTTTTTTATTGTCTAAAACGAGGCAAGTTGCAGTCATAGACACGCAAAAAAAAACGCATCGCGAAAAAAAATTTCCCCGCTCGCGCGCGCGCCTTTTTATTTTTGGCGTTTATATTTCCCGCGCTCACCTCCTTGCTTCTTCTGATCGGTGACGTCAAAAATCAGGAAATTTAAAAGCTTTCAAGGCGACATTTCTATAACATTTAATAACGGCAATCGCAAAACATGTTTTTTAACGCAATGACAAACGCACTACGGCCCTTTTTTTTTTTGAAATACCAAAAATCAGATTTTGATGTGATGTCGCTTCCTGGATTTGTGTTCTCCCTCGGAAAACTTGGCGGCGCTCGAGCAGAGGCTTATCGCCGAGTCGGGGAAGAAACCGGTTTTTCCCCGCGCCGGCTCCCTTCTATCCCACCTGCTCACCTCCTCCTCTCTTTGGGTCGCGGTAGCAACGGCGCTTTGCTTCACAGCGTGGTGCGGAGGTCCGAAAGAAAGTCAAGTCGCAGGAGACCGCAAAATTTGACTCACTGCACTGGCGCGGATCGCGCGGGAACTTCAGATCCGGCATTTGGAAATTGTTTTTTTAATTCACAAATACTGAATTCCCAAGTTTCGAATTTTGAGGGTAATGTCCCGGCATCATTTTGAATCGTTTCGGATAATAAAATAAATTATGATTTTGATGTGTCAGTGCCCCTTTAAGACTGCTGATATGTAGGAATGCAAAAACATTATACTCTTGCGGGTGAAATGTTTTGCTCCGGCGGTGACATGACGCTCCCCCACTGAGCAGGTGCGGGGGAAGCGTCATGTTTTGTTCCCCAGAAAAAATTTTTTTTTTCTGGGTAGTGTTTTTTTTTAGAGCTGCTGCCTGATATGCCAAGTGTAATATCTGCAATACTCAATTCTCTTTTATATATTCTATATAGACAGGTTCTGCTTCTTCACAGACACTTGTTGCCCGAAACTAAATATCGGACACTACATGTCCGACATTACATGTCCAGTCCAACACTAGGTTTTTGACACTGGATGTCTGACACTAAACATCCGGCACAAGTTGTTCAACAATACATGACCAACGCTAGTTGTCCGATACCTGCTGTCTGACATACATTGTCTGACACCCGTTGTTTCCAGAGCCTTTTATACTGGGAGAGCTCGGCAGTCTATTGATCCAGCTGCCAGTCTGGCAGCACTGATCGAACAGTCTGCCAACTGTGCGCACCGCATTCAAAATCTCGTCGTCCGCCATGATGTGCCTTGTCTCGACCCGGCAACCGTCTGACTAGGGTGGAGCGGGAGACGACGGTGAAAATGATCGTTCTGCGCTCCGCGAGACGTTAGAAGAAAACGTAATGGGGTGCTGTAGTGCCATTGGGTGCTCGAACAGAGCGAAAAAAGGGTTCAGGATGTGCCCGTTTCCGCAAGGAAAAGAAAACCGTGCAAGGCACAAGATCCGGGAGGCCAAAACAAAAAGGGCTAAGTGGAAGCCGATTTCGAGTTCTCGATAGTGCGAGGTAATATTATAATTAATTTATTTTGTGAGTTAAATAGGTTTTATTTTGACTAAAACTGTGCAACGACTTGACGCGGCAGCGTCAGGTGAGAGTGTCCGTTGATTACGAAGCAGTTTCCTGCTGAGCAAGACCCGATACTTGCGAGCGGCCTAGCTTGCCAAATTTGAACTGTGTTTATTGTATTTCAGTATTAGCGGCGAGGTTTCGGTGGTGCTCTCGTTTGGTTACCTTTCGTGACGTTATTACCTTGTGAACAGCAAGTTCGATGGTGTTTGTAATGGCATGGTGGAAGCCTAAAATCATAACACTCTAAAAGCAACACTGCATACACCATAAAAATTGAAGTTCTTACATTCCTCTTATTTCCGCCGATGAGACATCCTTTGCTGACGTCATAGTCAGCATTCGGCCAATTGTGGTGGGCCGACCACAGCGACGCTTTCGATCGCTTACATCGCCAATAAGTGCAAGCGGAGCCGATCGCTGCAAGCGCGTGCACATCGCGCTGAACGACGCGTGCACTGTACGAGCGCACGTGCTCCGTCATCACGTTCAAAGCATTCATCTCGCTCTTGTAGCTTTCTCTACGCTCGAGTTTTTAGAAGCGGCCTCGTACCTCTGCTTCGCCGTCTCGCAAGCACTTTTGTTTCGCTAGCAATACCTTTACTTTTTTTTTTTTTTTTTTTTTTTAATACGCGTAGTTAATACTTATTTGTCTTGCCTTTTTTTTTTTTTTATTTAGGTGCACTTTGCAGACAGTGGATTCGAAAGCGGTTGTCAATCCCAAAAAGCTCAGGCACAACGCGATGCCGACGCCGCTTCTTCACAGCAAACCAAACAATGTCAGAAAAAAAAAAACCAAAAGACCGGCAGGTGAAGAAGCACGACGGAAAATCACGATCGGTCCGCCGTATTCTACACAATGGTGCACAAACCTTGTGGTGTGGTAGACAGTCGGGAGCAATCCAGACAATCAAACTTACCTCACTAAATATGCAGAAGGCCGCTGAGCTACATCGGACGTCGGGCGATTTTGAGAAATTCACCATTTATAAATGAATGCCGTTCGTAAATGGGCGGTTTGTTAGCTAATTTTTACATCAATAAAGCACCGAATCACAAAATGGTTGTTTTCTGACTTTCTCCTCACGGCAACAAAAGTGTGAACGGCAAAACCTACACGCGCATACATCGCACGTCAATGGGGACCCATTTGCCGGGAGGCATATCATGGCGGGAGCGGAACCCGCTGAATCTGCTAAACCTAGTGGGCCGTGAGCCCCTCCCATTTGCCGAACTCTCCCAGTATACACCGACACGCTGTTTACAAACAAGCCAGCATTTGCCCACACCAGGTGTGGGCACTGCGCATGCGCAGAAACCGAATTTGCGTGAAGTGAAGCGTCTGCGCATGTGCAGTGCCGTCGACAGCGCCACCGCAGCTGCATGACGTCAGGGCCGCGTGTTGGTCTATAAAAGGCTTTGGTTGTTTCACACCTCCTGTCTGACACTTGTTGTTCAACGCAACCACAACTCAACTACTTTCACGCCCAAAAAGAAGTCCGCAGCCCTTACCTTGCTGAAGCGGTCTTGTGGTACCAACTGCAGCACAATCGGCTCCATGGTCGTCACATTGCCAAAGCGTACCTCTGGGATGTACAGAGCGCACACCACGTGCGCCCAGCCTGCGTGCACGCAAGGGCCACCCATAAGTACACAAAGCCTTGCCCAGTAGAAGGGGACGCCTCCCCCTCACCTCCATTGTCGGTCCTCTTGAGTGCACCATCTCTGGAAGGACACAGCTCGCAACGCTGCAGCAGAATACAAGATTTACATAACCTTTGCCATTAAGATCCAAAAGCAGCACAACTAAAAAAACACGCATATACAAAATTAAGTAAGCGTGTTTTTGTTGCATCATGACAAGAAAAATTTCCACTCAATGTTTCCAGCTGTTCTACCATAATAAATTGCCACGAACCTTCCAGTGCTAAGCCTAACTACAAATACCGGGTGAAACAAGGAGACGGTAGGCTGTTTAAATCGACCGGAAAATTTGGTTTCTTAACCTATCGCGCTACGACTTTGCGCAGCGTTGCCCACAGATGGTGCATTTTTTTGGTAAAATTTGCAAAGAGCGAACTTACCCGAGGAAAAAGTAAAGAAAGAAAAAGGCTTAGCTCCTATGGAAATGCAGCGACGCCTCCGGTCTGCAAACAAAACGGCGCCGCTTCGCACGGGAGACAAGAGATGGCGCAAGCGGTCGCGACGCCAACTGCCGCCAACGAACGAGCAGACGACACAGAGAGTCGGCCCTTTTGCAGACAAGGAACTGCAGTTCCTTGCTGTTACCGCGCCTGTCTTTTTTGTTTCTGCGACTGTCGCCGCCTACGGAACGCGCGCCGCTTTTGAGTCAAAAAGGTTGTCTGCTAAAAAGGCCTGCTCTCGGCGCCGTATGCTCGTTCGTTGCGGCGTTCGTTGCGCCATCTCTTGTGTCCAGTGCGAAACGGCACCGTGTTGTTTGAAGACCGGAGGCTTCGCTGCGTTTTCATAGGAGCTAAGCCTTTTTCTTTCTTTACTTTTTCCTCAGGTAAGTTCGCTCTTTGCAAATTTTACGAAAAAAATGCACCATCTGTGGGCAACGGTGCACGAAGTCGTAGCGCGATAGGTTAAGAAACCGAATTTTCCGGTCGATTTAAAGAGCCTACCGTCTCCTTGTTTCACCCGGTATTCGTATTCTCTTTCCTATAACATTTCACTTGGACTAGTTGCATCTATACAATAGCAACTTGTGGAGGCACCAGTCAATAATGTGGAACAGACCGTAAGAAAAAAAAAAAAAAAAAAAAAAAAAGCTTATGCATAAAGGGATCTTTCAGGACTATCATAAAACAAACAGCGCAAAAAAAGGAAGAGAAGAGAGTCCTTTTAAATGCATCATCTGCAATGAATCACATTTCACTTGGTGACTTTCAAAAAACATTTGCGCAAAGGCAGAAAATGATTGCAAATGTTCTTCAACAACTAAAAAGGACGCTCAAGCACAACAACGGCAGACGTGCCATCGTCACAGTCAAGGGTCGACGCGAGACACTCACCACACGTGCACATCGTTCCTGAGACTCGCACTTCCTGCAGAACCAGGGTCCAGTGGGCACTTGCACGATCCCATAGCAGGCTGCAAAGACATAGCAAAACGGTGCTCTAAGGCACTGTCATACAAAATGAGACAATAGACGTTTAAAAATCTCGAAAAGGCCGTGCACGAATTGCGCAAAAAACTGTGGAAGCGTCCTGTACGCGCAATCTTGACCCCGCAGCATCAATCACGTCACACTGAAAATAGAGTAGGGACCAGCACAGTTGTTGGCCTCTATATCCTCTCTCATCTGGTACAGTCAATTCTATACAGGCTGTTCCCGGCATCCTTTTCGTCACTACGTATGGCGCCGCACGTTTTGCGATAGGTCCGTTACCCGCAGACAGATTAATTGTCTTGGGATTTTGTAAATCCGAGACAAACAAATCCTCAGCCTTCCAGAGTCCGCTAAAATTCCCGGACAATACTATGTATTCTCGTTTGGCAAGGAAATACAACATGAAATATGTGGAATGAATGGCAAAGGCGAGGAAATACCGTGTGCTCCCTTGCCTCTAACAAATCATTCCTGGAGACCATTAAGCCCGACGGTAAGTCTGAGTGGTGTTTTGATTTCAGCACTCCTTATCAGTTGGCAGCACTATCAATATTGGCTTCGCTCGACCTGCTTGTGTTTTGTTTGTTTAGAATTTTCACTAGGAGAACCCGTCAGTCTTTCAAGATAAATGAAAGGAAACACAGGCTGTAGGTGAGCAGAAGTTTGGAACGGTCTGAAAGCAGGGGTCCGCTTCATAGGACGATGATACACAAAGACTTTTTTTGAGATTGATTAAAGCTTCCCCCCCCTTTCCGCTTACCCGCCATACCGGCTCTCCGATGATTCAGCCTCGAGTGATAATTGCACAGCCAGCGACAGGAGCGAGACAGAGCAAAAATGTGAACGCGTGCCACGGTTGACATTGTGCGACACAGTTGTCAACTTGGTCACAAAGAAGGGGAACTGTTGAATGGACTGGTCTTCTCTGTGTGTGTGTGTGTGTGTGTCTATTGCAGTAATCTGGTAGGACATTTTCGGCAAGCCTGGTCCAACCAGGAGACCTGCTGTCATGATTCTAAGGTATGACTAGGGTTCGGACTTTTCGGTTTAAACCGATAAAAACCGATAAAAGTACGCCGAATCCATTTTTGGAAATTCGGTTTTAACCGAAAAAGGTCGGTTTTTAGGTTCTGAATTTTCGGTTTAAACCGATAAAAGTACGTCGAATTAATTTCTAAAATTCAGTTTTAACCGGAAAAGGTCAATTTGACCTTCCAGACGTACCGCAGAGCCGTGGCAAAAAAAGTGGAACGACAGTGTCTATCGAAACGTGTCCGAATGTATGGGATACACGGATGCCATCACGACGTTTCGGTTTAATGTGCGCATCATCGATCGGAACAAGAAGTCCGAAATGCGTAATGACTTCGCCATGTACTAGCGTGTTTTCGAACTCATTGTAAGAAAGACTGACTTCGTGGAAGCTCTGAATATCGTGTTGCGCTTCAAAACGTCGCAGCGTGTCTCTTTTGGCGGTCACAATTGGTTGATTGACCGATTTTGGCTCAGGCAGTGCTTCATCTCATCAGTCTGCCAGTGTCCAGTGTTAGCGTTGAGTGGGCATTCTCAAAGCTCAGGGTCATATTAACAGAAAACAAGAGTCCGGATCAACGAGGAGAACCCGGAAAAGCTAAAGTGCACGTGTGTGCACTATAATAAGATCACATAATCCTGATGCACAGAAGGTGAAGTTCCATGTTTGTTTTGACATAGGCTTTGTATCTGACTTGTTTGTACTTCTGAGTTGTTTTTTTTTTTTTTTTTCTTTTTTTCTTGTTTCTTCTACAGTTGCACACATTTGCCAAATAAAGTGTGCATTTATTTTTCAGTGTATCGGTTCCGTTATTCTTTGAGTGATCACAAATATCAGAGCTAGAAGAACCATCTGATCCAGTGTCGGTTGGTGTTCATTTTATATTCACCGAAAAAAGCCGATAACCTTTTGTGGGCATAAATATACGCCGAAAAAAACCGAAAATTCATTTTTAAAATAAACACCGAAAAAAGTACGCCGAATTTTGAAAAAATAAAAACCGAAAACGCGGAACCCTAGGTATGACATAAAAGGAAGTTGAGGGGGCAAGAAGAAAGAAGATGATGCCACGTGAGACAACCATTTTAGGAGGGGAAGAAAAAGAAGAGGACGGCGTGAGCAGGAATAATCGAAGACTGAGACCGGGAGGAAGCGGCGGATGGGGTCCCTGGCTACACTCCAGGACGCGCCCGACCCTTGCTGTGCACAAGCTGTCGCGGCGAGAGTTCCGCACTCCCCTTCAGACGCTTAGGAGACAGGCCTTCGCTTCCTTGGGCAAGTCACTTCGGTTCGTCGACGTAACGAACTTAAACTGTAAGGCCTGCTGCGAACAGCTTCATTTCCTGGAACTGTAGATGTGCTTAACCGGGTGTGTATTATTTCCCCTTTTACTGTGTACATACTCCCATGCTTTCCGTTATATCTTCGTCTTCCTTTTGTAAATATAACGGGTTGTAAATTATTTGTTTTCGGCCCCGCCTCTATCGCATTCGCAACGTCTCCGGCCGAACCGTGACAATGGCGAGCCTGCCAGGATACTTTTATCATCCTGATATTACGAAGTCCGAGATGCGCGAATGTTGATAGAGATATGCCGATACACAGAAGTGTAATTTACAGCGAGTCATTTCTAGGTAAAACATGTCCTGGAAGTGAGTACCCAGTCTCATTATTTCTTGGCCATGGAAGTTCCTTAAACATAACGCTCGAAGTGCAAGCTGATAAGATGGATCTGTGTAAGGTGCAAGAGATTGGAAACGCTGTAGGATTAGAAGGGATCGCACTGAAAGAATGGTTGAACGATTTGCTCGAGGCAGAAAAGGCTGACCTGAGAGAAGAGCAAAAGTGGCAAGAGTTGCTACAAAAGGAAGGCGAGCGGGGACGTTTTGCCTCGGGAAGGAAACAAGAGTGGAGAGAAGAAAGCGCCACAGAAATGGCACGCATAAAGACGGAATGCAACCACCTGGAGGAAATGATAGCGCTGCTGGAAGCTGCAGAGGAGGCACAAAATGGTGCAGAGATGTCGAAGGATGACGTCTCACTGCAGATAGAAGGTCCACAGAGGAGGAAAGCTTCGGAGCTTGCGGAAAATTCTGACGAGGCTTGTCCGCTTGTCGCAAGAAACGACAAAATAAAAAGTAAGAGAAGGTCCTTCGGAGACTCGGATCCACATTTAAGAGCTGATGCGGAAGCTGAGGCTTCAGCCCTTGCGAGTGGAGAAGATGATGAGGTGATGATGCGGCCCATGGTCGTACTGAAGAAGGCCCAGCGAAGCACAGGGAGTGCTAAGGTACGGAGGGCTACTTCTGCTGGTCAGAAAGTAAAGAGGAGAAAACTTCTGGAACAACTGGTTCACCGCAGTGCTCAGTGGAGACGCCAGTTCAGCGCTCAAAAAACGCTGCTAGGGCAGTGCAATGGTAAGCTTAGAAGGCCACAAATTAGCGCACAAGTGAAGGGTCACAGTGTCCGCCACGGAATTAAAATGTCAAACAAGAAGCCAAGCGCGCGCTGTGCTGACGTTGCAATCGCGATCTACCCCATCGCGATTGACCGCACCAAGTTAAGCTGTTACCCTGAGGTGCTATCGAGCGTTTTGGAGGACTGGACGGCCAAAAGGCCAAGACTGGAAGGCTAGCTGAACATTATGATTTGATTCCATTCCTGGCTGAAACGATTAGACTGGGTCTTTTTCTTTTTTTTTGCAAGCGTCAATGCTGCTATTTCTAAGTATATCTGTTTTGTATCTCTAGATTCTGTTTGTCAATTTTGTATAGCCTTCGTCACGAAGAGGGTTGTTTTTGTATTCGTAGCTTGTGTTACAAAAGCGCAGAATGAAACGAGGTTGAGCATTGGAAGGGAATTGCTTTGTGGTATTTTCGGCACTTGGTAGTCTTTGATTTTCGGAAAGGTGCGCATTCGTTTGGTGATTTTTGTTAAGTATGGAATTATTCAGTTCTAAGATGATTGTAGCGTTTAGTGATTGTGCTTACATTTTTTCACGGTGTGTTTCCTGAACTATTGTGATTGGACGCAGTGATTTGTGGGTAGAAAACTCTTCAAGAAACCTGTGTTGTGAAAGTGGAGCTGTGGAGGATAGCCATTGTGCTTGGCGTTCAACAACCGCAAGACAGCACCTTCCGTAGATGAGGATCTCAAGAAAGAACTCCATGTTATGAAATTCTCGTTTGCGGCGGGTAATGTCATGATTCTAAGGTACGACATAAAAGGAAGTTGAAGGGGCAAGAAGAAAGAAGATAATGACACGTGAGACAATGATTTTAGGAGGGGAAGAAAGAAGATAATGACACGTGAGACAATGATTTTAGGAGGGGAAGAAAAAGAAAAAGATGGTGCGAAGCAGGAATAATCGAAGACTGAGACCGGGAGGAAGCGGCGGATGGGGTCCATGGCTACGCTCCAGGACGCGCCCGACCCTTGCTGTGCACAAGCTGTCGCGGCGAGAGTTCCGCACTCCCCTTCAGACGCCTAGGAGACAAAGGCCTTCGCTGCCTTGGGCAAGTCGCTTCGGTTCGTCGACGCAACAAACTCAAACTGTAAGGTCTACTCCGAACAGCTTAATTTCTTGGAACTGTATATATGTTTAAGCGTGTGTGTGTATTATTTCCCCTTTTACTGTGTACATACTCCTTTGCTTTCCGTTATATCTTTGTCTTCCTTTTGTAAATATAATGGGTTGTAAATTATTCTCTTTCGGCCTTGCCTCTATCGCATTCGCAACGCCTCCGGCCGAACCGTGACACCTGCCACTGTGTTGCCTAGCCACGCAACCTCTCGTCCGTAGCCCCCGGTTTTAAAAAGCAAATGACGACAGGCATGCACCTTCGCAGCCACTTACCACCCCAATGCAAATAATCTGCCCCGTCTGAAGGAACAGGGCGAGAAATAAGGTTTATCAACATTTGTTCAATGTTGAGGCACTCGAAAGCTAGCTGCAAAAGAACTTCATAACTCAAATTTGTAATGTCCGATTTTAGAGATTCATAAGTCGCTGGGAGGGAGCCAAGCCCAATAGTGCTGTGCCATGTGTTAATCTCAGTAATCCTGTAGCACACTCTAAAAACTGAATTCTCTTTTAAGGTTCGTGTAACTGAAACATCTTGTAACGAGCGACTCGCTCATCCAAAATACACCGACTAAAGTGTCGAGACAGAGTGGTAAAACCACAACAAGGGCAACTAACCTGCTTGGGTTGTTTAAGATTACTGAAGGAACTTTTCAATCCATTTTTATTCACTTTTTCACGGGACTGAAAATGTGAACTGATACATACTGGAATTTCACTAATAGGAAGGTGTCACAATAACTATAAAATTATTGCCATAAAACATGGCAATCAGTTTTTAAGGCCACTACTGTAGCTTAAAACCTGGCTCTAATAAAAAAAAATAAAGGCAGTCGAGAAGGAATGTGAATTTCATAAATACTTTTTGCACAAATACAAGGGCGTGTAAACAGAACTTAATACCCGTTCCATGCATCATGAACATGAAGAGTTCATTATGAGAACTAGTTAGACGAAGTTAAAAACTTCCCCAAGAGAAAGATGCCTTAGTAGTCTTTTTAACATCATCCTCAGGTTAACCAAAAGAAGAATTAAACAGCATAAGTGTTGAAAACTGGGCTAGTTAACACCAATTAATTATTTTAAAAAAGATAAAAAGGTGCACAGAACACGGGAACTAAAGGAACACAGGAAGAGTGCTTGTCTGTCAGATGTGCCTTTCTTTGGTCCATGCAATCAAGGATTCAACAAGTTTGTAGAATAAACCGAAAACCTGTGCCAACCTAAAAAAATGTATGCCCCATTCAACTTACCAGTATCAACACTAGACTGGCCCCATTCACTTTTGTACTGGTAGTTAGCACAAACATTCTATTAGCTGCAAAGAGCCCATCTGACAGATGAAGCCGTAGTTCGTGCCCATTTTACTGGTTCTGACATCAAACTCAAATTTGAAGACCTAGTTTGATGTAAACATAACTTCTTGACTAGTGAAAATGTCTTTGGACTTTTTAAATGATACACGGCATATGTTGTTAGGACTCTTCGTGTGGTATAACCAATGATCTGCTACATTCAAACACTCTGCATAACTGGCATGTATTATATAAGATAACCGAAACATTGATGCCGACATGATTAACAATGCTTTTTGGGCCAACACTTCACGCCCTAAAGCAGGGATGACTCTTTGTCACTTCTTCCCACCTGAAACCATTTTTTTTTTATCAGAATACCAGAACTAAGGAATGCGTCCGTAAAAAAAAAAAAAAAAAAAAAAAGTAGCTTGCTTCATTATGCAAACAATTTTTGGAGCTTGTCAAAAGATCCCACTTTTCACCGAAACTTAACACCTGCCGCAGAAGCCATTAAACACATTATAAACGTAGTGCTGGCACTGACTAATATCATTTATAGGAATTTTTATTTTTTATTTAACTTTGGTTGTTTGTGGTTGTAACCACTCAGAATTGCCATAGCTCATTCTGTGGCTTGCAGAGTGCAGAAGCTCAGGCCCTTAGCTAAATGTGGGCTACCACTATGAACGCTTCAGCATGAGGTTTCTTTTTGAGCAGTATGTTAAACACGGAAAATGCAAAGCATCCTCTCCAATACAATTATCAGCAATGTAGATGAACAAGGCATACACCCTTTTTTTTTAAACTATTAATTGAGGGCCAATGCCACATTATATTTTAACAATAAATATGAAGCATTTGAAAGCAAGGTCTAGGAATGGAATAAAGGTTGCCCCCTATACCATGGGTTCACACACACAGTGAGTAAATCAATTCGGGAACTTTAAAGGGTCCGACACAGTGATTTCCCAGCAGTTGTCAAGACTTCACCAGCAAACTTATATCTCTCTTTTAACTCTCGTCAACTATAGTGTTTTTTTTTTTTTTCTTCTTGTGTTTGGCAATTTTTGAAGACTAGTCCTAAAAAAGAAGTACCTTCCCGAACTACGTCGGGAAAAGTGATATCATTAAACGTGGCGAGAAGCTCAAAGAACATTGGAAAACTAAACGTAAACGCGACTACGACACGAGTGCAAAGTTAGGGGTCTGAACGTTTTGCCGGTACCACAAGAAACACACTCAGCACCGCGTTGTTACCCAGAATGACGTACGCCTTGGTTCGACAGAAATGGCAACACCTGCTTACCTCCTATTCCCTCAACACCTTCGATAGCATAGGTTTGGAGTCGTTTGAAGCATGGAAAAAGAACCGCGAGCGAGACTCACGGTCCTGACGGGACTACACAAGCCGACTTGTTGCACTAGTCAAAGCACTATGCTACACGACCACCAGCGCCGAACGGAAAAAGTTGCCGCCAAAAACAAAAACAAAAAAAATGACTCGATCAAGTTCAGGCAGCGAGACGCGCCGAAAAACACACCTCAACAATTATGTTTGATAGAGGAAGCAGAAAGGCTTCTTGTTGCCTGCGCGTCAAAACAATCGTGTATTACACTAAAGCGCGCGAAAAAAAAAAAAAAAAAAGGAAACTAAAAAGAAAAAAGAACATAAAAAGCGCACAGGTCTGGGCGCCAGACATGCTGTTACTACGAGCAGGTGGCAAAAACTCGGGTTCAAACAGTAGTTCACTGACCTAGATATTCGCATTCGCGGCGCGGGTTATTGCAGTAATTATAACAGCGATAATAATAAACCCTGCAATCGCATTATCGATACGAAGGGAACCGTGTGGTGTGACAGGAATCGTAACTCGAAAGCGCTCCTCTGGACAGCGAGCGCTACTCGGGAGCTCGCAAACCGAGCACAAAAGCGATCCAGCGCGAAATCAAGCTATCAAACATCGAAAGCGAAACACTGCGGTCCTGAATCTTTCGACAACTGAGAATTAAGCCGAGTACGAGCGACGCTGAATGCCCGATCGCGTTCGGTTCGACGAGGATCCGCCATACTTGGCGAGCCTACGGAGCGCCCGAAGACGCACACCCCGACGTCCCCGAGGACTCGATCTTTCAGGGCATCCAGCGAGCTCGATCTCGTTCCTCCGAACGCGAGAGAAAACATCGGTCGTTTTTTGCGCACCACTTTTAGCACTAGGCCTAAAAGCCGTCGCTCCGGCGGCGGCAGGACTGCAGCGCGCAGTACGGACGGCACACACTACCTTGGTGGACGGCAACATTGCAGCCCTGTCCATCGCAGTAGACGAGGGGGTTTTCCGCCCAGCCGCGTTCGTCGGAGCACACGCAGCAGCCGCCCACCATTTCCTTCATGGTGCTCGCTGGGAGAGCGCTTAGGGCGGCCGATCAGTCTTCCTCGCCGTCATCGCACCGAAGCCATTCATCGCGGCCCTTCGGAGCGGCCACCCCGTCCGTCCGTCCGCCCGTCGGAGGGACCTCGGTGGCTCGTCGTGCTGTAGCAGCGTGCGACCGTGCGTTCCTCCTCCGCTTCAAGCTGGGACGAATATGCTTGTTTTGCTTTTGTTTACCTGCTTTGCCGTAGGGTTTTTTTTTTTCGACGTGGTTTTCGGTGTTGCCAGGAGCAACGTTCCGCCGACCCGAATTTCGTGGCGCGCTGTGACCGCGTTCGGGCAAATATTATGAGTGACGTCATAAAGTTGACACTGCGCCATAGAGAGTGAGGGTCAGCGTATGATCTCTATGTCAGCGAGTGCTCGCGTGGTTTGAGAATTATCACGTGACGAGGGTGCGCCGAATTTGCCGAATCGAGCGGTTTCTTCAGTGTTGCTTGAATCTAAATTGTTTAATGCCGCTACGGTCTAATATGGCGAATAAATTATGTTTCGGCAAGCGATACAATTTATAGTAAAAATAGCATATAAGCCTCGCAGTTCACTTATGATAACGTGAGAAATTGTAGCCGCTCTTAATGTTTACACATATGTAACGAAAGTGTGAGATGCTGTGCACGTCCTGATCAAAAAAACTGCTCGGAGCAGTTTTTTTGATCATTATGATTCCCGGCTATTGCAATATTTTTGCGTGCATGTCCCGGTTTCGAAATCGCGACCATGTGCGCACAAATGGTACGAGATCAATCCTCCCCGTCACGAAGACAAATTACTTACCGAACGTTTTTAGGCATCCAAATACAGCTGTTCCAGGAAAAAGGGGGAGAGGTTTACTTAAAATATTACATTATGAAAAAAAAAAAAATTTCCATAACGGTAAGAGAGGTTCTTGCTTGTAGCAAGAAAATATACTTAAAATAATCGACATCTTGTAAACCCTGAGATGGGGAACAATAAAAAAACGGACAAACACAACAAAAATTCGTTTTTTTTTTCTCATTCCCCACCTCAGGGTTTACAAGATGTTGATTAATTACCAGCTCGCCTGCACTCTCTCACTGCTTAAAATAATATATTTCTTAAGGAAATTTTTGCAAGAACAGATATGCTCACTCAGCCCAATAATATTGCCCATCGATCACACAAAAAAGCAAACCAGAGAGCGAAAATAAGAAATTCGCAGTTTCGCAAAAAATAAATCTGACGATCAAGACCGAGTTCCATGGCATGTTATGGGCTTTTGTTAGCAAATGAACAGCATGCAGTTGAAGAAAAACCACATTCATGTTGCCAATATATTTATTTATATAGCAATATACATATGTATCATACAAGTGAGACAACACGATTAGTTCTTAGTGAAAAAAATAATGTATACAGGAGAAGAAAGGTTTTACAGCGGCAATCGTCACTTTATTCTGTGGAAGAACTTCGCATTTATGACACCCCCAACACTTGGCTCAGCTTCGCTTTTGCTTAGAGATGCGACGGCTTTCCTTTTTCGACTCGCGTACCTCCAAACGTAACGGGAGAAAGAAACAAGAAATGCATGTAAAACAGCCAGGAGCAAAGGTTTACTATATGTATAATATATTTATACGATGCATTTCATGCGTGTATATGTATAATATATATATATATTATAGACAAGTATACTAACTATACGCTTACGAAAATAAAGTCATTTGTTCTGTTAATAACGCATAGATATGTAAGAACATTTTTCATTTCTTTAACCTGCAAAATGAGAGACAAAGACGACAACAACAAGACATGGATTGGTCACACGCATGTAGCGGTACTCGCACACATTTTTGCAGGAACAAATGGCTTTTTTTTTTCCCTTAACGGAGGAGTTTTCCCTACCGCGGAAGTAGGAATTAGGGAAACAGCAAACACTTATTCCACCCGTTAAGCTCAGTGATAACAAGGGAGGCAGCGAAGGGATGACAGGTGCCGTGCCGCCTGGAGACCCTCGGCACAACACCTCCTTCGTGCTAGATTTTTTTTTTTTTTTTTTGCCTTTGTTCATGAGTGTCACTTGCTCTCAACTCCAGAGTTTACGAAAGTAAACTGCAGTACACAAACAACTCAAAAGTGCAGCTCAACAAAACGCAAACAATCACTGGTCTGTTTCTTCTGTCATACTCAAGCCCCGCCCCAAAGACCCACTGAACAAAAGCAAAACACCTTTCAAAAAAAAAAAAAAAAAGCCACACATTGCAGCTGACCCGTTTGGCAGAGCGCGGAACGCCTTAGATTGATTGTTCGATTGACCGGCTTTTCTTCTTTCTTTCTAGCGTCCCAACCAAGCCAACAGATTCAAAATGTGGAAAGCCGGAGCAGTCCAGAATGCCTATTGCACCACACACCACCCTAAAGATTGCAGGCACTCTCTGGATTGTTTTCCTCCATAAAGACTCTCGCGGCACGGGTACGTCGTGGGGCACGTTCCTAGCACCAGCCTTGCGCCAGCTCCGCGCCAAAAGAAAGATTCCTGCGCCGAGATTGCGCACGTCACTCAGCAAAACGCTCAAAGATGCGCATCTGGCCGAACGAGACGCGCAACTCTGCAATTGCGCATCTCACTCGGTTCACGGTTTGCCCGTTGTGCTACCTCGGAGCAAAGGACTACGCCATAGTCTCCGTATATGTACACACGACATATAAATGCAAGGGCTTTCTGCTTCTTTACAAACCTCCAGCCATTCCTTCCACAAAAATAATGCTTCGGTGCTGAAACGCTCCGTTTGGAAAGTGAGGTGCATTATCTACCCTGCTGGCTGTTTCCATCGCTTTCGGGCTGCTTCGCTAAAACACCGAGGTTATGAAGGTTTAGATTTGTAATAAGCAAAAGCAGAGTGCTCCCATCAAAGGCAGCTCCTCCTCGAGGCCTCTCCCTACGTCGCACGCGGAACGACAAAACTTTAAGCGTCTAAAATATAATTATAAAGTTGCGCAGCTACGTGGTCAGGTTGATAAAAGTGGTCCTTGTAGATTTGTCTGTTGTCAGGCCGTGTTTCACACAATCTTTACTCCAACGCCATTACAAGAGACTAAAAAATATGTGTAAATAGGTTGCAGCCAGTTCAAGAATCTAGCTTTGCATCCAAACTAATGGAGGCTCAAGAGAAAGCATTGCACAGCTGCTTACTTTATTTGGTAGCTTTACAAATATCAGTATCTTGCACCATGCTGGTCAAGTCTATGATCCCAAACCGTGTGACCAGAAATTAATGCAAAAACAATGGGGGCAAAAAAAAAAAAAAAAAAAGGTACAAAGGTATTTTGAGTCTAAAACCAAATATTGCAAGAGCGAGTGCAACAAGAGGCGAAAATAAAGCTGTGGAAATTCAACTAAGCCCGACCATTAAAAATGGAAAATAAGCAAATGGAAGACGATTGTTACCAACACACACAGCCAGACAAATATATCGATACCCAAAGCATGTGGCTAATGGACAAACTAATATAATAGAGAGTTCACAATTGCTTACACAAAAACATAAGTACACTCACATTGAGAATTTTATAAAAAAAAATAAAATATGCTCATCTCACGCTGGTACTTTGCAACATTTTCGACAGGGGCACAAGCAAGTTGATGCAGTTGTTTACGATGAGTTAATAAATCTCAAGACAGGGGAGGAAATATTCTAAATTGTGAATCGAGAACTTGCCACTCAAATTTAGAATCTGTTTGCACATGCACTTGGGCAGCAGAAGCAGACTTTAGAATCCCAAATTAGTATTCTTTGAAAGTTTTACGCATGGTACCTGCACCCTCATACCACCTTTTGTACAAAGTTATTCACACTGACTATTTTGTAACAAGTAATCGTAAAGAAATTGAGGCTGGCCGATTCGTTTGGACTTCTAGAACACTCTTTGAGCAGACAAACAAAAATTGGTAAGCATAACAACTTTCGAGCAACGCCGCCTTTTCAATGAAAAAGTTTTCATACAAACAAGAGTTTTAGGCACTGCCCAGGAAAGTATGTGGGCGCATGTGCCGTACCTCAACTGAAGCACTTTCGACGAAGTTCAGACACATTTGCACACACTTTGCAGTACACTTGTACAGTATCAAATGATAATCGAGTCCGGTTCAAGCATGGCAACAAGTGTTCTCACCACTAAAGGGTACAAAATGATATACACTACCTCCAGACTCCTAAACAGAGACATTCTTACTTCTTCCCAAATCCAGTCTGCATTCACCAAAACTTGACTATCCCAATTGAAATGCATAGCAAAGCACTCAATATCTCACAAAATATACAATCAACCACAAAAAAAAATAAACAGAAAATGGTAGTGCTTGATTTGTGTACTATTTTTTGGCCAGGTTGTTCCTCAACACAACACTCCTGCAAATCCTTTAGATCTTTCTCTAGCGCCCCAGCAACGCATGTGTTCTCCGACAAACCTTTCTTACATACGAGCAAAAATGCAAGAAAGCCAGGTCAGCAAGCTAGCTTGTGCTCAGAGCTGTAGTATAGTTGCCAATTCTACATAGACCCCGGTAAATGAGTAAAACTTGGAATGAATAAAAAGAAAAAGTGAGTATTGTAAAGCAGAAAAAAAAAAAAAAAAAAAGCCAGAGAAGTGCAGAAATGAAGAACATTTAAGATTTCTCCAGAGAATGTTGGATGCATTCAGGAGAGAGAGAGAGGGTAAGAGAGTACGAGCGAGTTTTGCACCCGTGAGTGTCCGTTTTCTAATGCATAGCCCACTTTCGCATCTGTACACGGAGCAGAGTTCTGCTAGGCATCTCCAGAACTCGTGTGGCGGACGTCGTACGAATTCGGAAAGTGGCAGCGTCTGCTAGCGATCTCAAACGACGGTGGCTCGCCACGCCCCTCATACGGTTTGTGAGGATGTACAACGTAAAACACCAAAACGATATAGAGATCACAACATAGAGAGCTCGACACATTCACACACTTTACATGCAGATAAAACCATGCAGACAGACGCCACACACACACGTGCAAAAGGGGAAAGAAAAAAAACTCGCATTAAAAGCCCGTGCAGCAGCCGACGCTTCGCACCTTCCGGGGGTGGGTCGGGGAGCAAGTGTGCAGTGCCAACACATTGAGACGCGCGTGGGTCGAACGGGGTCGTTGCGGCCGGGAACGTGAGAAAAGAAGACTGGACGCACCCTTTCGGTGAACGCTAATACATGTGAGAAAGGAAACTTGTTTTTTCTTCAAAAATGCCCCGCAGCAGCAAATGAGAAATGAGAAGTGGTGCAGCTGTATTTTGTCACAGGGCCACCTCGTAGGCCGGACAAAACGAAGACAAAAGAAAACACCGCAAGTGGCCGAGGGTTGCACGGTCCCTACCCGTCGTGCAGCGTGCCGTTCTCGGATATGGTCCTCGGCGGCGTTTGGATTATGAACATTGGTCGTTTAGCTATCTCACGTTTGGCCAACACAGCGCAGAAACAGCACCATTTTGGCGGCCGGTCATCAACGCAAGCTACAGCCCGTCGGTGGCCCCTTTCCCGTCGGCTTCCCGCCCACTCCATGCCGGAGCGGTTTACGACGCCTCTTGAACTAGTCGTCTCTCCTCGCACCCAGCACGAAAAAGACGGCACCCCACAAAAAATATATATATATATATATATTTTCCCCTTCAAATAAATGAAAACGAAAAAGAAGCCAAGGCGGCGCGAGCGATGGCGGCGGCGGAAGCAGGCAGTTTCTGGCACCAACAAACAACAATAACGTCCGCAATAACAAGTGCTCCCACGACGCAATGACGAGACGACCGCGTCTTTCGTCATTGATTCCGGGCGACCACTTCCTGGAGCAACACTGCGGCCAGCACAGCCAGCAGTGTGAAGCCGCCGACGAGAATCCCAGCCCACTGTTGGTCGCCCAGGGAAGGAAGAAGCCCCGACCGGGACCCTTGGAGGCTCCAGCCAGAAGTGGCGGAGGCAGACGCACCGACCTGGGAAGACCCGCCGTTGCCGGCTGCTGGTTCGGCGAACAACTGGAACGAGGTTGCCGGGCCGTACGGCCCGCACAGGGGCTCGGGACTCTGGGGGCAGTGGCGGACCGCCGCCACCCGCGCGCAGTGGAACGTGTGGGGCGACAGGTTACTCAGGGAACATCTCGTGTCGTAGTCACGGTAGACCTGCGTAAGGTCAGGGAGAGAAGCACGGGGGGGGGATCACCTATGGTGCGTGTCCGGTCTATTACAATACGCTGGACTTTTCTGTTATATCGGACTTCTATGATATACAGACTTCCATGATATACCGTAATTACTCTAGTAATAGCCGCACTATTCATGAACAAAGCCCTTGCTTCTGCTTTGCCGCAAAGCAGATATACAACCAAACATACCGTTGCGCATAAATAACATGGCGAATAGCCAAATAGAGAACACGATTCTCCATAAAATGCAATCTTCACAGATGGTATCTTCGCATGAAGACGTTATCTCTGTCCTGTAAACCGCTGGAGTAATGTTGTCAATTACGGTGATTAGCAATCCACGTCCCCACGGAGAAGCGAATTCTCAAGTTTTCTTCATAAACAGTGCGGCTATTATTCGCGTAAATACGGTTACCTGACTTCCATAATATACGGACTTTTTGTGATATGATATGCCAGACTTTTACGATATACCCAACTTTTACGATATACCCGACTTTTACGATATACCCGACTTTTACGACATACCCGACTTTTACGACATACCCGACTTTTACGACATACCCGACTTTTACGACATACCCGACTTTTACGACATACCCGACTTTTACGACATACCCGACTTTTACGACATACCCGACTTTTACGACATACCCGAATTTTACGACATACCCGAATTTTACGACATACCCGACTTTTACGATATACCCGACTTTTACGATATACCCGACTTTTACGATATACCCAACTTTTATGATATACTCAACTTTTACGATATACCCAACTTTTACGATATACCTGACTTTTACGATATACCCGACTTTTACCATATACCCGACTTTTACCATATACCCGACTTTTATGATACACCAAATTTTATGATATACTAGACTTTTATGATACCAGTGATGTGACTGGCCTAAGCCATTTTGGAGCACCTTTTGGAGCAGCCAAAATAGTGTTTTGGAGCAACTAATGTGGCCTTTGGAGCAACCAAAAAAGTGTTTTGGAGCAGCAAAAGTGGCTTTCGGAGCAGCCAAGACAATGTTTCGGAGCAGCAAAAGCGGCTTTCGGAGCATATTTTTTTTAGAAAAATAAATATAATCGTGCTGTACAAAAGAAGAACACTTTCTGTTGTGTTCTGACGTGATGTGTTGTGACAGAACTCGCTGCCTGTGTTTTTGCTGCTGAGACATCCCACAAGTATGCAGTGCTGTAGGCGTTGCCGAGCAATTCCGAAAAACCGCTTGCCGCCGTTCTACTGGTTCCCGACATGCCAGATTTTCATCAAAAGTAAGCACACGTAAAACAATGAAATGCAAGCGTCCTGGCTGGTGCTCTGTCGTGCAATCATGTTCGCATGCACGTGAGGGAAACTTCGGCAGGCTTGTAGTTGCGCGTGCTTAGTCGCGCGAGCGAAGACAACCGCTGTTCGAACGACATCGAAACCATGCTACTCCGATCCATCGCTAACTGATTCCCAAAATTGTATGCAAAATGTGACTGTCGAGCATACAACAAAGAATTAACGGAGCAGCGGCGCGTGCCTGTCACGCCGGCAAACAAGGTACCGCGTGCTTGTTATTGTTAGGCCGACGAACAAAATACAAACTAAACACACACACACCAAAAAAGAAACTGAGTGAATGAATGCAAGACATGGCGCGCCAGGGTCAAAACTTTTTTTGAGCACTTTATGCAACCACTGACCAAACAAGTGCGCTGTGCGGGTTCAGCGTGCGAACATTGCCTTCTTTGCTTTAGCTCGCTTTTCTTCACCAACTTTCTTTTGCAGCAGCTTTTCACGTACCAGGGTCCCTCCCGAAAGAAAGTTCACCGAGAGAAATTTAAGTAATCAATAATTCGACACAGCAGTCTTCGAGTTAAAAAGATGGTAGTAACATATGATTTAAACAAGAACAGGAATGTTGACGAACATGCGGCGGTACTTAGTTTCATTTCAGAAAGCGCCATATCTGCAGCGATGTGGGGACGGCAAGACACGACATCACGCAACGACAGTGACTGGAAAGCAGGGACCAATATAGTTATCCCACGGCCATTGCTTTGAGCAAGAGTTTCAGATCAGAAAATAACTCCCGCCGTGCAAAAACATGGTTTCATTTCACAGCATGGCTGCTACCTGGCACGCTAGCGTCGGAGCATCCGCACGCACCCACGTCTATCGTAAAAAATATATGAAAAAAAAAAAAAAAAAAGCCGCAAGACGAGATTTACGACACGACGAGAGCGCGAAACGCGAGACAGCGGGAAAACTATGTAAGACCGGACAGACGATTCATGCAGGGTATTTCGTGCCGGGCGGCCGCTTGCGCCACATAACACACGCATGCTTGGTACTTAAATTAAAGTTTCGGTTTTGAAAGGCGACCAAAATTGGTATTTTGGCGCAGGCTTGGCGCAGATTACCCATATTTTGGCAAAATGTAGCAGGATGTAGCAGGGTTAGCCACTTGGCGCAGTTTGGCACAGCAATCACATCACTGCGATACACCAGACTTTTATGATACACCAGACTTCTATGGTATACCAGACTTCTATGGTATACCAGACTTCTATGGTATACCAGACTTCTATGGTATACCAGACTTCTATGATATACAAGACTTGTATAATATACCAAACTTCTAAGATCTACCAGACTTCTATGATATACCAAACTTCTATGATAAACCAAACTTCTATAGTAAACCAAACTTTTATGATATACCAAACTTCTATGGTATACCAAACTTCTATGCTTTACCAGACTTCCACGGTATAATGGACATTAATCCATGCCAGACTTCAGTGACATACCATACCAGACTATAGCGACATACCGAAGTCCGAAGGTCGCAAAGGTGCTTAAGACATGAAAAGTGCTGTTACGGTTATTTTGGTACAGGAAAAGTATGGTGCCCAGAACATGTCTCCGACCAGTGTGTTTACCGCATCCTAAAAAATGGTCTCTCAATTACCACCTGATGATGTCACAAAAGTGTCACGCTGTCGCCAGCCATGATCCTGGCGAACTCGTAGCGAGCTGGATGTGCCAGACGCCTGTTCTGCTGCAGGTCGCACTCAGGTGTGACAGTCCGCGGAACCTTTGGCAGCCAAGAGTTGGGACCCCACGATGACGGCAACACTTGCATTTGCTCACTTATTTTGCCGGGACTTCTAGCACCAATTGTCGGGATCACGACAGCATGACACGCAGGCTCTCGTCACTTCTGATGTATGGGTGAGACGGACGCCAAACACACCGGTCAAAGACTCGCTTTGGGTACCGTTATGGAAGACTCGCGACGTAGGAAAACATAGAGCTATCCTTTCCGGTGCTGGCCGAGGGACTGGGGACTCACCACAGAGAACTCCGAAGACCCAGACTGCTGCAGCTGGACCAGGTAGCTCACGGGATCGTCCGTGAGAAGACGCACGGCTTGCCACTCCAACAGGCACGACGTGTCTCCCTGGGGGGTCACGCGAGGAGCTGCGCCGGCGAGATAAGCGCTTGGCGTCATCCGGGGGTCGTCGTGACGTCCGCTTTTCTCGAGGCTCGTTCGCACACTCGCGATCGCATACAGCCGAATGCGTTATGACCTCTCCTGATCTCTCAAGAGGACGCACTGACGCCATTTATCAGGTAGTCGTGGAACACTGGTGATTTCCACATACTTTCCATTTTTTTCACGCATCTTTGTTTTACTATTAGCTCAAACAATTTTTGACATTGTTACAAACGACCATTTCCCGTAAAAAGCGCATATACATATGATCTCGCAAATACTGCAAAACCTCACTAGTGACATGCAATTCCAGGGCCACCTCACAGATGGCGGTAGCATGTTCTCTAGGTGAGACAAAAAAGGGATGTAATGCACTCAGTTGTAAACAGTCGCGAGAGTGCAGACCAGCCTTCAGTGTGTCTTGGAACATGTGTCTACGCTGAGAATAAAACACTGCATGTGCAACCATGATGGTGACACCGGCCTGTGCGTTTATCGCATCTTTAAGGCTGGTACACACATTTTGTGTTTGGGTGTGCAGTGTCGGAGCTAAGCTTCACCGCTTCGCTCCAATGCACGTGCAAAGCTTCACTGCTCTGCACCGGTGCTCTCGCTTCAAGCTCTGCCGCTTCACTCCGGTGTGCCCATTTTAAGCTTTACCGCATCACAGAAGCTCTCTTGTTTTAAGCTTCACCGCTTTACTCCAACATGTGCATGTGAAGCTTCGCCGCTTTGTACCAAAACTTGCTTCATGCTTCACTCTGGTGCACACGTGCGAAGCTTCATTGTTTTGCACTGGCACGCCTGAGGAATGGCCGACGTGGTAGGACGTCGCAGTCGACTCAATAACTTTGCTCGCCTTGTCACGTGAACAAAATCGGTTGTATTACATTCCAACTCTCAAGGTACAGATCTCCCGCGAAAGAGTCCGTTTGCTCACCCTTGGGTGCCGGCGGCAAGGCCCTGGTCGTGGAGAAGGTGGCTGGCTCCGAGTGCGGCCCTTCACCGGCATCGCTGGTCGCCTGGATCCGGAACCGGTACGGGTGGTTCTCCTGAAGGCGCGACGCCTTGTACGAATGGCTCGGGCCCTGGTACAGCACCGCAAACCTGCGCCCGAGGAGGCAACTCAGAAAACAATTGCTGCCGATATGGCACCGCAGATCATTGAATTCTGGGAGTATTTTTCGTCGCCATCCAGCGAGTGCCATTACACTCTAAACCAATTCACACAATTTTCTGATCTAACAGTCTACTTCCCGCAGAGAGGCCTCCTGCGACCAACCAACAACCTTTGTAGCAGCGTTGCAGCAATAGACCGATCTCCCCAAGCGTTCGGCGTTTGCGCGACACTGGCACAACTTTAATACGCAGGAGCAGGCGGAAATGTACGAGACGGCTCCCGCCTCATGTGCAAACCTCCAGCGAGGCTCTTGCATGTGCATAAAAACTACCGTATTTACTCTATTCTAGGCCGACCCCGAGAAAACGGCAGGGCTGAAAAATAAAAAAAATATTCTTGATTCTAAGCCGACCAAAAAGTATAGGAAAACACCATAAATTAAACGGAGAACGGAATTTATCTGCAATGTACAGCACTATTTCGGTCCCTAATCCGACGGTATGCTCACGGTTAATGTCCGCATTTTTCCTGATCATTCGCCGTCCTCACTGGTATCTTTGTCACTGTCCACTTCCTACAACGCGTGGTCACCCGTACCGTCCAGGGCATCCGAGATGCAACACTTTCGGAACGACTTTACTACCAGTTCCACCGGGATGCCGTCCCATGCGGCCGCGATCCAGCTCGTGGTGCCTTCCCTTCCGCGGTCCTGAGAACGCCATTCTTGTTGCCGCACATGCAAAGAGCTGACCACGCTGCTTTCTCCAGCGACGCACATTTTTTTCGTCCACGCCGAAGTCACGCTGGGCTTGCAGGTTGGATGAGTGTTCAGCAGCCAAGACAACTTTCCTCTGAAAAGCCACGGAGCAGTCGCATCGACTGGTCGATGCCATAGCGTCGGGTAGAGAGTCTACTAGAGACGAACGTTCCGTGCGTTCCGTGGTACGCAGCGTATTTTTCCGAAGCGACGTAGACAAGATAGTGTCCCGCGGTCATGGCGGAGCCGGATCCTCGTATCTAGGCCGACCCCCGAGTTTCGGATTTAATTTTTTTGGAAAAACTATCGGCCTAGATTCGAGTAAATACGGTAATATTCCCTGGATAGTGCGGGAGAGGTGGCGTAGCCAACCTGTCACGTGGAATCGGTCCCATTTAAATGTTTATCTCTTCTTATGAGATTTAAACTTACATTTGTATCCCATGGTATTTGCTACTCATAAGCTAAGATATTATATCAGCTGCATATCTTACAAACTGTATAAACCAATCGCTGTTCAGAAGCTAATGTATCAAAATTTGTTGGGCGCATTACTCCCCGTATGCATAACTGAAGTAGGTATATAACAGATATGAACCGTCTGCTTCGTTGGTTGCAAACAAATGTGCAGACACAAGGGTGCATAAGGTTTACAGTTGCATATAAAAAGTTGTCCCATGCGTCCTCTGCAGAGCGTTTATTTGTGCGTCCATGTGTTGCGTGACACAAGGATGAAAACCGTTTATTCTCGTAACGCCAAACAGGATTTTGGTGACAATGCAAAGATTTGAATGTGCACTGCAGTCTACAGCCCTAAACGGGTTCTATTTCCGCTTTTCCGTTTCCCCCGTGTTTGTGTGGGACATTGCAACTGAAGGTAAAGAGAAACCAAGCAATTACTGGCTCGTCACAGGAATCTCATCACCATTTGTGACAGTGCCATTTCTCAACACAACGTGGCCCAAGTGCTGTTCCAAGAAGACACCCTGCACCAGAACGTGCGTCAAGCTTCACCCCTTTGCACTGAAGCATGCATCAAGCTTCCCCACTTCACACAGATGCCCGGAAGAAGCTTTGCCGGTTTGCACCGCCGCGCTGGGGGCAACATCTGATGCGAGGCAGCAGCATTTGGGATAGCTCAATGGGCTCCGAAATTTTTCCCCTCCTCTAGGTCGACATTTTTTGGCCGAGATTATAGGTTAACCCGCAGTGTTATACAAGTTATGAAACAGTAAACCTGTATTTTAAAAAAATATGCTAGTTTTCTACAGCTACCGAAACCCACGCGAAATAAATTGCAGTGCTAACCGCTTCCCGTTTCGTGTTTGGGCCCCTAAAGTAATATAAACTGTAATGCTTTTCTCAAATCTGAATTCTTAATTGAGTTCTCCAAAAAAATTTTAAAAAAAAAGTATGAACGAGGTTTTTATGCAGCCCAACCTTCTCATTGAGCTACCAGCACGCAAGTGAAGCTCTCACTGCTACGCCGCTCCGTACGCAAACCAATGGGGCTTTTTTGAGTTAACAGACTCCCCGACCCCACTCACAGTCCTGGCTTGACCTCCATCTCGAGGGTGTACTGGACAAAGTCCCTGAGAGACTTCTCGGCCTGGTCCCCCCAGCGCAACCTCAGGCTGCTGTGGGTGGCCCCCAGGCACTCCAGGGAGGGGGCAGGAGGGGGTAGCGCCCGAGTGCTCGTCCGCAGGGCCGGACTGCTCAGGGGGCCGGAACCGACCCCGTTCACGGCCTGCACACGCACCCTGCGCACACGCAGAGCCACACAAAGAGACACATGTGACAATCCTATATATTCCCAATAAAAAAAGCTTTAAACTCGCAACAAAAAATGTTTCTGAAGTGCCTTAATAGGACTTAGGATTAAACAAAATGAGCAAAACATGAAATAAATTTGTGCGGACAATCATGCAACGTGGTACGAACGTGGTGCGAATGGACGGCCTCATTCCCTGACACCAGATATTCACAGGGACATTATCCAACACTTCCTGGAAAGCAAAGTCGTAGCACTATATTTTCGGCGTACCCTAAAGCTGCCCAACGTGGTGCACAGATTTAACACGGGCGAATCGTCAGCATTTGGTTGAAACCCGTGTTAAATCAGCCAGAATGCAAATCTCAGTCAAACGTCGACGCAGCACTTGTGCCTAATCCGTGCCCCATGCTGGCCTTCGTTAAAAGACATCTAAATTTTAGCACTATGGCTTTGTTACCTAGTCAGTTTCTGGTCACCATTATCACACTAAAAACTGGTGACACGAATATAATGCAATTCTCACGACTATGTCCCTTTCGCAATATCCTGGCTCGATCTATATTGATGTTCTACAACAAACCAGGCAAAACCATGTCAATAACCTTCCAAACAAGCCCCATCTTCCTTGCAGCGGAAACGAATCGGCAAGCAACTCACTTGTACGCCGTCTCAGGCCTGAGTGACGACACTGATAGCCGAGTGGTTTCCGCGACGTGCGTCGACGCTGGTGAAAACGACGTTGCCGTCGCTGCCGGCGAAACTGCAGACGCGGAGGAAGATGACAACGGTCCCATCTCTGTCACCTCCACGATGTAGTGCGTGATGTCGGATCCGTGACACGGAGGCTGGGCCCACGTCAGTTCCAGGCTGGTGTGACCCCTGACGCACTCTAGGCTCCCGACGGGACCCGGCACACCGGGGGGTGTTACAAACTCCACCGCGTCCGAGAAGGGACTTGGGCCGGCACTGCTCACTGCCTGCGTGTGCACAAACGACCGAAATGTGAACAAAAATCGCCCCTTGGCAATACTTACTAGCATGAAAAAAGGCAGGGGTTACACGGAATGTCATGTGTTATTGTGGAGAAACTGCGCACACATGCTGAGAGTGGATGACGCGAAGTGGCCCTGCATCGTGCACAGTAAGAAGACAATCGTTCCGTGGATGTCCGATTTGTGGGTGCCGTTTTCCGCGGCAGCGGCGTAAATGAGACTTTCTCAAACGCTCGAACTACCTCGACCCGTTGCGGCAAAGTGAGCTTCTCTAATGTAATGTCTACTACTTTTTAGAGCGCAGCTCTTAGTACTTGGGCATCCGCGCTTATGCTGCACTTACGCATCAGCGTAAGCGCGCGCATTGCATTGGGGGACATTACAGACCTTAAGGGGGTATTCAGTGGACGTCATATTTGAGGGTGCTAATTAGAGCGGAGGCTCAGAACAAGCTCACGTTATTAGGCTGCCAAGACCTTCGATCTTGATGGTGTGGAATGCACGCTTGCCATTAGCACGCGCTTAGCAGTTGCGCACACAGCTATGGTTGCCGGTGAATTTCATTTACCACATCAATTCAATTCCCCGCTAAATTTAGCGGAGAAACTGAATTGGTGTGTAGGTCTGCGACGTTTCATAATGCAACACTGCGCATTCAATTTCCCCGCTAAATTTAGCAGAGAAACTGATGTCAAATAACCTCAACACCAATTAAGTTTCCCCACTAAGTGGGGAATTGAATAAGTGTATATTGCCGTTGGCGTAACCGTGCGCATTGTATTATGGAACTTCACAGACCTATACACCAATTCAATCACCTGCTAAATTTAGCGTGAAAACTGAATTGCTGAAGTCATGTGACATCAGTTTGCCTGCTAAATTTCGCAGGGAAAACTAATTTGTGTATCGGTCCCGTGACCCGAAGTAATGTAAAATCACTTTTCCTGCTAAATTTAGCGGGGAAACTGAATTGGTGTTGAGGTCACGTGATGTCAAATTTACCGATAAATCTAGCAGGAAAATTAATTTGTGTATACAGTCACTGACCAATTTTTCAGACTCCGATATTTCTGACATTTTCGCACAACCGTCACTCACCCCATAGAGTTAATGTGTAACATTGACCATTGGCTGCAGAGGTGTGTCCGCTCTGCAGCCAATGGGAATTTATGTGCCATTTTGCTCAGCCAATGGGAATTGAGGTGACATTTTTCGCTGCTACAGATGGAATTTAGGAGCCGTTTTTCACTGCTACAGAAACGCTGGCTTTGCTCCATGGGACAGTTGATGCTTTTGCATTAAAAGTGTTTCCCTTATACGACAGTTCCATGCTATCACATTTGACAATGTTTACTGCTGCGAATGATCCGTTTCTAATGCAAACTATACTAAATCGTCACGCGAAATCACAATACAATGCTTTTTGTTTGTTTTATAAATAGCGCCACTTTTCCTATACATGGATTTTGCGTACGCCTACTGCCATAATTTCTTCGCTTTGGCCACGGGCCAAGACAGCTCTGCCATCGACGAAATTTCATTTACCTCATCAATGAACCGCACCGGATGCTACGAGCCATCCCAGTTAATCCAGCCAGTTGACATGTGAATGTATCGCGCAACTACGCGTTCTGCGCGTCACTACGCCACTTCCAAGAGTTGTGCAAAACTTACACAGTATTATAATGGCTCCGATAGCTTGTAATGTCCGTCGCAGTCTATTGCAAGGTAAAACGAAGCTTAGATGCCGGCAGAGATCGTAGGTTTAAGAAATTGAGCAACATGAGCCACAAAGAGCATTTGCAATTTAACGGAGGACGCCTCCAGCAGATTGGTCGCAAGTGCACAAGCTTCGAGTTGTCGCGGGACAAAAATGAAAAGGAGAGGGAAGGGGGAAGACGCTTGCAGACGTCCGACACTTTCGTCCCCTCCTCACAGCTTGTAATACAAATGTGGCCTGTGAACCAAGCGATCTCGATCAAACCGGCAAAAACACTAACTTCGCCACACTGGACGTCAGCCTCACCTGCACCCTGAAGCAGTAGCAGGAGGCCGGCTCGAGCCCTTTGGCCTCGAAGTGGGCAGTCCTTCCGGAGTACAGCTGCGCAAAGGTGGTGGCGCCGCTTGCCGCAGTCTCCGGCTGCCGGCACTCCAGCAGGTACTCAGACACTGGTGCACCATGGCACGTGGCCTCTTCCCACGAGACGAGGGCGCAGCTGGCACTGCGCACCTGCACCGACAGGCCGCGGGGGGCGTCGGGGGGCCCCGAACCGCTCAGGGCATGCAGGGGCTCCGACCAGGGTCCGGCCTGCACGCGGAATGTCACGAAAATGAGGATGCGGCAGTTAGACCGGAGGTGCGCAAAATGGAGGTTGCAGCCCCCTCTGTACAATCCGACGTCTTGAGCAAAAGACAGACTGAACTCCCCCAAATCTTTTAACACGAAACATTCTTTGGCTAGGTGTCCGGCATTTCGTGAAGCTCAAAAGTTAAGCCCAGATAAAAGCGTCGCCATGAAGCTAAACACTGATTGGTTGACGGGTGGGAGAGGAGGAGCGAGGTGCTCAGTGCATATGCGTATTGGTGAATGGGCAGGACACGCGACCAGAGAGGTAGGCATGGAGGAGCGAGGTAGGCGGGGAGGAGCTCAACGACATGTGCGCACTGAGCTAAAGGAGCTCAAGAGTATTGAAGGCTCTGAAAGATCGCAGGGTTTATCAGCCCGATTGGAGGTAGTATCGCCTCATCCTAAGAACACCTATCGAGTGTACACATGGTACGCGTCAAAACTATCTGATGAAGAGTGCCGTGAATGTTTTGCGCATGCAACACAATTGCCTAGCATTTGTGTTTGAATTTGTGTTACGGGACTCGCGTCCTCACTGACTGAATGCAACACCTCGCCGAACGCTCGTGCAGTGCTCGTCTCCAACCTGTGCCCCCCCCACCCCCCCTTGTTCTCTGGTGGTCGACAGAGAAGACCCAGAGCACTGTAACCCCGTCGTCGACGATGTACGAGCCATTCCCGTCGGCCTCCCTCCCCGTCCGGAGTGACTCACCCCTGCACTGTTGAAGGCACGCACGCTGTACAAGTAGGCCCTCCCCGGCAGCAGCCCGGCCACGGTGCAGTCCCAGTCGGGGCCCCTGTAGGCCACCCGGGGCTCCTTGCGGGTTTCGGACTCCGGGTCGGGGGCCGCAGCCACCTGGAGCTCGAACTCGGTCACGGGGGATCCTCCGTCGTAGGCCGGCGGCGCTGCGACGGAGCGCCGTTCAAATTCTTTTCCAAACCGCTCGCAAAACATGAAAGTTGCAGGCATGAATTGACGCACTTATGGTATAACCTTTTTCAAACATCCTCAGTCTATATATTTCCCTGGCTGTGAAGTTTGCAAATGCCTGTCCCACGAAACAGTCACAGAGATATCCGCATTAATTTTCTGCCCGCTGCATTTGTCCTCCCAATTATTACGTCCAAGAACTAACATCATACAAGGTCGGTATGACGAGCCAATCATTGTGATTTGCGACAAGAGACCTGCGAATGACGAAGCACGGATAATATCTGGGTTCAAAACCGCAATCTGTTCAGATTCTAAAGCGGCTTCTTGCACGACAATTGCAAATGATTCTTCCGTCTCCATTGATTAAGTATGGCTCGTTCAATGGCTTCAGGTAGAAACCATAGTAGAGTCAGCTGGCAACGAATCCACAGCGTGGGTGCTGTTGCTGCCGCCGCCGCCGATCATGATTATAAAAGTTTTAATGCAGCAATGTTAACGAAAACCATATAGCGCCAAGTTAAAGGCGCAGACGACGGGTGGCTGCTAGGCACTCACCCCACTTGATGTGGGCAGAGATTGCTCTCGCCTTCCCGTGCATGCGAGGCGGGTCGCAGGCTCCAGGGCACAGCGGCAAGGTGGCCACACTGGACACTTCCGAGAACTGCATAACCAAAGCGAGAGGCGCTCTCTTTTCGAGTCGCATGCACAAGGACCCGCCACCGATCGTGCTCACCACTGCAGTCTGCTCCACAACCAAAACTTCTACACGAAGAGTAGAGTTTGAGAAAATTCAAACTGCCTGCTAAACAAATGGCAACCCTGAAGACCTACGCAGCTCCCTATCAACTAGGTGTCATACTGGACCTATGGCGTTTCAACTGACTAACTTCATGCCGTATAAGCAAGCTCACGACACAATTATCCACAAGAGACTTCTCCTTCTATACTCCGGCCACCCTTTTTTGCCACTAAAGCCTCACGTGACTCCCCTAGTGACGATGCATATTCAAGCACAATAAAGACTCGCGACACTTCATAGTCACACTGTTGGGGCAGACAATTCATAGCATCAGCTACAACTGAAGGAAGTGGTGAACAGAGTATAAATGAGCCGGTTATATTGATTCTAAAAACTGAAGTCCCATTTCCTACTTGCTTACTTCGGAAACCTAAGTATTAGTTTAATTTCCACCCTAAAGACATTACATCGTCATTTCTGTAAAACCAGCATTACGAATCTGGGACGATTTTCTTCCCTACAGACCTCAGAAGCCAGAGACTACAAGAAGATTCACTCACATCACTGACACCTCCAGCACTTGAGCAGTTCACTCGAAGTCTGTACGTTGCACCGGGTTCCAATCCAGAGCAGACGTGGTCTCGGTCGGGACCAGCATAGACTTCCTCGAAGCCTACAAGAAATACAAAGATTACAAACGCAACGAATCCAAATTCCTCCGCATTCTTAGCACAGTCAAACCCTCACCATTGCCAGAGTCCATCTGGAGGCTGTACCGGGTAATTTCAGATCCTCCGTCATCCTTGGGGGGTTCTGCAATCGGTAATGCATCACATGTAATGTCCCACACGACCTTGCCACACGTCACTGTCACATACAATAGGCTCGCACTAATTGAAACTCAGATATTTCATACTTCTAGTTAATTCAAGTAAATTTAAAAATTTTTGTTCTCCCGCTTTGATTTTAATGTATTTATAGGCCGCTTGATTAGAATGGAGTTTTCATGCAATTTTTATACTCTCCGCCCCGTTAGTGCACTTCTTTTTGGGCACTGGTGCACTGCAGAGAAGCAACACTTGCAGAGCCTGCTTCCGCGGGTGTTGCTTCTCTGCAGTGCACTGGTGCTCGGTAAGAATTGGCTCAACGGGCTTAATGGTTCACCATAGACAACTTTTTTTGCTGGATGAACAAACTAAACTTTGTTCCGAGGTGTCATGTGCTGTCTAAACAGTCCACGATAGACAACATTTCTGAGGGATTAATACTTTTCTTATACAATTCATCTATGTTTCATGTGTGGCCATACGTGGTTAGGATTAATACACCTGTGCAATAGAAATCATTGAATATCTGCTTTGTATGTGTAGCCATCCATATAAAAAATCATAATTTTACCTTGCACCATATTTAAAAGAATTTCTGATAAAAATCAAACGAAATTTGCGGTTTCATGAAGTTTTAATTAATGAGTCTATTGTATGTATATGTGTCGCGGATACATCCACGTCACAAGCGATCTTTAAGGCGCCAAAGAGGGTGGCACTCTACCAACGTGCTCATTGTTTGGTCTGTAACAACTTCCAGAACAGAGTGAATGCCCCTTGTAAAAGTGATCTGGTATGAAATCCTGCTAATTCTTCAGGTTGCCATCTCTCATCGATTTCAATGGCGTCATACGCTGACAACAGGGGATATTAGTCTCATCAATGTTGCACACACAGACACCTTTCGAGGATGCCGCACTTGAATAAACTAGGGAGCTGCAAATATTCTAAACTTTGAGAAAAAAAAACAACTGAACAGTGTTAGCTATTTCAACTTGTTCGCTGTACACCTTTACTGCACAAAGTTTTCGAATTCTCTCTTGTTTTTTTTCCCTTTGTGGACAATGCCACTTTCACAAAACTCTACGGCAACAGATCGGCAACTAAGTGGCAGGCCGGAACTATGACCGCCACAACAATTGACGAGTCACGAGTGCAAGAATGGTGGAAGAACGAGAGGCTACAAACTGCAAGCCGGGACCGAAGAACGTTCCACGTCTCGAAGAATGCTGCATACCCCGAGCTTGAAAAAGCACTCGCAAAGGTCGAGGAGAGAAGAGGCAGCAGTCGCGCCGTATCTCGAGATTCAGCGTTACTGCGACTTTTCCAGACGAGATGGTGTGGATCAGTTTCAAAAAGTGTTGCATCAGCAATCCCCTTGACGGCATGGACGATGAGGCCATCGGCGACAATGAAAGTGCCAGAGTATATAAAATAAACGTATGGTTCCTATCTAGATCCGCACATTACTTTGAATGGCTAGTGCGGGTAACACCCGAAGAATTTTCTTGTTTTTTTTTTTCCCAAGAGTAATAGTTTGAGGGTGCAAGTTATATGCAGGGGAAGGTATATATATACAAAAATATGGTAGCTAAGAAGTTTGTAAATGACGCACGTTGTAAACCATCCACAACTTACGAACATATTGTGCCGGGACTATGGATTTGTTCTTAGGTTTCGTCATGTTTTTTTGTCCTAAGATTGTTTGCCGAATGTGGATTGAGGTCCGGCGACCAATGACAAAACCAAAGGTGACCCATTCTGCCACCCACCCCAGGATGCGGTGAAGTTGTGGCTGCGGACGCGGCCCTTGGCGCTGGGGCGAGCTGGGCGCCCCGGCCGGTCAGGTAGGGTGCGCAGGGAAGTCACCCGACTAGGGCCGCTCGAGCCTTCCTCGTTGTGTGCCACCAACTGGAAAAAAAAACAAGAATAATCATTTAGTTCTTTATTTACGAATGCAGTGATGTGATAGGCCTAAGCCGTTTTGGAGCATTTTTCGGAGCAGCCAAAACAGTGTTTTGGAGCAGCAAAAGTGGCCTTTGGAGCAGCCAAAACAGTGTTTTGGAGTGGCAAAAGTGGCTTTTAAAGCAGATATTCTAATAAAAATAAAAATATTTGTTTTAAATGCTGGACACGCAAAGGGAATCTTGCTCGCCGAAATAAACCAATTATGGTCAAGTTCGGCCACCTGGGAGTCTTTCATGGTGTAACTGAAATGCCAATGACATGACACATTTCTTTTTGCTTTTTGAAACATTCTGCAAGGCTGGAGCAAGCTTTGCTTTAGCTTAGGGTAGTAATGAATGTCCACTTTCAATGTCTCCTAAGAGACATTGCGACATCCTAGGAGTGTACAGTGCTGTAGGCGTCGCCAAGCGATTCCGAAAAACCGCTTGCCACCATTTTACTGATTGCCGACGTGCCAGATTTTCGTCAAAAGTAATTAAATGTAAAACAATTAATTGCAAGCGTCCCGGGTGGTGCCTCTGTCGTGCAATTATGTTCGCATCGTTGGTTCGCAAGCACGTGAGGGCAACTCCAGCAGGCTTGCAGGTGCACGTGCTTCGTCGCGCGAGCGAAACGGCTGTTCGATCGGAACCGAAACCATGCCTCTGTTCCGTCGCCAACTGGTAGCCAGAAGTCTATGCAAAGTGTAACTGCCCAGCATGCGACAAAAAAAAGAGTCCAGCGCCGCGTGCTTGCCAGGCCGGCAGGCGAGGTACGAGCTAAACACAGAAAAAAAGAACCTGAGCGCATCGATGCAAGACGTCGCGAGCCAGGGTCGCTTTGTGCAACGACTGAACTTGAGAAAAACAAGCGCGCTCTGCGGGTTCAGCGTGCAGACATTCCCTTCTTTGCTTTAGATCACTTCAACTTTTCTTCGCGACACATTTTTCACGTACCGGGGTCCCTCTCGAAAGAAAGCCCACCAAGAGAAACCTAGGTAATCAATACTTCGACACAGCAGTTTTTGAGTTAGAGAGGGATTTTTATAGCAGCGTATGTTTTAAACAAGAACATGAATGTTGATGAACATGAGGGCGGTCCTTGTGTTTCAGTTTAGGAAGCTCCATATCTGCAACGTCGTGTGGCCACCGATTTCAGGAGCGAGAGCTTCAGCTCAAAAAGCAACTCCCGCCGCACCGAAACATAGTTTCGTTTCACAGCGTCACGTCATGGCTGGTACCCAGCACGCTAGCGTCACAGCGCACACACACAACGGCATCTATCGTTAAAAAAAAAAAAAAAAAAAAGAAACGCGATACGAGACTTACGTTTACGAGACGACGAGAACGTGACAGAAGAGACAACATGGCGGAAAAAACCATGGAAAAAAACCATGGACGACTGATGTAGGGTATTTTGTGTCAGGCAGAGCCGTTTATTGAGAGAGTTTGGCCATACATTGGTTTGAATAGGCGAGCATCTCAGGGCCAACCACAGGCCGCGAAACAGCCCCTAGTGGTGGTCGTGTGCTCTAAATATGTGACGTGACTAATTTGAGCCGTTTTAGCGTCGCTAGAGTGAAAAGGCTTAGCTCTCAGTTACTGAAAACTTTGTGCATGTGAGGTTTTAGTCACGCCAATATTCAAGTGTAGAATAAACGAACGTGCGCTCCAAACCAGGACCGACTTGCTAGAAACAGCGTCTCAGCTGAGACGGGGAAAGAAAGCACTGCCAAAGCCAGCGCACGAGTAGAGCGGGACTCCGCGTCTCAAGATGCTCGCGCGCCCCACCCTTTGAACTGTTTTCTTTCAGCCAGTCTCAGGACGCTGTTCTATACTTCGTCTCACCTTAGCATGGACTATTGTTAGCCGCGCGTGCTAAAAGCGCGAGCTAGTTCCTTAGGATGAAGCCTCGGCGGCTGGATGAGCGCTCGTGCAGCAAGTGCTGCAGCGAAGGCTAACCGCTCGCGCTTGCACAGCCTTCGCAGTCGCACTAAGGTGAGACGAATTATAGCAAGCCGGCCCAGAGCGAACAAACATCAGCAGTGCAGACAAAGGCATGGGCACGAGCACGTGGTTTTGGAAAGTGCCTCCTATGCACGAGTTCTCGTACAAACAAAAGCGTTTTGCTGAGCCATGCTTCGCGCCTGTGCCTTTGTCTTCACTGCCGACATTTGTGAGATGGAGTAGAGAGGTCGAGATTGAACGCTTCTATTTCACGCTTTAAATGTCGTTTGCAATATTGTGACGTCGCGGTCTCCTGATTGGTCGACGCTGTGTCACAAATTTAGTTTACGCTCTAAGCATGGGGGGAATATTTGGCGCTGGCGGCGGCCTTTGCTCCGCCTATTGGCCGAACTCTTCCAATACACGGCTCTGGTGTCGGGCGGCCGTTTGTGCCACCTAGCTCATGCATGCTCAGTTACGGTACTTAGTTTAGTTTCGGTTTTGAAAGGCGACCAAAATTGGCCCCTTGGCGCAGGCTTGGCGCAGATCACCCATATTTTGGCAAAATGTAGAAGGATGTAGCAGGGTTAGCCCCTTGGCGCAAATGGCGCAGCAATCACATCACTGCGAATGTTACCTATGGGCAATAGAACCACGTAATATTTTTTTTTTGTTCAATTGTTTCTTATGGGTTTTGTCACATGTTTTTAATCTAGTAGTCTGGCAATAGTCTTGAAGATCGAAACTACACCACCATCTCGTAAATGAATATGCAGATAGTTGACGAAAAAAAATTTAGGACAGTGTAAAATAGGGATAGGCGTTTTTCTTTTGTCACTAATATTTTACGATAGGTGACCGTTTTACTTGAAGCTATCGTATGCGCAGATATTATTGACAGTTTACAGTGATGCATAGAGGTTATGCAAGGAAACCATTTGCCGAGTTTCGCCTCGTGTTGCCCACAGACAACAAAACTAACTTAGCACTACAATTTTTTTTTGTTTCGTTAAACATTTATATTTTCAGAAAGAAATGTTTTAAAGGGAAGATGGGGCACTTCTACATTTGAGAAAAAACGCTTGAATTGCATTCATTTGGCCTTTAAAATAACAAATATCACAATTATATTTCAATGCGACGCGCCGGAGAGCCATAAGAGCAATTTGAAAATAGGGCTGAAGCCCCGCCTCAATAGCCTTGGCAAGCCAAAAGATCCGTTGATGACGTCACGTACAGCGACTATCTTTCACGTTTTTCTCGCGTTTAACAATACTTGCTCGGCAAATGGTTTTGGTATTCGGGTTCACGAGGTAAAAATACACTAGAATTCACTTCTAACTCATTTTTTTCAAGAAGCTCCGTAGCTTCCCTTTAAGCAATTTTTTTATATCGCATCAATAATAGGTTAACTAATCCTTAAAGGATTATGGAAACAAAATTTTAGGGCTTATATTATTGCTTAGGTAGTATATACTACGTCGCGTCAGCACCTGAGAAACATCAATTTTTTGTTTGTAAATGCAAGAAATTTTAAAACAAATAAAAAGCTTTCCCATTCGCAACTGGTAGTAGCTGGGGGGCCAAAGCTTTGCTGGGGGATTGTGACATGTTGCTCCTCCCGCAGTGGCGCCACCCTCAACAGTAAAGCATACTTGTATATCATGTTTGTACGATTCTAACGCATCTCCGATTGTAACGCGCAGGTATATTCAGCACTCAAACATTCGGAAAGTAACTCTATGCTGATTGTACTGCGCAGGTAGAAAAATGAAGGCTGAAGACCACATACTTCAAAGACTCATTTTATGAAACTAGCAAACTCTCACGTACACATGAAACAACCACACTAGTCACTGTTAGAGTCTGATAGTTCCTTTTCACTGTCCACAGACCACAGACAGTCGGCCTCGCTTCCGTCCAATGCGTTGGAGAGGCTGCACTTTTTGAAAAAATGGACGACCATCGCCCAACTAAGTGCCTTCCAGGCGTCCTGTACCCCTAAATCATTGAGCATTGCTCTCTTCAAACGTCCTGCCGGTGTCAGTGCATGTTCCTCATCAATCATTCACTCATTGTAAGCTGCACGTACATAGTCTTTCATCGGCTTGTTCAAGCAGACATTAAGCAGCTGAAGTTGAGAGGTCATGCCACCGGGAATGATCACAAGACCCGTGCAAAAGGGGGTAAGTTTGTCCTTCACACGGTCACTGATGTGGCACCTGCAGGAGTCCAGCATCAACATGGCACGCACACCCTGGTCGGCACCAGGTCTCTTCCTCCGTACCGAGTCTATCCAATCAATCATGAGATCTGTGATCATCCAGCCTTTGGGGTGCACCCAAACAATTACATTATCAGGGAATGCAATGTTTGACGGAAGAGTTTCTCTTGGAAGATTAGGAAGGGGTCCAACTTGCGCCTGTCAGCCATGCAGCATAGCATTGCTGTAAGCCTATTCCTCTCGTTTCCAGTCGAGAGAATTTGCACTTCCTTGGCACCCTTGGATTCTACTGTATAGTTCGATGGCTTGTAGAAAAAAATGGAAGTTTGACCGGCGTTTCTAATCTGTTCAATCATGTCGTTCCTGTACTGGCAAAGCTTGATTACAAACTGCTGGGATGCAACCAGCTTCTCTTCATATGCTTCTGGCACATGCTGGTTTTTCGCCCAAGAGAAAATCTTTCGCTTCATAAATTTGGAGATCAAGCTCCTGCTGACCTTGAAACGAGACCAGGGAATGTTGCCGCTTGAAACGAGAAATGAGACCAGGGAAAGTTGGTTGAGTCGCAAGCCCTTTATGTAGTCAGCAATAGAGTCAGGGGTCCAGAAATTGTCCACAATGGGGAGCAATTAAAGCCTTCCCGCAAACCTTTGCAGGCAAGGAACCAGCCCTGTTGTTTACGCCGGTAGCACACCAATGTCTCCGGGACGCCCAAAGCTTGTGACGCGGCTCGGTTGCCTTCCTGTTCCGCAAGGATGATGACATTCCACTTAAAAGCCGCCTCATAATGCCCTTTTCTCCATCGTGCCAATACAACTGAAGAACATGTGGGCAAACGGGTGTGACCATGTGATAGAAAAATAAATGGATAGTAGTGGCTGTACCTTTGTAAAGGGCGGTTGCTCACGCCACCTAGCGTACTAGGCAACCATGACGGTGTTTCCCCTTTTTTAAAAATTTATGTTTATGGGTTTGATTGTAACGTGCATGTGAATTCGGGCTCGCATTTTTCAGAAAAAATGTGCGCATTAGAATTGTGCAAACACGGTAGATGCCCTAGCTGTGAATGCAGTGACGCAATTGCAAAGAGCCAACGTAAAGTTGACGAGTTGGCCAAGTAGGTGGCTCTCATTGGTTTGCGCCACACGTGATTGTTCGATACCGCAGTTTTTACTGTGTTCATTCACTTCTCTCCGTGCAGGATGCCACGCTATTACTACGCGGCAGAGGGCTGCTGTAACAGTGTGCTGAACTGTGAGATGCCGACCCATGGGTTTCCGAACGATGAGAAACCCCGAACGTGTAAATCTGTCCAGTGTGTCCGTCGCCTCATGTGGGTGCCAGTGAAAACCAATCGCCTGCACGGTGACTATTTTCGTGGTGAGAACTACGAAACGCGACCCAATGTCCTCCGGAGTCTGGGTCTTCCTACCAAGAATATTCGGTTGCTACCAGGGGTTGCGCCGAGTATTTTTTCCAAGAAAAAAAAAAAGGCAGAAGAGCTCGGCGAACCGCACAAAAAGCGAAGCAAACTTGTAAGTGAAGACGCTGTTAAAAAACCCCAAATAGCGCATACCTCTAAGCTGGCCAATCACTATTAAATGCGAGGCATTTCTTGGCGGCCCCAATCTCCTTCAGATGTCGTCGGGCAGACAGTCGGTTTGCCCGATGGTCCATATGGTTCTAGCCCGAATTGCCTGTCCGTCACAATGTGCGACTGTGACTAGTTCTCCTTGCTGGCATTTTTCGAGTCCCCTTGGTAGTCGAAATCCTTGTCGCTCTCAAGTTTGTAGACCACGATGGAATGCACCACGGACTACAGGGGCCAAAATTAATGTGTCACGATGGTCGTCATGCAGCTGTAAAGTTCTCCGCCACTTCAAAACGCAAGATTGTAACACGCAAAAACCGCCGCCAGGCGGCGCTCATAGTTACGCCAGCCTTCGGCTGTGATGAGGAGCCTGACATACCAATTGCAGTGGAGTTCAGATGACTCATCGCGCGCCTCGATGGCCGATTTCGATGCACTCGCTAGAATCGGACACTTGAAACGAAAAATATAGCCATTCGCTCAAAATACGAACGTGCAATCGTCATTTACGGATATCATTGACCATATCTCGTCCATTTCAGAAAAGTGTCCATATCTTTTGATTTTCGTTTCTGTACTCCTTTTAAGGGCCCCATTTCAAGAGCATTACATTAGAAGGGGGCAATGCAATAAATTCTATAATTCAACAGAACAAACGAAAGAGAACTAAAAATAATGCACGCTCCCATGAGAAAGTTGTAAGCTAGGAACAACACAAAACTTAAGATGTCTAATTAGACATAGCGAAATTAAAAAGAATAGAGCTTCTAAACATGGGTCGGTAATGGAAGAAACGACCCCATAAATCACACATTCATTCGTAAAACTTGTTACTCAAAAACATACTCGGCAGCCATTTACAATTTTCTCATTGTGCAAATCAGTCATAGAATTCCAAGATCTCATCACATGCCACAATTGTATCTCGATGCCAAACACAAAAAGCTTCAATATCATAACATAAAAAAAAATAATGGAAGCACTCGTTTGCCCAGACATTTCGTCTGCACAAGCGTGGCCAGTGGATGAATAAACAAGAAGTCACTGCCCTGAAGAGAAAATAGAAAGCTGAAGAAAGAACATATCGGAGAATTGCTTTTTAATTTGCAACAGCCGTATGAATAAGCAGCAACTGCACAGAAAAAGGCCCAATTGAGTTTCCTAAATACTTCATACTAATTAAAGGAAGATGCAACAGTTCACAGCAAAGTGTATTCACAAGTGAACAACACCAGAGGCTCAAGTAGTAATAGACAGTAAGACGGGCAAGAAGGGACAAAAAGTATCACGATCAGCCTACAGAAATTTACTCACCCTGACCCTGTACTCTGTGTTCCTGATAAGACGCTGGCAAGTGAAGCGAGTTTCTGATCCATTGTACACCGGTATGAACCCGTGTTGCTGCAAGGAAAAAGAACCAAAGTCAGATGAAGCCAGCATAAAAAATGTAATTGGACTGAAAACACAGTAAATCAATCTATCAGTTAAACTTTTGCAACATATTGAACTAGGCAACGAAACCCAGAAAATGCTTCATAGAAAATCATCTGCTAAAGAATGCCACCAATGCACCTCCCAGCACACTAGGTTTGTGAAGGATAATTCAAAGCAACACATTGTTTATGGGTTTAGAAGACCACCATCGATTATGGTGGATGGTCCGAGTCAATGCCATAGATAACAGACAAGTGCAGCTCCCAATTCCTTTTGGAAACCCTGGCTAAAGTCCAACCCAACTTAAAATGTTTTTTGGACCAGGGCCTAACCAACCTCGGAAAGGTGACTGGCCCAGTCAAACTTGAATGACCAAAATTGCGACAGGGTTTGAAATTCAATCCAAGTAGCCTCCAAAGTGAACTGGAAATGGACCCTTTAAACGAGTCTAGGCATGAAAGAGTAATATGTAGGCAAGATGGTAAACAACTTCCATATTTCAATGCAAAAAAACTGACAGTTTGAGACCGTGTGTAAGATGCCCATTATTTTATTCTTTGCCTCGTCTCAGTTTTAAGTATGGGAGTAACCAGTGGCAGGAAGGAGTCATGCTTCAACAATGGAAATGCAGAGAAACAGTGCGTCAATGCAGAAGACGATATGATAACTAGCACATTGACTCGTCCCCGCTAACGAAGAGCACCTACCATGAACGAGACAAACGTGGTCACTTTTTTCATTCACAGCTATCAACTTTCACTACTTTCAACCAGGTTTCTTGCAACTGAAAGCTCTGTCGATCGGAAACAAAGATTACAGCAAGTCTACAGTTTTTGAAGTGGCCTCAAACATGTTGAACGCACATACTAGTCTCCCTTTCTCTGGGCATGTTTTGTCTTTTTATTCTGCTTGAACCGTCGGTCCATGTAAAAGGGGAGTTCCGGCAAGCCCACACAACCCTCTCATCTAGCAAAACGAGAAGGAAAAGTGACTGACCGAGCCTTCCTGTTCCAAAGAAAGGGTGAAGGAGTCGTCGGTGGCACGGCAGTCCCACTCCAGCGCAGCGCTGGAGGCCGTCACCTGGCCCACCACGGGGGGCTCGGGGGGAACTGGCGCGGCGCCACATGTCGTCAGCCGGCACGTACTGCTCCAGGGACTGCACCAAATGACGGAACCATTTCACTCGCCCGTCTCGACAAATTCAGGCCAGCATCTTGGCGGCATTTCACCAACATTGCGCCGATGTCGTTGGCATTTTACCAACATCTCATCAGAATTCGCAGCCAAGGACACTTGCACTAGCTGCAAGTCGCAGCCATTAAAGGGGGCCTTCCTCGTTATTACTTATTACTAGTATTGATAAATAAATAAATATAAAATAAATTACTTGATCAACGAATTTGCACCAACGTTGGCAGTTCTCAATGTTGGTTGCCAGTTCCTCAGTGCTAAAGTGGCATGCAATGTGGGAACCACGGGGACATATCGGGGACAGCCTCGGATTGTGCACTCTGTAGTCACTGGCAGAATGAGGACGGCAGGGTTCCGGCTGCCCCACCTCCAGCGCAAGCATTTTACCTTCCATAACAGCATTTCGCAAGTGTCGGGCGTGCACGCGCAGCCAACGCACTGTGCAAGGCAACGACTGTGTGCCGGAGACCAGGCATCCGGAAAGGACGCCCTGCCATTCTCGTCCTGTTAAAAGACAGACATACACTTCGTGCTTTTGACTTTTGCCTGCCTCCTCCTTTCCTGTATCCTCTCCGCTTTTTTTCCCTTGCCCTAACTTGACTCCCCTTGCAGCTTAGGAGAGGGGGAGCGCTAAAAGGATAATCTCCCTTGCAAAAAAACCGAGGTTGTACGTTGGCCTTTAAAGGGATACTACAACGAAATTTCGACGCTTATTTCTTAATCTATTCGTGTTCATGAGAGCATGATCACATCAGACACCAATCTCTCGTTAAAAAAGACACGAAAAGGAATTTTAAAACTAATTAAACGATTAGCAAAGAGCACCTGGTGGATGTCGCTAACGCCTCGTTTGTAATTCCAGTCTAGGAACCTTGACAGGTAGTGACGATAACTGTCTCCCCTCCGGCCATAACGAGAGAAGAGCTGAAGGAGGAATTCCCCTTTCCTCAAGACTCTCTTTTGTGTGCTCCAGAAGTCACTATTGTCCCCCTACAAAATTATAGAAGATTAACATAACCCCTCACTCAAAATTCATACAGAAACAAAGGCAGCTTTGGGGTTACTTGCAGTGGCCCTATCGCTATTGTGCTTCGGCTGCTTTCAGTGGATGCTACGAGCCATCGGGGTCTATCCAAGACCATGTGAATGTCACGTGACCTTGGAGAAGAGGCACAGCGATGCGCGAAAAGCGTATCTTGGGCTACGTCGTCCACAGAGCAGGATTGGCTGGGATAGCTCGCAGCGTCCGCTGCTTCCGGACGCAAGGTCCCGAGACAATCTACGTCACGATTGCGGCGGATGTGAGGTGCTCTCCGAGCGTTTGCCAGAGTGGACTGTTTATAACGAAGAACACAGCCATCAGGCTCAAAATACAAACGTGCGATTGTCATTTACGGATATTGTGGATCATATTCAGCCTATCTGTGAACACGACGGATATATTTCAAATTTCGTTGAAGTATCCTTTTAAGTGAATACGGTCGAGGCAATGCTTCTTGTACTAACCGTGGCTGGCAAGTGCCACTGCCGCCAGTCATTTAAGCAGATTTTTACTATAACGATCTTGTCGTTATCAGACCGACGTTGCTTTCTTTGCTGAAAATTTTAGTTGGGAGAAGCTAGCAATGGTCGTCCGAGCAAACCGTTCTTAACGTCGCTTGGCTCCCCCGTTTACTGCCGACATTGGTGGCGGCCGAGTTGTTGAAGTCGTCCGTCGAAGACGAATGTATTGCAAAGAAACGAGAACCTCCCACTTCGTGCCCCTGCCCACCTTGTTCCCACGGAGTTGCTGGCAGCCAGGCGGAAACAGTAAGCCGTCGAGGAAGCCAACTTGGACACCTTGAACTGCTTCTGTGCTCCGGAGAAGATTGGCTCAAACTTGCCTTCCGTTCCCTGAAATCGGAAAATGTGCCTTTGAAGTTTTGCCCCACTCTACACTTTCGCTGCGGAGCAGCGAGAAAAAATAATTATGCGCGTCATGCCCCTGGTCGTTTCAATTTTCTCGAGTGAAATTCTACAGTCAGTTATCAATAATAGGGCCAGCTTGTACACTTTGCCAATGTTTTGGGAGAGAGTAATTTAGATTTGTCATGTTGGAACATGCAGCTAGCTTGTCTTGCAATTGCCATGGTACTTCTTCTGTAAATAGAACATGTTTACAGTGACACGTGATAATAAACAGTCAGAGTTACGTATGATGATTTGGCTAAGCTGCATTCCATCAAAAATACTGCAACAAAGGTTAAAATAAAATAAATAATAGACAGCTGTGCATCGGGAAGGTCGAACAAAGAGGAGGCCCCCTACCTGGTCACACTCGAGGATGTAGCAGGTGATTTTGGACCCGTTGTCACAGGGAGCCTGCAGGTGCAAGAACAGATAGGAGAAAGGAAGAAAGGCTCAACACAGAAGAAACACCAAGACACACGGAATCAAAAACAACCCGGGAAAAGACAGATTCATCAGACAGCAAAACATTTTGCCCAAGAGTGTCTAGAGGTTATCAAAAAGAAGGAACAGAACAGAAAAAAAATTGCTTTCCATACTATTGACTTTTGGATCTATTAAATCCAAGCTCTGAAACTGTTAAAAAAAAAAAAAAATTTGAATAGCATGAGTCACCAAGCTGCAGAAAATGTTACGAGAAAGCTAAAATAATGAAGGAAAAAAAACTTCTTTGTTTGGCTCATCTCTTACAAATGAGAAAAGCTTTCGCCTGTCCGATATACCTCCACCTTTATCCAACATAGTAACGTCAAACAAAAACAAAAACAAAAATCACATTTTAAAATCCACGTACATTCCACTTGAGTGCCAGCGTGCTCTTTGTCCGGGTAACGAGCTTGGGGGGCAACGGTGCATCCGGTTCGCAACTGGCCGTCAGAAACTCGCAACCTGTGCCAAAACCAAATGCGGCAATAAATATGGATGCCAAGAACAAGCACAAGCAGCACAAATTGCAGAAAGAAGCGAGCTAAAATGCACAACTGTCCTGGCCTCGCCTCGGGATCAAATCTATGCACCGTCGACGAGAAATGGCGGTTTATAACACTGCGAGAATTGTTTCGAACCCACGGCAAAAGAACGACGCATAAAATTATGCGGGTCGGAAGCGTTCCAGGACTACCCCACAGATGGTACCAGTTGCAAGCGGTCGATCAAACTCGCACGCAAATGTGCAAACTTTTCTCACGCTTTAGCGTCGCAACAAAAGTGCAGAAATGCGAGCAAACAGTACTCCTCAAGGTTGCTAGGCCAGTCTAAAAGGAAACTCTTTTTCCTTCCCGCAAAATGTATTTGATTCGCCTACCAGCAAGCCCTTCAAGATTGGTTGCACCCACGTCTTTTTGGGCGCAGCACGTAACTTCCTAAAGCATATTGAAACCAACGGTGTTCTGCGAATATTTGAACCCTCTAATAGTAGTTTCGAATAATACGCTATTCGCTTCAAGATAAGCTCCGATATTAATATTTTTCTAAGTGCCGACTGCAGCGAGTTAGCCTCGTTGAGCGCGCCTCTTACCGAACAACAGTGCGCTGCAGAGAAGCAACACCTGCAGAGCTTGCTTTCGTACGTGTTACTTCTCTGCAATGCATCGATGCTCGGTAAGAAGTGCGCTCAACAGGGCTAACCTGCTGCGATCGACGCTTTGAAAAGTACAACTACTGCAGTCCCACTCTTAGGGGAAAGCCCACTTTCAAAGCGGAATGGTGCATGTGCATGCGTGGTGTATATAAAAAGAAAAAAAAAAAAAAAACTTTGTGAATGTTGATATCTACAACACAGTAACATTTTCAAAATTAAACTGTGGCTATCATGCGAGAGCATATGTTAGGTAGAGAAATCTTGACAACGTATGCTTGTAACTCATGATAGTCTTCTTTTTATTTTCTCAAATTCTAGATTTAATAAAGAATATTTGCATATAACAAAAATGTTTACAAGTCCCCTTAAATAGGTATAGCTGGGCATCTCTATAAACCTAATGTTATGTCAAATGAATCATTTACTCGGTATTCTCATGTAGGTAATAGACTTTCCGAGGTCACAATCCACAAGTATAGCTAGATTAAAATTAACTTATAGCTTAAATATGAACAAGTGGAAGCTTGGGATGAACCTTTACGACTTCAGATGGGTTTTCGTTCAGGCATGATATAGTAGTGAAAAGCTTGGAGAATCTAGGCAATATTCGATTAGAAAATATTCGGCCAAAACCACTATTTACTTGGAATTCCTTTCCAAGTCAAAATCCACTATTTGCACATGCCTAGAACCCCAACAACTAATAGACAACTTCTGCGTGCTTTCTCTGCTGTGAACGAAAAAAAATAAGGAATAGCTCTTACTTGGTGATGGGCTTCCTCTGCTGTCCTCCAGGACAGCTTGAACACTGGGCAAACGAGAGGAAAGGGGCACTTCAGGCTTCTGGCCCGGGAGGGTCAACTTTTTCACCATTTACTCGATTAGACTCAAAGTTGCTGGATGAATTAAAACAAAATAGAATGGACATGTTGCATCTTATGCATGGAGACGTCAGCTCGTCTATTTTAGTGATGTGAATTTGTAGAAATTTCGTTCCGAAATAAGGTGTCCAAGCTGTGAATTAATCTGCATGGTAAATAAGAATGGAATTTTTTTTTTTTTTTTTTTTAAGGTCTAGTGAGCTTAAAAGAGTGTGTCAGAACTTTGTGTGATAGGCTGGTAATGATCCAAAAGGAAAGGGCACTTGGGGTCAGTGAAGTTGTGTTATAGACACATTGGATGCGAACAAACTCCGAAGCAGTTGGAAACCTTTCTGCTTTTATGTTTTCTCTGTGTCTCCTCAGTGTCAGGTTTGCACAATGCTGAAAGTTTATCAGTTATTTTGAACTAGCCTCAATTCCTAAGACAACTAAGCTCCACAAAGTCAGATGAGATGATGAGGCAAATCCTGATCTACGAGTTTTAGTGAACTCAGGTTCACCCCGTGTCCCACAAGATATGCTCCAGTGAAATGAATTTGAATTCAAGCATTTTTACTTTAGAAGAAAAGGCAAATACACACCAGAGAATATACTCCGTCGCTGGCTTGAGGTCTTCTAGCTTGCTGCGCAGGACTTTGCCACTGCAAGAACAAAGGACACAAATTCTCCAGTCAGTACACACAAGGAAACACAACTGCGCAAGCCATGTTCTAAAAGACAGATATTGGTTCCTGGGTAGGTACCAAATCCTGCTAAAAATTTATACACCATATAAAATTTGTCTTGAAAAAATTCTATCACAATTTGACCATTCAACTAAGTGCAACTGTAGGACAGGTTCTTTTTTTTTATTGAACAGATATATTTTTCTGGGGAAAGGGAAGAAACACTCAAATCAAGGCACTCCACTCGTCACGAAGAGAGATCAAAGCGGGAGCACCGCGGTCCGTTGCGCTCCAACCGGAAACGTGTGAACCAGCCTTTACTAGACACACCAGAACACAAACACAAAGACAGGGCTGCGCAATCCAGCCAACTGACCATTTAAGCAGCCTGGCAGGCCGGTCCTGACCCTTCTCTGAGAGCAGCAGTTCGTAGGAGACCTCTTCGAGCGAAGGCGCGGGTGGAGGCGCGGCGGGGGTAGCTGCGGCAGAGGACGCCGCGGTGGAGGATGCTCCATCGGCGGCCGCCGCGACCTCTCCCTCCTTGGGAGCCGGAGTGGCGTTGGCCACGGGGGCACTCCACTCCGCCGTCGCTTCCCTTGCCCCGACTTGAGAGACCGCCGGGGCGGACAGCGAGGACAGCAGGGCACGTAGGGCGATGTCTGGTGGACAGGAGGATGACGCTTCGGCACTTTTGCATCCAAAACGTGCGTGGAGATTTGTGTGTACCGTATTTCCCGGTTTTACAAGGTGCACTGCTCTATAGGCTGAATGCCCCTATTAACAGTTGTTTCCACAAAATAACTTGTACACAGTCCCTGACCGATTTTTCAAACCCTGAAAATTCTGACTTGCTCGTTATTTTGGACATCAACCAGGAAATATGACTCGCCCAATTGAAATACTAGTACATATTAACAACCAATTTTATCGACAATTTGCAGTACGAAAGTTTGATTTTTCAGAATAAAATAGTTACAAGTGGTGGCCACCAAGAGGCTACCATCTTGGATTTTTCGTTGGCTTGATCGTGGGCTTGGCTTGATGTATCAGATGGAATGGAAAGGTTTGTCAGCACTATTTTCACACTGCCTAGAGTCACTAAACATTTCCAGAGTACCGAAACTCCCAAGCTTTGCTTCAGAACAGAATCACGATGCAACAGTCGAGATCCCCAACACAGTGCTGCCCTGTGCAGTCTAGGCGAAGCGCGTACAATGTAGCCGTTCGGTCTCGTACGAGCTCTTCAATCCATGTTCCTGGCCTGTGGCAACACTGGTTTGTTTTTATTCCAGTTCTTTCCTTTGTTGAAAGCGGTACGTGACTTGCCCCTTGCTGTCCAATCCCTCTCTCTCTTGCCTCAAGACACATCGAAGTCAAGTGTTAGGCTTAGAGCCTAAGGCGTAGAGTTTGAAATGCAGCACCGGCACAACCGGAGCAAGCAAACAACCCGTAAATCTGTGGCGAACCAGATTAGTGACTACTTGGTATAAAACAAATCTAGAGAAAATCAACGGACCTTCCGTTCGGTCTACACTCATTGATGCCCAGAGTTCCCAGCCACACGTACCTGCCGTAGCCGTGGTAATACAGAAACATTTTATATACGTTTTTTGTTGCTTTGGGTCGATCCACAAAATCGCAGGCTGATAACTTCCGCCACGGGCTACATTAGCCAATCAGAACTGGATTCCTGCGGGATTGACATCCGGTAAGCGGACTGAATGGAATCCGGTACTCTGAGAACATTCAGCAACTCTAGCACTGCCAAACCAGCCGCTAGGAGTGCTATGCTATGCCTTTTGTTTTTGCTATGCACCATCATCGTTATCTTGGTTTCTTTCTTTGGTCAATTTTCTATCTCCAACCAACTTTTTGTTTTGTTTTTGTGCCAGTCGCCATCCGTTAAGTGTGGAGCGCGCTGTTGACGGCTTTTAATCTTTGCACCTAAAGTGTCTGGCGATTTCGTCGTTTTGCCCTGCGTTGATACATGCTTTGGACTTCATGGCCACTTCTTGCACCTCTGCCGGGTGAGGACATGAAGCTGACGCAAATGCAAGCGGACATGATCGTTATCAAGAGTAGCCGGACACAAGGTGCCCTTGGGGCCTTCGAAACCCGCGAATGCGGACGTTTCCCGATGTTGTCGCGATAACAAATGGCATGGGGACGTGGGGAAAATAAGCGGCTTTCCAACAAGACCAAGATGGCCGCAATCCGACGAGCGATCGCGAAACGCGCGGAGCGCGACGTTCCACTTGTTTTCATTGAACTCGCTGTGTTAGGGCTCTGCGGGGACATCGTAAATATCATTTTTTTCATGCTTAGACATTGAATTCGACATTGAAACTTTGCAGGCAGGTACCTTAGACTACAATTAATCCAAATATGTGAATTTTGAAAAACGTTAAATTTCGCGTTTTTTTACCATTTTAAGACCCGCGTCTCCCCTCCAGCTTAGGCTCAATAGAACCAAGTTTTGTAAATGTGCAGACTTTTCGGATTGCATTATCGTTCGGACACTTTTTCAGCCCCCCCGAAGTCCAAGAAATCGGTCAACAACTGTACTTATACGCTGCACCTTCGTACATATCACACTTCTTTGTACGGCTTCACAGTAGGACCGCATTGATAAGCTCACACATGCCTATTGTAATTGAGCTATATGCACAAGTGGAAGTCAGTTTCAATAGTCTCGCTAATGAATCAAACAAGAAATATAACCTACATTTTGTACAGTTAAAGTCCCATACTGAGAGGCAGAAAATGCACATAAGTCACACCGATACATAAGGTGCACCGATAAAAATTTCGGAAAAACACCGCAGCTCATACACTGTAAAATAAAGTACTGCTTTTCAACCCCTTTCTAACTGCAGGTGTTATGCAACAGTTTGGCACCTCCAGTTGGGATGGAGAGAAAGGGAGAGATTTCCCCTTTCACTGAGTCACAAGCAAACAGACTCGAGGACACTTTGTCGAGTACGTCGGACATTGCTGATGGGGCCCCTTATCCCAATCTCTAAGGCCCGCTTCAGACGGGGCAACTTTTCTATCAATTTTGAGGTTGCTGGCAGGTTGTTCCCTAGCTTTCGCTAGATCGACACGAGTTGCTGAGATTGGGTCTGGCTCGAATGAGCGAGCAACTCGGAGCAATTCGAAGACGTTTGAAACGGGTGCAGCCAATCAGGGACGCGATATTTTAACGTGACACCCCTGTGGTGGTGATGATGACAGCTATAAACATGGTTCCGGTTTCAAATGGATTGTTTTTGAAAATAAACCTTTTCAGAAAGACGAGTTAGTATACTCAACACCATTCAAAGATATAGAGACACGTTTTTAGAGCGTAGCTGTGCGTCTAAATAGTGTAAGAAAAATCAAATTTCATGATGATGATGGCAAGTCGTAGCAATTCGGTTGCTGGGTGTGAACGCGGGCGGCCCGTGTTGCTGGAGTTGCGACGTCAAGTTGCTGGGCGAAATTGCCCCGCCTCAAGCGGGTCTTAGGAAATGCAAAACAGCTCTTGCTAAAGTCCGCTAGTATTTATTTAAAAAAATTAAGCAGACCAGACTGCACAACAACCCCAGCTTTTATGGTAAATTAAAAAAGCTTAAGAATGAACAAGCAATTAAGTCAATGTTTCAAATTGCACACGGAGGCCCACCTGCTTCCACAAGCTTGGGACTGCTTCTATGGTTTGACTTGTGGTAGCTCGACGAACTAGGAGAACCATGACCTGCGTGTGGAATGCCGAAAATGCAGGGGGAGAAAGAAAGGCAAAGAAAGTAACGTCAGTGCTATCTTCAAAAGAATCTCCCATGGAAGGTGGCAATACCTTCATCCCGAAAGCAAAAAAAAAAAGCACAGTGCAAAGAAAAATGTATTAAGAAAAAGGTAGTAAATCCAGCTACCAGTTTCATGGGTGGCGGCAAAAGAAAAAATTTTCTTTCTCCGTTAAAAGAAACCTTTTTGCAAAGTGGATAGAGTCTTGCCCTGTTCTTGTCCCCGTTTCAAATCTTACAAAAATCTCAACAAATAAAATATGCTTTCTTTGACTGAAGCCACGACCAATGCCTTCAAAATAGCAGGCTGCAGCGCAGGATTTTCCGCGTCATTCGTCGGAGGCGACCGCAGGGCACGCATTGGATACAAATGCTGCTCTTGTTCGGCCGACACTCTCGTTCAGTTGGCGAGGGTAGAAGTTCCGGCCGAACACTGACGGCACACTTGTTTAACCGATTTTGGTGCGATGCTTTTTCGTTACAGGAAGGCTGTCGCAGGAAACTGCCGTACGCCGTTTCAGCCTACGACGAACATCGGCGGATGGCACGAGCCACTCCAATGAATCCAGTGATGCGAATGTGTCGCGCAATAACGTGTTCCCTTCCCTGCAACCTTCCCGAAGGTTACGCGACGCTCGCGCGACGTGGCACTGGCTTCAACGGCCCGTTGCGTCTACCGCGATCCATCGTAAGGTGAAGCGAAGCATAGGAGCCAGTCGCATAACACGTTCCGCGTTAAAAAAGAGGGAAAGGGCACCTTCCCACTCACCCGACTTGGGAGAGGAGGAGTCTGAGCGTGCTCCGGAGGAGGGAGCCCCCAGGGAGGAGGAGGAGGGTCCTTGCCGAGACTCGAGCTTCTTGCGCAGCTTCAGGGCCTGCTTCTGCGAGCGCTCGTCCTTGTGCGGGGGCGGGACCATTCCCTGCGGCGGTTGTTGTTGGGGGACCACGCCGGGAACCGCATGACCTGCACGAGGGGTAGGAAAACATTCTTCTAATTGGCGTTAAAAAAAGGAATTTGTCGGTTTGTACATACTCTCATAAAGCAGGCCCTGAACCAACATCTAAATAATATTTCCACAAAGTTTCATTTGTTTCTTATGCATAGCTAACTTGCTATTAATTAATTTGAGTGCCTCGGGGGTATATAAATTATAGAGATCTGGATACTTTGAACGCATTTTTCACCATTCCACGTTTTCAGTATAGGTTTCGTTTTAGTCCATCTATCATCTCATTGCAGGACCAAAAGAAAGGATCATTGTTTGCTTTACCTGCACCAAATTTGATGAGGAAAGCACTTGTGGAATTTGTTTTTTCGTACTTTCTGAACAACTTTCATAAAAATAATCTTAACATTTGTTTCGAAACGCAGAAGCCCAAAAAGTTGCTGGATCTTGCACATTAATACTTTTAGAGAAATGAATTACTTTTGACAAAAATGTTTCCACAGGCACACCATTCAGGCATTCTGCTTTGCACCAGGTCAAGAGAAGTGATAAATATTACGTCTGTTTTCTAGACATAGATGAACTAAACGATGTATGAGCATCCCCCATAGGAAATGTCAAAAATTTTCTTCAGAATTTATGTATAAACTGAAACTTTTCTTCTGCACCCTTTATCAAGGCTAACAGTCTTTGCTGTTAATTTCATTCATTTTACCACGGGGCTTAGAAAGTTAACCCTACTGGGTCCCCTAAAGGAACACTAACACCCCTCAAAATTTTTTTAATGCGAAAACATTAACTGACTGGTTTTATCGAGCGAGCCGACATCAGCTTTGAAACCGTGCCTAACGGCATTTTAAATCCTCTCTCCAAATGAAGCCAGCTCCCAGCTATTAAACCAACGGCACCAAAATTCCCCGATTCCAAAGTAGTGGAGTAAAGCTGATGGATTTTCGGCTTCGGTTCCATTGGCTGGAGTGTCGTCGAGGTGGTAGGTCATTGGAACCGACGCTGCTGCGCGTCATTTTCAACGACGGCCACCCCAAAGCGCTCTATGTCCCCGAGGCAGCGGCTCCACCCATGGTCAGCGCGCGCTCAACCATACACACAAGTAAAAAAAAAAAAAAGGGGGGAGCGGAAGAGCGGTTTGCATGCTTCCGCATTCACACTTCGTAAGAAGTGCTTAGGTGTACCTCGAGCCTCTCTTATTTTTATTTTTTGCAGGTGATTTATTATGGTGTCAGAAGACTACCCAATCAATATCTTGAAACGGCGTCACATATATATTTGAAGTAAAAAAAACGCAACTGCTCGAAACCGAAACTCGACTGGGAAGGAAGAAGAAGTATAGAGGACGAGAGGGTTGCCAAAAGTCACGTGGCCATGCAACTTTTCTTCTCCTACTTTTTTTTTTTTTTTTTTTTTTAATATTGAGCGTGTGTGCTTTTGATGATCCAGGACTTTATCTTTGGTGGTGTTCTAAACGATAAAAAAATGCCACGCGACCATGGAGAAGAGAGTGAGCGAGACTCAAACTGCCGTGTCCTGTAAAATTTTCCCTTCGTTTTCGTCCGTGTTGTTTTGGCGTATTACACCATGATGCAAAACCAACTACCGTAGAATACCGCGCATCCGCCCATGTCCAAATTTCTAAGATATGAAAAAATATGCACAGTACATTTATATATAAAAGTGATGATTGGAAAAGCGCCCATCCTCCATTTTTTCGCGATTATCTCTAAATTTTGAGTGGGCGCTTGCCCGGTATTTTACGGTAGTCATCTCTATCAAACCGCCATTCTCAATCAACAATTTCCGGGCAAAAAAAAAAAATAATTTCGAGCCGCAAAGTGTGTTTCGAGTAGTTCGGCTCTCATTTGCCATGTACAAGTAAAAACCTTGGCCAGCACAAACATCCTTTCAGTGTCCCTTTAAGACGTCACTGCGAGTGCACAATCAATCGTGGAAGGCCGACAACATCGATGGCTTTGGTCGCTCACGTCGCCAAAAGCAGGGACACTCGACGCAAGCATGTCTTCCACGAAGAGAAAAAAAAAGAAAAGAGCCCACCTTGAGGGGAGTGGGGACTGGCGCCGAGGGGGGCCTGCATGGCCGAGTGGAACTGCCCCGCAAACTGGAGTCCGGCGGGGGCCCCCGGCGTGGGAGCGGTGTACGGGAAGAAGGCTGCTGCCGGCTGGGCTGGGGGAGGGGCGCCGCCCGGGGCACCCGTCTGCAACCAAGGAGCATGGTCAATACTCTACACCCTCTTCCGCCTCCTGCCTCGCCGTGGCGGGCACGTGTGCACCGTGTGTAGTCAAAGATTCTGCCAGTGGGAATGACCAACTCTTTTCCTAGAGTCTTAAGGCCGATCCAGAGGATAGTCACCTGCCGGGAAGATAACCACTTCAGTTTCCCTCTGTCAATTACCTCACGTACCCTTCTCCCTACAGGGGCGGGTCTCCAAGCTGCTACCCGCAGGGAAAAGGGGGATCACCCTCTCTCTCTAATGGAACAAAGGAATTGAAGGAGAGCTCCCTCCTTTCCGGTTCCTTGTCGGCCTTTAAGGCTGGTTCACATTTTTGCGTTCAAGCGTGATCGACTGCGTGGCTCGAACCACTCGCACCGGCGCCATTCATTGGGCAGCCCTGGAACACTTCCGATTCACATACAACTAGAATTACTGTAAGGTTTTCGCAGTATTTGGAAGGTGGAATCTACACACTATCTACGAGAAATTTGCACTCATAACACCGTCAAAATTATTTGGAGAAAACGGTGAAAGAATGACGAGCAAAATATGTGCAGGCCAGAAGTGTTCCGAGGCTACCTGGGCAGGTGTCGCCAGTTTACTCTTTCAATGTAAGCAATTGCAAGCAGTTGCTGTGCGGTCAACCACACTCAAAAGCAAATGTGTCAGCCGGCCTTTAACTTGATATGAAGTGCAACCACCGTTCAGGGTCTCACATCTCTGACATACACCCGCAAAACCACAAAATGTGTGCCGAGAGCCGGTGCGATCGAAATCGGCAAAAAACGAAAAACCCAGGACTGGATCCGTCCTCGAACGAGAAAGACCTTATCCGTGGCTTTATTTCGCATCAACTCAAAACAAAGCCAACGCCGATCCGTTTGCAAAGCTGTTACTTTCTCTGGGAACCACGTCTCCCATCGCGTTTTATCTACGCACTCGCAAGTGTGGTGATTCTCGAGAAATCCTTCGTCAATCTCTCGGACTCAAAGAGCGGCGGTGGGTTTGACGACAAAGCAAGGTTATCACGTTTCAGGTATGACGACCCGTGCTTCGCCACGTTGAAGAACTGCTTTGCCCAATGGCACGTCGGTATTGAGGGTTGACACAAATTTTGGTATATGAAAAGCTCTTTGATCTAGAACTCTAGTTATTGCATAGCATTTTGTCGTGAAAACAAACAATATTTTGTAGAACTTTTTTTTTTGTTTGTCACTTTTTTTTTGAGACAGTCATATCTTTACTCAGTTTGGACCAATCTTCGAAAAAAAATTCTGTTTGCCGAATTAAATATGATGTTAAAATCAAAGTTTATTCTTTGATGTTCGCATCATTCTAAAGCTTGCGTAAACCGCTTAATTTCTATGCACGGCATCATATTGTCAATCTAACAATTTCCTCATAAAAAAAAAAAAAGTTGCACAAGACGGGCATTTTGCCATGGTCAGGAAAGGGTCAATGTAAGCCCTGATAAATGCCAATTTCTGTACGACATCCATGAGACGCACCAGAAAACGCCAAATCTGTTGAAAAATAAACCTTGCACAAAACAGCCCCAAAATCTTAGAAAAACAAACCTCCCTCCAGAAACACACCCCGAAATTTAAAAAAAAAATAAAAAAATACCTTATGAAAACATGGGGTTCCTGCTTTCCCGAATACAATTTGCGTTGTGCAATTTTTCGTGCTGAGATTACTTGTGAAACCTTCTTGTGGCATTGTACGACAAATGCCCGCAAACATAATACGAGTCCTTCCTGCACATAGGGGCTTGGGCTTGCTTGATGACAAACACAAATCCCTGAGACATCTTGTTTGCAAATGCAGCCAGATAATTTATTCAATCAGCTGCGTCATCATGCAAAGTAGTCTCGGTGGAAAACAATCGTGAAACTAAAGTAATCTGCACATAAATAAATTGACAAAAAGGTACACAGTGGTATCTTTTCAAAGTAAAATGGAACCTCTCAAGGCCCTGTCCCATTGAGGAAGCAGTTGGACAACACAAACAGAACACGTTTCCGGCGACTTTGCCACATCGCGGCAGCAACATTCGGGCAACATATTGCTGTCGCCCAGCAACCATGTTGGCCGATTTGCTGTCCGACCACCTTGTCACACCGCGCTGACGGTGGGGCCAGCACAGGGAACACTCCACCATCTTGATTGTTTGCCTAAATTGTTTGTGTGCAGCGTTGCTAGAAATGTGACTATACAAAGTGCTAGTGTGTTTGAAGGGCTGGAAATTACCACGGGACATCAACCAGCGACTGTGATTGGAAAACTTTACACAGGGAGTATTTTCCACCCTTGATTTTATCAAAATGTTCTTCAATCGCTGACAAAGCAGATAGCCCTAACCGAGGAAAGTGAGATTGCTGATATGTTTGGGATTTATGCCGCCGAATGAAGTGTTTCTGTCCAGTTCTCTCCGTGCAGTTCCCATTTCTATTGTAAAATTGAGTTAGCACCAGAAGTACCCTAATGCGTCTTTTGTAGCATGGTGTTGGACTGACAGTGGTTAAAAACTGCGACAATGACACAACCGGTCTTCATCACAATCGGTGGAATAAATATTTTTCAACGCTATTATCCTACTGCCTGATATGTGATTACTTCATTTCCCAAAACATCCTGGGGACTTTTTTAAACAATTCAGGTGTCTGGTAGCAGCGGTTTCCAAGTTTTAAACATCAACAATCATGATCAGAGTGGTCGTTTTAATGCTTCAATTTTTTATCTTTGCTTTCCTGGATCATTTTTTATTATACCTTATAAGCAAGTGAGTAGGCATGCCACTTTATTTCAATAACGGTAATGTGACCTTGTCTCTCCGCAATTCTAATTTCAACACCAGTCTCAACGTTCACGACCGTAGCTGTGACCATTTCGACAATTGCTTTCCGTAGTTATGCAGTAAAAAAATTCATAAAATTATTTTAGCTGCACATCAGCCTTAATTATTGTTAAGTAATGTTTTCCAAGCCTTTTTGTTGAATAGGACGTTGTTGATAGGGAACTAGCTCTGCCATCGAAGCTATCTGTGTTGTCATGTTGACAGCATGAAATTTGCTTATCTACTGATCTGGGCAACATGCATCGTCCAACACAAATCGCTGATGTTTTTGTTGCCGAAAGCTGCCATACTGAGGCAACATTTTCGTTGTCGTCCATGTTGTGCTGTTGCTGCCGCGATGCACTAGGGTTGTCAGACAACACGGGGAGCGAGCAACAAGTTGCCCGACTGTTAGACAACATGTTGTGCTTGTGTTGCCTCAGTGTGACAGCGCCTTTAGGCTAACTTCAGACGGGGCAATTTTCCCAGCAATTTAGGTGTTGCCGGATTGCGTCCGGCTCGAAACAGACGAGCAACTCTGACAACTCGGAGACGTTTGAAGCGGCAGCGGCTAGTCAGGGAAGCAATATTTCCATGTGACACCCCATGCCGGTGATGATGACAGCTAAAGACTTGGTTCTGGTTTGAAATTGATAGTTTTTGGGAATAAACCATTTCAGAAAGATCAGTTAGTATTCTCACCACCATTTAAAGGAATAAAAACATGTTTATAGCATGTAACTGCGTGTCTAAATAGTGAAATCGCAGTAATAGGCCCGTAACTCAAGTTTTCAGCAGCACTGCAAAATAGAATATTTGGCTAGCGTTTCGAATGTGCGTCAATACGCTTCCCCACTACAGTTTTTTACACTCCGTTCCATTCTAAGTGCCAGCGTAGCAGAGGCTACAAGAGCGAGCTCAGAGTTTGCAGTGACCCTTCTTAGTATGCGCACTCGTGCAGTGCGAGCATCTTTCAGGGGAACATGTTTTTGCAAGCATATCTTCAGCTTCCCTATCACGTAAAGCGAAACATACCGGCTCACGGAAGCTATTAAAGAACTCAATAAAATAATAAAGCTGAATGAGACGCTAAGGCCACAAGCTGCATATTTATTTTTTTTTATTTTTTTTTAGATGTTCGTTATTGTGCGCCTACAGATGCTGACAGATGCTTGCATTCGAACGTGGCACGTGCAAAATTGAAGGTTACAGCGCCGCCCGGATAGTGCTGCCAGCATAACATGGTTGCGTCGTGCGGTCTCGCTTGTGCCCCCTGCCCGAGAGCAACGTGTCTATTGGTTGCTGCGTGTGAATGCAAAAGGTTGGTGTTGAGACATCAAAGTTGCTGGGAAAACTTGCTGTTTAAAACGGCGTCATCTGCGTTTTTTGTTTTTTTTTCTTAGTATTGGGTTTATTATTATGGAAGAACCTCTTGTCCCCTATTTCTCATAAAAAACCATATATTATCAATAATAAAACGCCGAATAAGAGCAAATATATATACGGATAGAAACAAACATAACCATATAAACTGTAGGGAGGCTCAAGTGAGGGTGGGTGCAACTGCTAGATCGGCGATCATGGGACATGGACGCCATTTAATTGCTAAATTTTGCTGGGAGTCTATGGGGCAAAGGGTCGTTTTCTTTCCTAACTCGGGTCATAAAAGCCCATTAAAGTGCTTGAATAATTTACACAAGATATAAATGATTACTTTTCCATAGCCACCAGTTTTGTTGCGATAGGTTAAGTATTTTTTTAACGCGAAAAATGGTAAATTCCGCCATCTTGGACGTTGCTGGTTGTCTGGCAACTTCGCTTTCTCCGCTCGACGTTTGCAATTCTCGGTGCGAGAAGGAAGCGAGAGAGGCTGCGCCAAGGCGCTCGTTGCTTGCAATGGGAGGCGAGAGGAGGAAAGGCGCATGGAGCAACAGAGTTGCAACAGAGCGGGCGCCTGCTCTCGTGCAGGCAACACTGGTGCATATCCTTTCTCGAATCCTCTCTCTCAGGCGCCGCCATTAAATTGCAAACGCTCTCCAGGTTTTGAGTTGCGCGCACCCTCACTACAGCCTCCCTAATAAACTGGGCAGCAGCTCGTGCCACCTGGCGGTTTATTCTAGAAACTACCTAGAGCGCATTCCATTAT